GGTGGTGGTGGTGGTGGTGTGGAGGTACTGTGGTGGTGGTGGTGGTGTGGAGGTACTGCCATCATGGTGGTGTGGAGGTACTGCCATCATGGTGGGGGTGAGCAGGTACTACAGTAACTGTGTAATTATAACAGCACAACTAATCCAACCGATTCTCAAAAACAACCCTGCATTAAATGTCATCATTTTTAATCAGGGTATAGCAATGATTATTGATTAGTAACCCAAACAAAGCCTTATCTATTTTACATAGCTTTCAAGTTTTGGTGCGATTGACAATATGCTTTTGAAATGTAGTGGATATGTGGGCCTATGGGCTGCTCCAAGCAACAGCCTATTTGTTGAACTAAGTTAAGACAAGTAAAGGTTGGCCTCAGGCCAGGCTTGGGAAGTAAAACTCCCTGTGTGATGGTACTGTATACTTTTCTGCAATGACTGCAATTACGTGCAACAGCACTAACACCTATGGTGATCACTCTGCAAGCTATCAACTGAAGAAATTATATGCAAGAGCAAACAGCAAGGTTTACTGTATCTTGGGTGGATGCGATGTTCATATTGTATCCTCAACTTCATTTAATTACTCAAGGACAAGGCATACAATGGCCCTTGCAATACCTTTGGTTTCCTGATTACGTGAGCTATCTGGAGATACAAAATATGGCAGACCTAAGTCCCTAATTAACGAATCTAGATCATTTCACTCAATCACTGTGCAGTGGAGATTCCAAGCTGATTTGCCTACCGTCGTTCACTCACTTTGCTCAACTAGGACAGCTGGGAAAAGGCATTCTCTCTCACCCAGAAACCATTCCAGATATACTACATTCCCAGGGAGTATGATGAGTTTGAAACTGAATATAGCCCTATGGTAACTGAGTGTACTTTGAGAACTGGATACTGTACCTCCTTCCAGTGGTAATTGGGTTAATTTGGATTTCATAAATCTGCAGTTCAAATTGTTTCCTCATGACTTCCCATTTGAATACTAGAACCAAGGCAAAATGAGGTTATGTAGGGAAACATTTCATTATATTACTCTCCAATCAGTGATTATTAGTAATGAGCAAGTTAAGCTAGTTATAGGTAAACGAAGAAACAAGTACTGTATTAAAAATCATGTTTAACATCAACAGCCACCAGTTATCTGATATAGCTATCAGAGACATCAGTTGTCCAAAAGCACACACACTAGTTAATTAGCAGATACAGTTAACAGTCTTGTCAGCAGACAGCAGTCATCTCCAGTCATTAAAGGTGTACCAATGCCAATATTTTTGGAAATGTGAGTCCAAAGAGGATGCAAAGATGAGCAAAGAATAGATATGAGAACAAAAATTAGATGAAAGCAAAGAATGCAAAGAAAATGCAACAAATACAAAGTTCAGCAAAGAATGCAGAGTTCATCAAAGAATATATAGATGAACTGATAATGCAGAGTTCAGCGAAGAAGGCAGAGATGAGCGGAGAATGCAAAGCTGATTAAAGAATGTAAAGCTGAGCAACGAAGGTAGAGATTAGCTAAGAATGAAAAAGGAAATAATGTGAAAATGATTAATGTAAAGGTAAGCTGAAAGAATGAAAAAGATCAACTGAAAGATGGTAAAAATTGATGAATCCATACTGTAATTGCAAATATCATTCATGTACATCTTGAAAAGCATAGATCAACAAAGGACTCACAACATAGCTTTACTAAGAGTTATTCAGGTTTGACAAATCTGCTGCCTTTTCTGGCATATTGAAGGCGGTTGATAGTGGAACGAATTATAACACTAACTTGATTTTAGCAGAGCTTCTTATACTAGAAAGGCGGAAGCTCAGAGAATTGTGGATGATATTCCAAGATGGATAAGGACATGGTTTTTTCAAAGGAAACTATGAATTGGTATAAATGGACTAAAATCAGAGTGGGGGTAAACCATTACAAGTCAAAATATTTTATTTATAAAAAAAAAAAAACAGAGGATCAGATTACAATAATTACTGAGTAGGTACAGTATTTGTATATTTTTAAAGCAAAATTATAAAAATCTGTGGATATTAAAAAGGCCAGGAATATATTCAGAAGACTCAATTTGCTAAAAGATGATTTACCTAAAATGGATGGAAAAATGGAAGATTTAGTTTATGCAGGCTTCTGAGCCAGCCTAGATGATGATAATAGAGTAATGAGACATATAACAATGTTGAAATTACTAATCCTGAATGTGAAACAACCGAGTCACTTGTAAGGATCTTAAGCCAAAAAATCGATGTGCCCTGTACTGTATATACAGTACTGAATATTCAAAATAAGGCACATTGGATACAGTACTGGGATTTATATCTAGAAGTATTAGTAATAAGACATCTAATGTTATTCTTTGGCTTTATCCTGCTCTTGTTAGACCCCCTATTTAGATCATACAATTCAGCCTTAGAGTCTTTAGCATACTATAGAATGGATATACAGTACATTCAGTGGAATGTGAAAAGAACAACAAATTTGATCCCAGGAATTAGAAATCTTCCATATGGAGATATAAAGAAAACTTAATTAACATTCTCTAGAAAGGCAAAGAGCAAGTGGAAGACATCACTGAATTATATAAATGTATGAAAGTGTGTAACAATGGGTATTCAACAATCCAACACGAAAAAGAGCATAAAACAAAACAGTATACTAGTCGGATAAGCTGCAGTATAGAAAAAAAAGCTAACCATACCCTAGGAGTAGTCAAAGCTTTAACTTCAAGGAAAAGAAGGTAGTTATACACTTGTATAACAGGTGCACGTGGAGGAGGGTGCACCCCACACTTAGATTATTGTGTCCAAACATGAAGACCATTTCTTCAGAAAGACACATCTGCTTTGGAGGAAATTCAACACCGGGTGACAAAAATCATTCCAGAACTAAGTCGACTCTCATACAAGGAACAGTTGAAGGCCAAAGAACTAACACTGCAAATAAAGCAATGGCTGATCTCATTGGAACTTTTAAAATACAAAAAACTTTGGAGGATATTGATCCAGACTACTACTTTAAAAGGTCAGATGTAACACAAACATGGAGGAACAGTTTCAAGTTCAACAATCTATAATATAGGACTAAAAACAGGAGATGCTTTTTCACCCAACAGGATTATAAACCAACGGAACCACTTATTCACTAAAACCCATAAAAGCTAAAAAACTGCTATAATTCAAAATACAGCCACATAAAATCTTCAGGACAAATGAGATGACCTTTCACAAGCCCCAGCTTTAGTCCTCATAAGAGGGGCCACTAAAGATATAGTGGCCCCTCAGGTAAACTTAGGTAAATAAGTTTAGTCAGTAGAGCCCTTTGTAAATACTGGTTTGGAAACAGGCATGCCCGATGCCTGAGCTCAAGAAGCTCAGGCATCTGTACACCAGTAGATTGACAGTTGAGAGGCGGTACAGAAGAGCCGAAGCTCAACCCCCACAAGCATAATTAGGCGAGTACTACCATCTGCTATGCTATCTTCCTAATTGCCCTCCCTATTTCAATGCTTTCACTGAGAATGCATGCATAGGCTTGGTTACCTTGGGAGGGTTTAATGTACCCCTCCATATCTTGACTTCTGGTGTTATCTCCTTCATACCCCACCTTATATTGTCTTATCTCTCCTTATCTTCAAGTCTAGCAGTTCTTTGTGTATAAAGGTACTGTATTTCTAATCTGTATCCATCTCATACATCTTTTGTCAAATTTGCATTATTGCTTTGATAATACAATACTGTACTGCAGCTGCTTTCCTAATTTTTCTTCCAAATAATTGCAGTAACACTGAATACACTGGGGGGGGGGGCCTTGCTACATTTATACAGAACTGATTAGGTTGTGACAGGTACAAATCGTGTATTAATAAGCTAGCGTCAATGGATCCCTTCAGTACTGTATTGGCTACAGAAGTCTTTTACACTGTACATCTGATAAAGTGGAAATCACAAAACACAAAACAAGAGCAGTGGTGGAAAAAGAAGTGAAACATTTACCTGAATTTACCAGAGGGCCACTATCTCTCTAGTAGTCTCGACAAGGACAGGAAACGAGTGACTTGTCAAAGGTCCCCCCATTTGTTGATGATGATTTTATTAAGTTGGATTTTGATTTACAGCAGTGTTTTAACATTTACAGTTTTGAAGGGGAGACAGCTCCATGAGTTTATAACCCTATGGGTGAAAATGCATCTCCTATTTTGTCCTACATTGTGGCTTGTTGAGTAGTTGCAATACATATACAGTACTGTATTTAAAAAAAAAAAATATCAGGGGAAGGCACCAAGGCATTATATTTTACAAGGGCTATTTTATACTATAGCATACATAACATAGCTATACTGTACAGTATACTAAATTACAGTTGATTATATCCCTACAAATGTGGTAATCCTATGGCTAAATATCTCAGCATCTGATGTTACAGAAAATCTTTTCAGTTGAGGGAGGGAAAATTCATGGAGGCAAGACCACTAGCCATTTTTTTAATATACCTAACATAAATAAGCTTAAACTAATCTCCCTTAAGCCAATAGACTGCACAGCACCCAAAATCAAAATAAAGAAATATTTCTGATATAAATACAGTAGCCCTCATTAAGTGTATACCAATACCTCATACAGGTATACATTGATATTATATCAGTATAATCTAACTATAGCGGGAATGTATACAAACCCTAAGTTTACTTGTGTAAAGGAGGAAATGTATATGCTCTCAGAATGTTCGGTAATACGTTTATTGCTTGTGATGTGTATCTATGTATGCATTAACACGATGTACTGAACGGGGTGAGAATAGCTTGAGCTACCTCATCCCTTTGTGTGTATTTTATCTCAATAAACTTATTTCAATTTCAACCCTAAGTTATTCCTACTGCAGTGTAGACCAAACATAGTACTGTACAGTATACTATTTCCAGCCACATAGCTGCAGAATTCTTTGTTTCTGAAATGTCAATATTGTGTTAACAAAGAATGTTCCAAATACTCACCTGCCCATTATGCTGCCATCAACAGTTTCGAAGTTCAGGGCATTGTTAATAGCCTCAAACCCTGACGATTCGGGAAGGAGCTTCATTTTGATCGTAACTGGAGAGTAAACTTTTATCCAAATGTTTACAAGGTGAGAAATATTTTATTCAATTCCCATTTATTAATAAGTTCTGATATACATTACAAAGCTAATATTCCTGTTGGTTTAAAACTTTAAAATGCCTCTGTTGGTTTAAAACTTTAATGCCTCTGTTGATTTAAAAACTTTAATGCCTCTGTTGGTTTAAAACTGTAATGCCTCTGTTGGTTTTAAAACTTTAATGCCTCTGTTGGTTTTAAAACTTGAATTTATCTTAGTTATTGAAAGATCAAATAAATTTCACATTGGGCAGAAAACCATTCACTTCCTGGCGCGAGTGACAAACCGCTGTAGTAGTTGTTGTCGTGCTCGACTATTTTAAACACACACCCAAAACACTACAGTTCATATATATAACATTTAATAATGTCTTCTCTGGTTTATTCTGCAACAGTGCACGGTTGCAAGAGTCCAGAGACGTATGCTACTGGGGATCCTCGATATCAAGCCCACCGTAACCAGCTTGTACACTTCATCTACGACAAAATATTCTTTCTGAGAGATGGTCATAATACCACCTACGATGACAGGAACCTGCAAGAGTTTAAGACTTTTCTCTCTACGCAAAGGAAATCCGGCGGGACTTAAAAAGGGGGATCTTCTCACCCTTGTCTCTTGGACTTGGGCGTGAGCACTAGACTGCTACCAGGCGAATCCCATCCACTTGTTACTTCGCTAATGTTAAGACGTTATCGAGGGAGTGTTCTTCTTGCATTCGGGCAAAATCCTTAGTTAATTTCAAGAGAAGTTTGCGTTTAAGAGGACAATATTGTGGAGAGAGAAGGCACGCACCGCACTCTCCTACTGTCTGGGTCGTTATGACACAGGGTTGCCAGATCTGATTTGCTCCAAGTCGCTCGCACAAGCTCTAGATGTCGCCAATTTGTTATAAAAAGGAGCCTTATATTTTGTTTATCCACTGATATAATTTTCAGTTTAATATATTTTAATACACACTACAATATTTTAATGGTTTCATTAATATTATCACTGCACGTACTTAATAAAAATATGCGATAATAGGATAACTTATCAACATTTTTTTGTTTTTGTTTTTATATATACAATAGTTCTTACATTCTTGTAAGAATGCCAGAGTTGATTTGTTTTTGTATTCAATTTCTTTCTTTATTATGCACCCCATACCCATCCCGTGGGCGGTGGTGTAAAGGATTACAGAGGCACATAATCAGTTTTTGTATTGAGGCAGTATTTTCTCCCCTGATCCCATGTACTGTATGACTAACCATCCTGTCAGATGGGAATATTAAATAAACTTATAGCTAGTTTTTGATCGACACTGTGTAATCTTTCATATAGAATACGGTAGCAGCACATTGCTCTGTATACCTAAGCTTTTTAATAACAAACAATTTCACAGTTGAATAATGTCTATTATTATTGTTCTCAATTTGCAATCTTTCAAAATCAATCAACCAAAATCTATTGTAATCTTCTCTTTTCTTCAAAAAACTCTCGGCCTTTATAACACCCACTGTCCTATGCTAACGAAACAAGTCACAACTAATAGGCTAAACAATCCTTGGCTAAACAATCCTTGACTGTAAATCCATTTACAGTCTCCGTGGTGTAGTGGTAAGACACTCGCCTGGCGTTCCGCGAGCGCTATGTCATGGGTTCGTATCCTGGCCGGGGAGGATTTACTGGGCGCAATTCCTTAACTGTAGCCTCTGTTTAACGCAACAGTAAAATGTGTACTTGGATGAAAAAACGATTCTTCGCGGCAGGGGATCGTATTCCAGGGACCATAGGATTAAGGACTTGCCCGAAACGCTACGCGTACTAGTGGCTGTACAAGAATGTAACAACTCTTGTATATATCTCAAAAAAAAAAAAAAAAAAAAAAAAAAAAAAAAAAAAAAAAAAAAAAAATTAATAAAAAAAAAAAAAAAAAAAAATTAATAAAAAAACATGACCTTGAGAAGAAGTATAGGATAGAAAGAAGATTTTAAATAACAAACCAATACTCCTGTCCAATAACGATGGTCAGCTTACAGCCTCTGATACTGCTATTGAGTTCAATAGGTTCTTCTCTTCCATTGGGTCATCCCTTGCAAATGATATTCCATCTTCCAGTACTGATGTTCAGGACTATCTTACAGGTAACTATCCACAGTCTCTGTACCTAACGCCTGCAAATCCCACTGATGTTAATGAGATAATCCTTACCCTTAAAACCAAGTCTAGTGCTCTTGAGGAGATACCAACTTTAATTTACAAAAAAGCCTCCAGATCTTTAGCTCCTGCTATTGCATTGCTCTTCAACAAGTCACTTGAACTCCAAACCTTTCCAGATATTCTAAAACAAAAGCGAGAGTAATCCCAGTCCACAAATGTGGTGATCTCACTGATGTTAACAACTACAGACCTATATCAATCCTGCCAAACAAAATATTTGAAAAACTAATCTACAAGCAACTTTACTCTTATCTAGCCAAGCACAATATACTTAGCTCTTGTCAATATGGCTTCAGACCCAAAAAAGCACTAACGATGCACTTATTAGTATGATTAACTTGATACATGCAGCTCTTGATAAAAATTAGTTCCCTGTTGGGTTATTTGTGGACCTGCGTAAGGCTTTTGACACTGTCAACCACCAAAACCTTCTTCTTAAATTACATTATTATGGAGTCAGAGGTCACTCCCTGAAATACCTCAAATCTTACCTTCCTGACAGGTTACAGTATGTTTCTGTGAATAATTCAATTTCTCCCACCCTACCCATCAACATTGGTGTTCCTCAGGGCAGCATACTTGGCCCTCTCCTCTTTCTCATCTACATTAATGACCTTCCAAATGCTTCCAAACACCACAAACCAGTTCTATCTGCTGACGACACAACCTTCAGTTACTCCAGTCCTGACCCCCTTGCTCTAAATGTCACAGTGAATACTGAGCTAAATAAAGTCCATCTTTGGCTAATTGCCAACAAACTCACCCTCAACATTGACAAAACTTTCTATATTTTGTTTGGCAATAAATCCTCAAATCAAATAAATTTCAGGATAAACAGTACAAACAAAGTAGTAACAAAGTAGATGGCAAATGCCTTAGCGTTCTCATTGACCACAAGCTAAATTTCCAGGGACACATTGTAAATATATCAAAAAAAGTTTCAAAAACTGTTGGCATTCTTTCTAAGATCAGATATTATGTACCTCGCCCTACCCTGGTGACGCTCTATTACTCCCTCATCTATCCTTATCTCAACTATGGTATTTTAATTGTGCTTGGGGTTCTACTACCCAAAATCATTTACGTTGTAATAGAGTTTTATTGAAGGGGTGTTAAACCATATTTATAAAAACCTGTATTTTACCTTATTTACCTGAGGCCCACTAACCCTAGTAGCCTTGACGAGGACAGGAAGCCGGCGCCTTGTCGAAGGTCCCCCAATTTCCCCTTATCTTTTCAAGGTATATTTTAAAACTCAACACTGAACAAATCCACAAGGGCCATGACGAGGATTCGAACCTGCGTCCGGGAGCATCCCAGACACTGCCTTAAACTGTTTTGACAGTTACAATTTCGGCGGGTAGGCGGTTCCACGGGTTAATAACCCTGTGGATGAAGAATCTCATATTCTTAGTCCTACATTGTGGCGTGTTTGGGTTTGAAACCATTTCTCATTGTTTGTGTTACATCTGACCTGAAGAAAATATCCGGTAATATTTTAATTAATACAACAAAAATGAATTAAAATTCAATAAATTTGAATAATGAAAAATAATTAAAAAATGAATATAAATTATTATAATGTATCGATTATTTCTGAGTGGACCTAGAAACTTATTCGTCTAAATAAATAATCATTATCATCATTATGATTGACCCATTGTACCTTCTTGCGAATAAAATTATCGAGATCAATTGTGAACGCTAGCTAGCGCACACGTACAAGAGCGCCCAAAATGAACTCCTAAGACATGTGGAGACAGGCGTGTGGATTCTGACTTTTTTGTTTATATATATATACAAGAGTTCTTACAGTCTTGTACAGCCACTAGCACGCATAGCATTTCGGGCATTGTTTTTAATAATTAATATTACCTGTTAGGCGTTTACCCTTAATACATATTGTTATACATAAGTAACTTTTTTTTATCTACACTGTAATCTTTCATATGGAATAGGGTAGCAGGACATTGCTGTGTATACCTAAGCTTGTTAATAAAAACAAAATCACATAGTAAATGTAATGGGAATCTATCCTAAAATTGACCATAGTCTAGTTAGTGTTTTGTGCGTTGGATCACGTTCGTGGCCTAAGGGACCTGATGGCGGTGGTGCGAGTGTGTGGCTCCCTCACCCGCTGGCTCTGTGTCTCGCCTCTCACTGCCTCTCGGTACGTCTCTACACTCAAAATTAATAGAAACAAAGACCAAATTGTGTTTGCCAGTATAAAAATAAAATTATTAATTATTAAACCTAGCTGTCCAATCCTATCCACTCCAGGCTATGGAGTACTTTGGAAGTGTTCACAAACTTTTCGCACGAAGTTTATTTCGTTAACAAAAATTAGGTTATGAAGGATGTAAATACTGTCGGCATTCAGGTCATATATATGATGTACTCTATCCATGGTTACAGAGCACTTTATAGTTATAGGGTACAGTTTGTCTATTGGCAAACTGTCTTGGGTATAATTCATTGCGTTGAGGGACAGGAAGCCAGAGTGTATTCATACACGTTTGGCTTTTATCGAGGTCTCCCCTTCCCCCTTCAAGGTCGAATTATGGGCCCTGCCCAGGATGTAACCCCACAATAAGCTAACTTCTGAGGACCTACTCACTGCTAGGTGAACAGAGACATTAGGTGAAAGGAAATGTGCCAAACCATTTCTGTCCTGCCTGGGATTTGAATCCGGAATTCTCGATTGTGCGTTGAGAACGAACCCGACTGTACTACCGGGACCCTCCGACGATGTGACCTTAGAGTCCAAACCAAACAGTCATGTCGACAAAACCTGTTTTCTAATTGTAAAAATGTATGAATTGTTTGGTGAGGCTGTGTTAACTTAGGTTCAGTTTGATTGGGTTCATTCTAGACTCTCTTAGCAATCCTGGGTGGTACAGCAATGTTAGTTTAGTTCATTTATTATGCACCCCATACCCATCTTGTGGGCGGTAGTGGAAAGGATTACAGAGGCACATAATGGACTCAGGGACTGAACCCCACAACAGCAATGGTAGAGCACATTGCCTATTGCCATGTTGAGAATGAGTTTGTATATTAACCAGCATGATAATTAATCATGTATGAAAACCTACAACTGTTTAGAGGTAGTTACCCGGATTGTACCGGGATGAGGTTCTGGGAGTTGTTCTACTCCCCAAGCCTGGCCCGGGGCCAGACTAGACGTGAGACCTTGGTCCAACAGGCTGTTGCTTGGAGCGGCCCGCTGGCCGACATATCTACTACAGCCCGGTTGGTCTGGCACTTCTTGAAGAAAACTATCTAGTTTTCTCTTGAAGATGTCCACATTTGTTTCAGCAATATTTCTTACAATCGTTGGGAATATGTTGAACAACCATGGACCTCTGATGTTCATACTGTTTTCTTTAATTGTGCTATGGCACTCCAGCCCTTCACTGGTTAGGTAGCCAAAAAATAGCCATCATATACAGAAGGTATTGATTGTTTTCAATTTGTGTTACAGTATTCTTGAAAATGTCGGTAACTTGAGGAAGCATCGAGTTAAGGATTCTTTACCTACACAAGGTGTTTTTTATTCCAAATTGCCCATAGCTTCTGTGATTTTAATATAATGTGAACATACTTGTTCAGATGCACTACAGGATTTTTAATAATAATAATGTACAGTATAGTTCAGTATATATTAAAAAAAAAAAATTGTGTTTAAAGTCGTAATCATATTGTGCTTATAAATGTTAATCTTAATTCAAAATATAAATGCATTAACAGTCTATTTTTCCTTTTGATTCTATTTATAGTTTTGTGTCGGTAGCATGCAAGCAGACAATTGCCGAGAGGCTGGGTCTTCCAGAACCTCCCAAACGGCCATCAACTGCATATCTGCGATTTGTCAAGCATCATCGAGAAGATGTCGAGAGAAAATTTCCCGAATTACCTTACAAAGGTTTTTTTCTTATTTATATTTGTAAATGCAGTAGCCATCTATTCTTAATACTTAATGTGTGATCTTTTCACTACCGTGTTGAAAGTGTTAATTTTTTGTCGTTGCATTTCTAGTAAAAAATACTGTAGTTACACAAATTTATAGAATGAAAAAATATTTTTGTAGTGGTTTTAGGTGCTATCACTTAAAACCATTTGAGTTTGTATGTAAGACCAGGGGTGTGTGGATGAGTTAGTAAGGTGATACAACCTTATAGATATTGAGCCAATATTTTTGTAATGACACTGATGTATGTGTGTGTATAGGTAGGTGAGGGAAATGGAGGATTACCTGATATTGTGGACTTTAGAGAAAAAAATTACCAGATTAACTACTGTGATGTTTTATGTGATGATACTACTGTGATGATTAACTAAAGTGATTTTGTGATGAATCACAAAAGATCCTGACTGTAATAAAGACTATTATATTATATTATAATTTATATATATATGCAGTGCAATAACAGTAAAAGCACTGTTTTCTTGATCTAAGAATATACAGTACAGTACGATAATTATCTTCTCACTAACACATTATCTGAATGCACCATATTTTTGAGTATAGTAAGGTTTCACACATTTTTATTATATAAATTTATCAAATTACACACTACAGGTATTGTTATCAGAATGATGATGATAATAGCAACATTCTGCCTAGAATTAGCGATGAGGATAGTATATCGTGTTGCATTTTGTGTCATCTATTGGCACAGCCTTCTAGTAGTGTGTGGGGTACAATGCTAACCTTGAATTTCATTACCACACCCACCAGAACTGCTTGGTGGTTCATAATGGTACAAGTAAATGTACATAGTTATATATATAAAGTGTGTATACAGTATAACAACACCAAAAATTTAATGTTGTATTGTTCTAAGTAAATAATATAGATGTATCTTAGTGACATGAATATATTTGAGCATTTTGATGTTCCACACATTTTGTTGTATACATTTCTCAAAACACACACACCCTATTGAATAATATTACTGAACAAAACGGGAAAAAAATCGGAAACATGTAAATACTGTACTGTAAATATATAAAATATATTTTCGCAGCAACTCCCATCTAATGGCTGGCTCGGGGCGACCACCCTAGGGCGTTTGCTAGATGAGCGCACATGATTCGTGATATCATCGTGAGACTTTCAGGCTTCACCACGGCCAAAGTAAGTCAAAATCCATTTTTGTCATTATTGCTGTATTCCCAAGATCAGGAAATGCATTTTAACAATATTAGAGTAAAAAATAATTGTTTCTAATTTTTGTATTTTATGCACACCAGTGTTGCATGTAGCCTATGGGTTAAATCAATTTACTGTACTTCTTTAAAGTTAAATCTTCAAAGAAATATTCCATAAAACATACGTTATTAGTTGAATATTCCATTTCCCAATTTAAACTCCTGGCACAAGCATTACAGGATAAGTGTGTGTGCAACAAAAAAGTAAATATTTTTTTTTCTATACTGGGTATTATTAAAATGATCTGCCTTGTTCATCAGAAAATTGCTTAAAAATTTGTAAGGCATTACTTTAGGTGTAGTGAGGTGAAGAAGTCCAGATGATGTCAGTGTGGAACATATACAGTATGTATCAGTAATACATGCACCATATTTTATTAGAACAATGAAATATCCCATTGTTTTGTTGTTATTCTGTTCACACAAACGCTATATGTAAATATCTACATGTCTATACACCATTATAAACCAGGAAATTCTGCCGGGTATAATAATCTTGGGACCAGTGTTTCATGTACAGAATAGTCTGGTGATGTGATGCACACCACCAGTCGAACATCTGAGGATGTGATGCACACCACCGATCTCGAACATCTGAGGATGTGATGCACACCACCGATCTCGAACATCTGAGGATGTGATGAACATCTGAGGATGTGGTACACACCACCAGTCTAACATCTGAGGATGTGATGCACATATGCCAGGGTTAATGGGGGATGTAAAAGGTTTTGCACATGTGCTATACCATATTGTACTACAAATTTCTTTAGCAATCTTTGTAAATATATGTAGATACATTTTAGTTTTCACTGTTAATTCAGTCATAATCTGTTAATGTCTCCTCTCTACTTTTGGCATTTTAATGATTTTCAGAATTACGCTTCAAGTTATCACGTATGTGGAGAAACCTTAGTGCTGTTGAAAAAGACAAGTGGATTCAAGAATATAATATAGATAAAGTTGCCTATAACATCAAGTAAGAATAATAAAGCTACCTATAACATCAAGTATATAAGAGAGATTTAAATGAAGGTGCCTGTAGCATCAAATAAGATATTTAATTCAATACTGTATACTTTACATTTTTCTGCAATGTTTTGTATGTATGTTAGTGATGCAGCCTTATTTTTTTCTTTATTTTTCTTTATTTGAGGTGTGCAATTTACCCTCATCCTTTAAATTCATTATTATTATAGACTTTGGATGATCTAATACTGGAACCAAAGGTATTCAGAGATTGATCCTTTAAATAATAGCTAAAGTAAATTTAGATTTTACGGAATTAGTCTCTCACTTTTATTTTGTTCTTTGTTTAGGTATAAAGAATATTTGAAAATAACAACACCAAGGGATATTGAAAATATGAAAAATATGAAAAAGGATCTGGCAAGCAAAAAGGAAAAGCGTTACCAGCAGTTAAACAATAAGATTGAAAGTGAACAACTTGAAAAGCCTAGAGCACCTGGCAATGCTTTCATTTTGTTCCTGTCATCACTAGACTCGGCAGGCTTAACCAGAAAGGTATTTAAATGTTTGGTTATATAAGTTTGACTAATAAAAATCATTATAAAACTTAGGGTGTCATCCTCTAATAAGACTGAACAGGGAGAAGCAGTGACACCAATCTTTCCAGACCATCATTAAAAACAAAAAAGCTAACCAGCTGACCGGAAGCTGCCTTGCCCCATTCCCCATGAGTGGAGGAGGTGGGGTGAATGAACTTACACTAGTTTGAAGAAATTTCATTAGTTTGTTGACATTGTTGGGAAGAGTTCTTTCAGCTGTTCTCGAGGCTGTGGCCTGCAGTGGTCTGTTTTGTCTCACTGATTTTCTGAGTGCCCTCCCTGGTGGTGGCATAAATACTATACATAAATGCCTCCGCTCCTTGTGCCTCTCTGAGGGAGGCGAGGTTCTGGCGCTAATCCCCAGCAGGCCTATAGAACTCTGCAGCTGATATGACAGTGATATTATCAGTGAAAGTACAGCAGCTTCAGGGAGCCACTGGGGCTCACCCATAAATTGGCATTTCATTACTTTCATTGCTAGTTTCTTACACACTTTCATTATTTCTAATAATAAAGTTACTCCTTCATTTTATCCTTATTGCTTTCATCTATTTCTGGCCTCATAACTATTTCACTACCTGCATTCTTCACCTGCCACCTCCACTGTTTGCACATTTCATGAAGTCCTTAATTAAAATTTCCCTAACAAGACACGCCTACATATAAACAAGGTCGATAACTGAGAGCTGTTAAATAAACAATAGGAATAGGGGTGATAATGAGTGAATGTCTCTACTCTTACATAATTTGTTTAAATAATGTAATTGTAGAAATAAGGTTTTTAATAATGGTTTATTGGACAGAAAGGGAATAGTTGAAATAACATGGTACTGTATTTTTGTCAATTTATTAGATCCTTGTCGTTAGCCTCGGCTCTGAAGGGCTACAAAGAGGTGCAGTTCAGTGCATCAGTGCATTAAATCACGGACAATATTGACCATCAAATACGGCTTTGCCAAGACAGAATTCTTTGTTGTTATATATCTAAATCATTGCCAACTAGGTTATAAAATATTTTTAAGTGTAACAAACCATTAATTGGGAGAACTGCATGTGTGTATTCCCTAAAAACTAATGTACTGTACAGTATACTGTATATAAATAATGTCAAAAATAGTTTTCCTCCTTAACAATTAAGATTAGTATAACTGAAGCTAATGATATCCTTCTAGGAATTTCTGATAGAAGCCTCCAGCAAATGGCACAGTTTGACAGAAGAGGAGCAAAGACCGTTTGTTGAGAGAAGTAAACGAGAACGAGAACAGTATATGCATGAGCTGTCTGACTGGGAAGCCAAGTAAGTCGAGTTCTGATAAAATGCATAATGTGTGATTTGGTATCATATTTAAATGGTAATACTGGGTATTCTACATTATTTAGTAGTACTGTGGCCCCTAGCTGCACAGCAGTGCTGCGAGCTGCTGCTGCATGCTCCAGCCTTGGTCGCTCTCTCAGTACTGAGGCTCTCGCAGCCAATATGGATGTAGATGATTTTTTGTTTATTTAAAATGGTATCTGTTTTCTAGAGTCTGAGTTACAGGATGTAAGCCTCGTTTACCATTGGGAGTTTTGAATTGTTCCCTGTACCTAAAAAGTCTTAAGATGCAAAGCACACCATTGGTCTACTGTAGTACCTTGAAGTGCTGTGTGCAGTGCAGGGTTTATGGATATGTTTTTGACACCATGATTATATTTACCTAGACTAAAATATTGAAGGTTTGTTGAGTTAGTAAAACAGTAATACAGATGGTAAACATAATTTGATTGAAACTTACTGGAGATACCTGTACTTACATATTCTTTACATAAAACTACTCTCACTCCCACTTTAATTTCTGAACAAGACTTGGATGTTACAAACTTGTTACAATGAAACTTTCCCTTTTATGTCCGGGGGAAAAGAGGGAGGGTGGGTGAGCAGCCTGTCCTCTTAAGGTGAACTGTCCTAGCTGAAGCTCAGAAAATACTCCCGATTTATTTTGATATATGAATAACACATTAGCAATGCAAAATATTATAAAATTTTACTTCTATTTAATTTGTTTTTTCTACATTTTCAGGATGGCCAAAGCTGGTAGATATGATCTTATTCGTCCTAAACAGCAGATAATGTACAAACTCTTTGAAAATCGACAAGAAGAACAAAAGGATTAGATGCACCATCGGTCAATATTTTTAAGACTACTGTAATGTAAAAAATAAACTGTAATACTGTACTTACTAGTTTTCCCATATTAAATAGAACTTTTTCTGGATCTTTTCCTTAGTAGCTTTCTCAGCTAATGCTCGGTACTGATCAGCCTTGACAGTGGCAGGTATCTGTGAATAGCTTACTGCCTCCTGGAGACAAGGTTCCTTGAAAACCCCTTGTTTCATTGACAAGCTAGGAAACTCGTGGGCATTACATATCAATCCAAATCGAGAAATATTTTGAAAAGTAATGAAACTACAAAACAACTCTTGAACAATAACTAAACTGGCACACAGTGATTCTCCACCAGCTGGACTACTGCTAAGTGCACCTCAATTTCTCCGCCTGACACTTGTAACATCAGGTCGTTCTGGTGCTTGCAGAGACTGATACTCAACTAACAGATCTAAGTGTTATGAATTTCCTTTGATGATTTCCGGCATAGGAGCTATATGGTATACATTTCATGGACGTGTTAAGCTGGTCACATTGAATGTTTTGTTATTCCAGCTGCTTTGGCTTGATTTGAGAGGTACTTTTTCCGGGAGGGTTTTGGCATCGGTGGTACATGTGAAACTGATTTGCTTAATTTTTCTGCTACCACATTGGCTGTACCATCCGTTTAGTTATGAATGCAGTATATGTTAATAAAGTATAGGCTGCCAATGTTGATTGCACCAGCAGAAGGCCATCATGACCTCAGAATGGAAAGTACTTTGAGTGAACCATGTCTTTAGATGCTATCATGAAATGGTGCAAGGGGCAATAGCCAGTTCAGAACACAAATCCTTTTGTCTCTATGACTAACCAAACATTTTAAGGGGAATTTGGTAATACACACTTGTAGATGGTTTCTGACTGATCTGGGCTTGTTCTCTTGAATCCTCTAAAAGGGTCACTCCAAATGATAGCAGGTTCAAAATCGTATTTACAACGATGTATGTTAGTGGGATATGATTTGATGAAGGTTTAGAGAACAAATTTAAGGATACTGTATTCCCATAAAGTGCGATATAATCAGAATGAGAATTAACAAATTAAAAAGGTTCAAAAGCCCCAGGTGTGGATAGAATTAAGTCTAAAGTCGTAAAGGAACAACTGGCAGATGAACTATACCTACCACTGAAACTCCTCCAGAAAATCTTTAAATGTGTAAATGTTGCCCTTATTTAAAAAAAAAATGCAGTAAGAGCATGGCAGAAAACTTACATCCAAACGTTTTGATTTTGCAAGCTCACGGAGAGAATAATAAGGAAGGGAGGCGGGGACGCTAATCCCCGTAAGCACCCCAAGGAGGGAATCATTCACCATCTCTTGGTGAACGGTCTAGTAAAATCAACGGAACGATGGGTTTGTTACACAAATCCTGCCTTATTTTTTGCTGCTCACATTTTTTTGGAAACTAACCAGCTACGTGCATTTAGACAGGATTTCTAGTATATGTAGTATATATGGACTTTGCTAAAGCTTTTGACAAGAAACTACAAGTACATGGAATATACGGTAGAATACTAGAATGGATAAAACAAAGAAAGGGTTGTCCTAACTTTTAACCAAAATTCATTAGTGCTATCGACTGGGGTCTTTTATTTACAGTGTGCAAACAGATTTAGTTTGACTGGGGATATCTGAGATTTATTTCTGGTGTGGTACGCATAGGTTCTATAACATTACAATGTAGAGTTTCAGATAAGGATTAGCATTTAGAAATAGTTTTGTACGTGTAAATAACACAAGAAATTAGTGACTGTTTAGAATTTTTAGGTATTTAAACTTAAACCTAGTCTAAGCGTATAGTAGTTTGTTGGTGGTTTATACTGGATTATCCATATACATGCGGCTCTACTTGCATGACAGTAGGGGTGCCAAATGAAATTGCTAGTTCCATTCACCTGGACTGTGAATTAAACTGAAATCCCATACCCATCCTGTGGGCGGTAGTGAAAAAGGTTAGAGGCACATAATGGGCTCTGACTGAACCCCACAATTGATTTAGCTACGCATGTTAGTCTTGATAAACTAGTTACAAAATTCAATGAACATCGTTAATTCAACAATAGGCTCGAGGCCGACCACAAATAAATTGTGTAGCATTTGTAGATTCATTTCTTAAAATATATTATAATAGTTTAATAGCATGTTGCGACGGCCAGCACAAGCCAGCTGTTAGAAATCCGCGCCTCAAGAACGCTTGCAAAAGTAAACAGTGCCTGCCTACTGCATCTGTTAGGGCCTCCTGGTTCACAACCTTGTCGCCCAGTGAACTCCTGTTTCCCCTGGAGGTCACCGGCTACACATTTATTGACAGTTAGGTTACGATATTTCTGTCTGGCATTCCTTTTCAAGAGAACGTTTTTGTCGCCTGGGGTTACGTGGAAGTTAATTATTTTTGTTTCTGATCAACTGGTTGTGTTTTGCACGTCAGGCTGCGTGCAACTGTATCGAACAGATTGGTTGAGGAGACCAGCAACCAGGTCTGGTCAGGAACTGGGCCGCGGGGACGTCGACCCACGGAATCAACAGGTAGGTAGTCCCGTTTTCTGGCTGGTTCTTCGGGCGGGGAGTTGGTGTCTGGTGCTGGATACTGGCTTTGCCAAGAGTTGGCGGATCTTGGACAGCTACTGGTTTTTTTTTTTTTTATAGATATATACAAGAGTTAGGGGTGACATGATAGAGGTTTACAAGTGGATGAATGGACACAACAAAGGGGATATTAATAGGGTATTAAAAGTATAAACACAAGACAAAACACGAAACAATGGGTATAAATTGGGTAAGTTTAGATTTAGGAAAGACTTGGGTAAAAACTGGTTCAGTAACAGGGTTGTTGATTTGCGGAACCAATTACCACATAACATGGTGGAGGTGGGGTCCCTCGATTGTTTCAAACGTAGGTTGGACATGCATATGAGTGGGATTGGGTGGTTATAAATAGGAGCTGCCTCGTATAGGCCAATAGGCCTTCTGCAGTTACCTTGTTCTTATGTTCTAAATGGCAGTGGCATATTGGTTCAGTAGGGTCTAAAGCAGTAGAAAAGTTTGACATGTCTGTGTTTGCTGTTCTTTGAAACGAACCCAATCCAACCCATCCTAACCCAACATCATCTCATCTAACCTATCCTAACCTTAACTTACCTAACCATAGTGTGTATGAGGTATGTGATGTCGTGATGATCTAAAATGGCACATAACAAAAGCAGCATACTGGGTTGTGGTGGAACTCTTAGCTCTATGGACTGGAAATTAATAATGGGACATTTTAAATAATGGGAGTTCAGAAAGTGGGACAAACTCTGTAACCCAAGATATTATTAGCTAGAGTCCAGAACCAGAAATATTGTATTTTGGATAGCTTTGGTTCCTTTTTTTCCCTTGGGGGTAATGATAAAATACATTGCAGTCTATATGCAGCTAGTTTCTTCCTTCTATCATTGCCTCCTGGTGGCAATTTGGAGAAATCCCCACTGCATTTGAGATGTGAAGATTATTTTGATTAAGCTAGAGAAGAGCTGGCTACTTGCCAAAGAGAGGGAGTTGCCAAGTGACCTGTTTTAAAAACTTTTCATCTACTGTATTCATGTTTTATTTATTTATATGTGTCATTATAGTTTAATTCTGATATGTTTAGTCAGTTATTGTAACTACTGTAATACCAAGTTCCTCTATTCCAGTTTTAGTGGCAATCATACACACATTGTGCAGTAGCGTGGGTACACAATAATGCAGGTACGCATATTTTATACTATACAATACCATAGACAGTGTAAATAACCACTGTATAGTTGCAAATATCACACTTGTTAGTTTTTGGATTGTGCATTAATTTGATATACTGTACAGTATTTTTTAAATATTGTATAGAATATTATTTTCCATGAATATACTATAATATATACAAAATGGAACTATATTTATTGCATTTTGAAGTTCTTTTTACAAAATCTTTAAGTAATTTATTACAATACTGTATATGTCTTAAGTGAATTTACAGTACTGTATTTATGAGAATTAGTTTTCAATTAATGTGTACTTTCAGTGTCAAAATGAGGATCTATGGGGCCCAGTTCCTTCACACACTAATCGCTCAGGAACAGACCCACTTGGTTTCGAAGACTCCTTCTCACCCCCTCAAGCAACTTCTGCTGGAGGAGGCAGCCACCAACTTTATGCAGAGAGTAAGTATTAATAAGTCACTTTGAATTGTCTTTGTTAATGAAAGTAAGCAAGTTTTATTTATAGTGAAAGATTTTTAGCCTGCTTGTTTATCTGTTGGTTACTGTATTACATGGAAAAATGAAATATATATATATATATATATATATATATATATATATATATATATATATATATATATATATATATATATATACAGTATTAGTATAGTATGATACAGTACTGTACTAAAATTCATACATTCTTAATTCATAGTGAATGATGTACATTGTAGTGTGAATATAGCAAATGCATTTTTCATTGACATTACTTGTATGTTTAATATTTTGGATTGTTTTATAGCTGAAGAACACATAGTTATTAAAATAAAATAGTAAAAATTCTATAAAATTCAGATCCTTTTTTTGACCATGAAAGACTAGATATGTCCTGTAATATTTAAAGTTCCACTGATTCCATGTTTGCTATATTGAAACAAAATTCTGAAAGCTTTGGTTTCTCTCCTGGGTCTTGAAGTAAAAAGACGGGCATCACCCACTGACTGACACCCATGCTAGGAACCATTGAGGCCATGCTAAATTCCAAGACCTGAAAGATCTTAGTGATGAGAAATCTATTAAAGTTCTTAACCTGATAATTATCCCTCAGAATATGACATCAATAACATTTTTCATCTCACTACTACTAATCTAAAATGCATAGATTTGTTCCCCAACATCAGTAAGCAATGTTACAACATAAAAAGAATTTTGTTATGCACACCAGGAAATCGAGCTAATTTTAAGTGTATAGTTAGGGCATTATTAATACAAATCTGTACTGGGTTTTGTAAAAAAAAACTTTGAGTAGGATTGGAGCTAGGCAAGTTCACCCTCTTGTTAAGTTCACTTTAATCTCTTTCCCATCCCTTTTACCTTCTTCTGGACATCTGTTCGTGTTACACAAGATGTGACTGCACAGCTGACAGACTGTAACATGGCAACATACTTGGTAGGACTTGAGGCAGATTGAAGAGCTTATGTAAAGAGTTGTTGAAATTACAGTAGTAGTTATTTTTCCATATTGCGCACATAGCCTCAAGAGTAGCTGTGATTACCGAGAGTTATATATAGTGGTTTACTTGGCATTCTTTAGTACAGCTTGTGTGAATTTGATATTTTGCCCCCCCCCCCCCATGTTAATGTAATGAACCCACATACAGTATTACAAAATAGCCGACAATGTTTGGCACAGATTCTTGAAAGGGATGGCACATTGAAATCTCTGAATGGCGATCAATATAGTGTCAAAATTATTATCTTAGAACATGGGCCTAGGGAAGGAGACAATATTCCAAAAATCACCACCAATGACCAGATCTAACTCAGGAGTTGCTAAACTAGCCAAGAACTCTCCACAACCTTTGGGAAGAGAGCCACTGGTGGTCCTGTTAGTCCTTGCAATTAACATCAGAGGTGTTAACAAATGAATTATGGGCGAGGCAGATTGAAGTGTACGTAACATACAAGTACTGTAGATTGGAAATCAGAAATTTGAATCAAACACTAAAGCAGAAATCCCCTGTGCAAGACTAAGTCTCAAGAAACACCAGTCTTATCCTGAGCAATTGTTGCTCTGTAGATTCTAGCTAAACTGATGTTTAAGGCACAAGGCAGTAGTCAGGGCTTGCCCTCTTCCTCAACTTGTTTACATCTAGTAGCAGTCGGTGTAGGCGAGTCATTGGTCTTCAGCTGTTTTAGAAGGATCCTTGCCAAATTTCAAGTGGTTAAGGTTGTTTGGAAGTGATTTTAAAGTTTCTTTGTATCAGAACAAGTGGTTCCCTCAGGGTGGATTAAAGTATACTCTTCACTGAGCTCCCTTCTCCTTATAGAAGGGGACAAGATTATTTGATGTGCCAACTTCTGCACTGTATAAATATACTAGTATTGTCATTATATTACACCTAAGGCATTCACCTCCAAAATCTATTTATTTTTGTAATTAATCATTTTTTTTAATCTAAACATTTATTTGGATAAAAATTATGGGTTATATTTATTTAGGAATATGTATAGTCAATGTTTTTGCTTAATAATTCCTCACTTTTACATGCAAAATTTTTGTCAGGTGACTACATTCCTCTCGAAGACTCTTCACAGTACTTAGCTGGACTTGAACGCAAATTAGCATGTGTTCAAGGTCGTTCAGATGTTGGCAGACAAACAGAGAGTAGCAGACTCATTGATGCTTTAGCAACCACAAGAGAAGACCATGCACACCACTTAATGAATACTCCTAACAACGTTGGCACCGATAGTGATGTAATTGAGCCCGATAGTGACCACAGTACATCTTTTACAGCTGCAACAGTGGATCCACAAGGTATATAAACTAGCATTAAGCATTCAGTCTTTTGCACTCTCATAGTTTGTTTTATTTGATTTGTCTGGTATCAATCAGGTATCAACAATTGACTTGAGAATGGTCCAGGACGGACCGAAACGTCGTCGTCCCTTCACCTTCTAGTGTGTGGTCTGGTCAACATACTTTAGCCACGTTATTGTGACTCATCGCCTGCGTCTGTTGTCAGTTTGTGCCTCCCTTTGCCATGTTTTCCCAGGTCGAGAGGTTGGCATGACTTTTGCAATATATACCTCATGCCCTGTTTTACAGCCAGTTTGGTGGTGGTAGTTCCCCGCTCATCTAAGGTTGGGGATGTTATGGAACCATCCATAGAGTCTGCTGCACAGTGTGCAGTTTTCCTAGGTGTTTGTTGGCTTTAGTTGTGTCAGTGTCTATCTCCACCATTCAGCCTGTTGGGTTGGTCATTGTTTTCATTTTGACTGTTAAGAGGTCAAGCAGATGCTTATTTTGTTGCATCTGTGCTTTCTGGCATTTTTTCGTCTTGGTTTTGGGTAGATAATTGATCCCTAGGCTCTCATTTAGTAGAGCACCCAATTCTGGCTCCTGGTAGATGAGGAGGATGTATCTTGGATGCTTGTAGAGGTAAGGTAATTATGAGAAGCACTAAACCAAGAAAAACTTAGTCAAGGCTTGGAGAGTTAATGGGGGCTCATCAGGAAAGCACATTTCATTACATTCATGAATGTAATTCATTACGTTTGCTGTTAAGTAATATCACATATTTCAATGTTCAGATGAAGATTTTTATACATTGTTAATTCTTAAAACAAAAGTTTCATTATATGTAGGAAGTTTATTTTCAGTAAAAATGTATGTTTATACATTTAGAGGAATTAAAAAATTAAATTTTGGACTGAGGCTTTTCATTTTCTAATGGAAATGCATTAAAAGTACATGTATATTTTCTTTCAAAATATAAACAGTATTATTCACTATTTCTATAGGTGCTTTGGGTGCTATGTTAAGGAGAGTGGCACCAAACAAAGTTGCACTTGCCCCTGAGGAGCTGTGTCGTCTCTTGGAGGCCGATATTCTTGCCAAGGCTCATGAAGCTCTCGATGAAGAGGCTCTAGCACCACACCTTCCCGTACATCAGTCCAAAACCTCTTTAGAAGAATGTTGTAATGAAGAGGTTAAATCAGCAGATAATGGCACAGAAATTAATTTAGATAAAACAAAATCTCCAGCTGTAACAGCAGCAAAATCTCCATTTGATCTAAAAGAACCATCATCAGATGAAGGTGAAAAATAGATGATAGCTACTAGTGTGAATAATTTATATAAATGTTAGGATTAAATTATCATGTAATTGCAAATGCCTCTTAGTTCACAGTCTCAGGACTAATATGCATCTTAAAATACTTAATAATTGGAAATTCATATCAAAGCAATAGAATTCTTTTGCAATTGATAAGTTGCAATAATCTGGCTAAAATATGATTTAACAATTGTGGTTAATACATAACTTAACAAAAAGGTTAAGGTACAACTTTCACCTTTTAATTAAAATTGAAGCATTATTTTCATATAACCGAATTGAAATTATATACATGCTCTAAAATAATAAATGGGGATACAGCACTACTGCATATCAACATCAGTCACTGACTGAGAAGTTGTAATCCACAAAATTGTGTTGGGCATTAAGTTGTGACAGTAGGTCTTTGTAATAGAGCATAAAAAGATTGGTTGGTAGTTGTAGTGGCACTTGGAAGTGGGAAAGACAGTAGTTATTCATTTAAACTTTAAAAAAAAAAAAAAATTATGGCTTTATAGCGATTTTACATTTCCCACACCCCAGCTTTGATAAGATAATTGTGGTTTAAATAATTTGTTTGCCCCCAATGAATAATTTGAAATGTTTCAGAGCCTTTGTTATATATAATTTTATTACAAAATATATATTAATACTTTAATATATTTTTTATATTCCTACTTTTAAATGCATGACAAAGACACTAGAATTTCTTGTGAAACAATGTCAGTGTGAATGAAAAATAAAGCGAGGCGAATCACTTAATTAACACTATTGCATCCAGTTAATGGTATCAACGTCCTAAAATCAATACACGTTCAGTGGAGCCTTGGTTTTCGATTTTTTCAGTTCTTGAGCTCAATTTCTTCGAAAAATTCAACTCGTTACTCTATTTTTGTTTTGGTGCTGAAGTTTATTGATATTGTACATGTATGGGTCAACGAGCACGTGGTTCTGTTCTGCTAGGTGAGGGGCAGGACGAGGCGCAATCAGTTTATCCCACCACCTAGCGATGATCACACTTGAATATTGTATTTGGGAGGACAACAGGATGGATTGATAGATGGGGGGACTGGATGGTGGAGGGGGACAGGATAGATGGCAGGTGAGTGGGACGTGGAGACTGGTTGGGGGATGCGGGAAAGAAAATCTTTCAGAAATACCTGCCCTAGAATCATGTAAGGAAAGAACACATGGAGGGAGAGTGGGTGGGCAGGTGAGAATGAGTAGCAGGGCAGGCGGCATAGTGGGTGGGCGTGCAGGCAGCAGAACGAGCGGGTGGCAGATAGTAGACTAAGGAGGTGGCTGGCAGGAAACAGTGGGTAGGGGTGGCATGAGAGGGCGAGCTTCTGAATAGGACGGGTGACAAATAGGTCACCCCCTGGTCCCTCCAAGACCCCACCTCCCATCCTGCACACTGGACCCTACCCACTACCTCCATCCCCTACACTGGACCCCCTCAGCTGTACCCCTCCCAGCCATATCTGGACAGTAACTGGAGAAACTAATATGGTGGGCTGCCTTACTACCAGCTGTTGAATCGGGAGGCAGACTTTCTGAGCACATGACATTAAACTCTTATTGTTTACTGACTGGTTGCACCTGTAAAAGCCTGACTGACTATGAATACATGACTGACCATAAATGCCTAACCAGTTGCTACCACAACTCTGAATGCTTGACTGCCTTTGGTTATGACTGCCTGTGACTGGTCTTGACTGTGAATGCTCAAGTGACATGTTGTGACTTAACTGACTGGCTGCCACATAAGAAGCAGTGAAATGTGTGAAAGGAAAATCTGGAACCAGTGATGCAGATATGACAGCATTTAAGGCAAGCAGGACACGGTCCTTCTAAACACTCGCCACCTCCTCCCCCCTTCCAATACACCAACACTGCTCCTCCCTCCTCACTGTCTCCCATACACCAACTAGTCCCCCCCAGTAAAGGTAAAGTGCAGTTAAATGTTCACTTATTTTATTTATGGTTTATATTTATACCCAACTATTTTGTTTATGAAAAATATTAGTAGTATTCTGTATAAAATGTATTTCTAAGTTAATATTTTGGGTGTGTGGAACAGATTAATTCAATTTACATTATTTCTTATGGGAAAATTTGTTTGTTTTTGATGCATCTATGGGAACGGATTAAAAACAGAGGCACCATGGTAGTTATCCGGAGAACAGCAGTGCAGTCCAAAATTAAAATATTTGTAAACATTCCATTTATTATCCTATTATTATGGGGTTTGTTTTAAAATGCACTCCAACATTTTCTATTCTGTGGCCATACATAATGCCTTTGTGTTATACAAGTACTACATAACTGATACCAAAAAATCATTTGTACTCATTTCTTCAGTTCCACGAAGTAGTCATTTGGTCACTAGTGTACTGCGAGTATGAGGATTGACTTTTCAAAAATGACATCATCATATATGCTGGTGATAAAAACGAGGATGATAGCGGTTCTACTAGTGACAATGTTACAACACCCGGACCATCATGTGTGAGGCGGCCACTATTCTTTACTTTATGTACTTTATCTTACAGTATCGGTAATGTTCTTATATGTAAATATTTCTATAGAGCATTCTATTGCAAACAATTTGATACCTAATTGAATGACATGGCACGAAAATTGAGGTAAGAAAGGTGGGGAAAAAAAGTTAAATATCGCTCGCCCTACCTTGGGATGTGCATCGGCCAGCCTGCCGGGGCAGCGAAAGTGTTAAAAAAAAAAATGTGCATCTGAATTATGGTTAAAATGGGTTGAGGTGACGATGTGAAGATGAATCATGTATTTAAAAATAATTCCGTCCCTTTTTCTGATGGAAAGGAAAGGATTACCATAGATCTATGCATGCTTTCAGTGTTGACTTGTATGAAATAATGCATGTACAGGAAAAGGAGCAAATGGTTTTTGATCCCAAACTAGAGTACCAAACATTTGTCTTTGGCTCTTGTAATAAGGACAATGCAAGACAAGCTCACAACCAAGATATATAAGGACCACGTACTGTATCTCAAGGTACAGTGGGAGCATAGTGATCACAATGAGATTTCACAACTGTTGAGTCAGTAGACTAAGGTTATATAGAAAATATGATAATTAAACAAAGGAAATCATTAAACTGCATCTCATACCACAATTTTGTTCACTGTGTGCAGTTTTTATTGACTTCAAATATTTTAATATATATATATAGCTCTTGCACATTAATACTTCTCAGAGCAGTATTTTTAAAATACTAGGCCTCAATATTATTTACTTTTGTCATTAATGCATGAAAAATTGTCAAGTGCAATGCTAATTTTTAATGAAAATAAAATACTGTATATTTAACATTAATAAAAATTACATAATATAAATTGTCATTATATTTTGGTCTTACAGTACAGTATATACAACAAATTATTCTTATTAAAATATGACTTATGCCACTTTAGTCTAGATCATACATATGTACCTACAATATACAGTATTAAAAATCTAAAGTTCTAGATCATGTGTACAAGTTTTCCAAGAATTACTATATTATGCCACTTTAATCTAGATCATATCTATATGTACCTACAATGTACAGTATCAATTTAAAATTCTAGATTATGTGAACAAGTTTTCAAGAAATACTGTACAGTATCACAATTCCTTTGCTTTTTTAAGTGGAGGTTCATCAACTGTATCTGACCCCTTAAGCAAAATTTCTAATGGTAATTGTACACTTACACGCATCATTGACTTTTTGGGGGCTACATCTCGTATATTTACCACCTCCTGAACGTATTTCCGAAGACCTCCAAAATCGTTAGATTTCGTTTTAATGCAATTTGAATTTTCTTCAAAGCTCGTGTGATCATCAATTGAACTTTCATCTGATAGCTGATTTCCTTTGTTAGAGACTCCCAGACAATGAGTAGGATACCCAAGTTTTTCAGCTACCATGCTTATGGCAAGGTCTTCCGTTGCCTCACTTGCAAACATGTATACATGAACCAGCGGTAAAGCTGGACTTTGAGGTAAATCTATATTTCTGAAAAGGCCTACAAATGCTGGGAGGAATTCAACTGCCATAGCAGGGAGATTCATGGTAATGTGAACATCACCACAAAAACTTTTATCTTGCCACTTTGCCAAGAGGTCATCTTTCAGCACAGTCTTGATGAATTCATGTCCATCTAGGTTATAGCATTTAACTTTGTCCGTCACTTTATTTTGTTTACAATTAACCAATAAAGCATAATACGAATCAGGATTAAGATCATTGGCCAAAACGAGACACTTCTTCCGTCCTGCAGGAATGGCAAATGGTCCTATACCTGCCATGACATCGTAAAGAATGTCACAGTTCTTGAGCTTCTTCAATATACGTTCATGTTCAGTAGACAGTCTAGGATTCCAGTACACTTTTTCAAAATCCATTGAATAAGTGCAGCCATTTTCTTTAACTGTAACATGCATGTCTCCACTACCTGCCAAAGTTTCCATCTGAAAGTTTCTGTAAGTAGAATTAATACTACTTGTTTTGTTAACAACTAAACAAATACCAGAGATTTTATCCAAATACACTTGTCCAATCAAGTGTTTATATGGTAGCATGTGTTCACGAAGGTTGAGGTGAAGGACATGTCCTATTAATGAGTAGCTTTGGGCCCCTTCTTGATTTTCTGGAAGTACAGCCTTCAAAATAGCTTCAGCTTTCCAGTTTTCATATTTTAGAGTAATTTCTTTGTAATTAAATGTGGCTTCTATACCACAAGTATTCATCAAAACTCCTTGAACATCTTCAAAACTTCTCACTAACAAAGGATTAAGGAGAAGTACCTTCTTGTCTGGATCATTTTCATCATCCATAACACACTTAAATTTCTGGAACTTCAACAAATATTTTTTAAGGCATTTGTGTGCTTTGTTTATTTCACTGTTTTTAACTACCAAACAAGGAACACTGATTTTAGACTGGAATAATTTTTTATCAAGTACAGTCATTCCTCTAACTATTGCTGGAGGTGAAAGGAGACTTTCATCCATTATTTTTCCAAGTTTGTCTAAAGTAGCACTGAGCTTTAAATATGGATTAAGCTTAATAATGTTCTCTGTATTTTCAGTGCAATGTAAAACCGAATTTATATGAATAAACTTTTTGGGTCTATATTTTACAAAGGAATGTGATGCAAACACTGCAAAGTCAAATAACCTCAAACCAATATACCAGTTGGCAGCACACCTGTAAGGTTTTGAGATACAGCAGATATGCCGGAGAGCGCTGAAATAAAAACAACCTAACGTTAATTGTGTTTACATTTAAATATACAGCACTATACCTATCTTTACTGAACCAACCCGTCCTCTAACAAATAATGTCGCTTTTTGCTCGTATGTGCTACGGCCAAAAATTACCATATTAGAAAGTGGAAATTCATTTTCCCAAATGAAATGTACCCAAAGCAGCAAGTTTTGGGTCCTCTGGTAGGTTAGTAGAGCAGCAAGTTCTAAGGTTTCAAAACTTCACAAAAACTGTTAATTTAAAGTGTCCTCTCCTAACCTAACAAACTTACCCAGAGACCCCACCCAAAACAGAAAACGGGACAGTACGTCACTTTCGCGAGCCACGTCCATTTTCTAGTATGGCACTTTTTAGCCTTAGTGTGCATACAAGCAAAAAGTGAAGTTATTTGTAAGAGGACGGGTTGACTGAACACCAGAAACTTTTTTTTTTTAATATAATTACAGTAATTATTCAAATGCATAGAAGTAAAATATTATAATTAAAAGTCAACTAGATGTTAGCTCAGCAAGGGAATCGTCCTTCAACTTACCATTATATAAAATATCTGGACAATGAATTTTTCTGACAACCTGCCATGATTCTCAACCTATTTGTTGAGATAGCACTTGGGTGTAAAAAACCAGCATTGAATGTAATTAAACTCCTCTTTCCAGTAAAGCCTTGGTGGTTCCCTGAAGCTATCTGACCGTGATGGTTCCCCCCTACAGTGCCACATCACCTATAGGAGTCATGCATGGCCAACCAGGGACCAGAGACAGAACCTGGGCCCCCCCTCATAGACACACAGGTAGCAGGGAATTGTTACAATCACCCCTCACTGAAAAAACACCCAAAACATAAGCAAAGTAACACAGATAACTGAAAGGTTCACAGAAAATGAAACACTGAAAAATACAAATGACTACACAAGTGATTCACTTGGATCCAAATCAATCACTAAAAACTAGCTCAAATTTCCTAGTTGTGAATGGTCACCTATTGGTGGCAGCACCACGAGAGTTCAAGTTTTTCTGCCAGCTCTGAGTCACCCCAGAGATTGATAGGAGACAAACCAATGAACCTGGTAAGGGGAGAATGTGAATCAGGAAGCCACCAAGGCCCTATCTGAAAGTAGCATTTTAATTACACTCAATACTAGCATTCTGAAGGAGCCCCATGGTGGCTCCCTGAAGGTATCTAGCAACAGAGAAGGAAAACATGGGACTTATGAGAAGAGTGGCAATGACATTCACAAAGACAAGACACCATGACAGGAAACTTCGCCCAGGCAAACAGAAGCCCAATGGTAACCAGGAACATTGACAAACTTTGAAATTTTAAGCCTGTATAATGCATTACTAAAAGTTCCAGTGGACTACAAACCAATATTCCTCGACCATCTCAGTAAAAATGCTACTCTAATAAACAAGACTAAAACAGTGTTAAGGCACTGTATAACATACACAAATATCTCTCTCCTGTCAACACTCAGTTACATACTCATCATCTGTACAAAATAGCACGTAAACTCACCGAAGCATGTTAGCTGAAAACTGTTACTTCATACTGTGTTGCTGGCCTTATCTACCGTTTCTAATGCAGTTCTCATTATTTGAAGAGTGAATTTATTCCTTACCTGTAAACAATCTAAATTACAGTATTTGCATTAAAAAAAATAAAAGTTTAATACAGTACTTAATTGCCTTCAGGTTACTTAAGGTACAAAAGCATCAATGAAAATTCATCCATCGTGGCAAAAATGACAAAGTTGTTCATAAACTGAAGGGTCTCGGTAGTACTGTTGGGTTCATTCATGACTCAGTCGGTAATCCTGGGTTCGAATTCCAGGTGGTACAGAAATTAGTTTCCTTTTACCTGTTCTTCTGTTCACCCAGCAATAAATAGGTACTGTACCCAAGAGTTAGTCAACTGTTGGGGAGGGTCAGTAGTTCAAACTTTGGGGTAATTTGGGCAATTCAAACTTTGGGGGTAATTTGACCTGAATATAAGTCAAATGTATATACAGTACATACAACAATTAAGTGGATATAGACTGCCAGTCCCTGACAAAACAAAAAAAACTTCTTTGTTGGATCAGGGGTTACTTATCCAACAGGAAGTCATCTGTATTTTTCCAGAGGCATAAGAGTGTAACAAGAGACTTCAAGCTAGGCACCCCACAGGGAGGTGTCCTCAGTCCTACCTTGTTTAATATCTTAATAAACATGCTGTTAAACTCTGTACCGAGCAAACCCAACGTGCTTTAGCTATGCTGATAATATGATACACACCACTGGGTATGCTAACATGCAGAACACTCTTAACTCTGTACTTGACTCATGTCAAGATCTAGGTTTAGTCATCTCAGCAGAGAAAACAAGATACTAAATCGGTGCCCACCTAACCTAGGCAGGGAGGCCCATACGAGGCAGCTCCTATTTATAACCACCCAATCCCACTCATATACGTGTCCAACCCACATTTGAAACAATCGAGGGACCCCACCTCCACCATGTTACGCAGTAATTGGTTCCACAAATCAACAACCCTGTTACCGAACCAGTATTTACCCAAGTCTTTCCTAAATCTAAACTTATCCAATTTATACCCATTGTTTCGTGTTGTCTTGTGTTGATACTTTTTAATATCCTATTAATATCCCCTTTGTTATGTCCATTCATCCACTTGTAAAGTCTATTATGTCACCCCAAACTCTTCGCCTTTCCAGTGAATGCAATTTAAGCTTTGTTAATCTTTCTTCATATGAACGATTTCTAATTTGGAGAATTAACTTTGTCATCCTACCCTGGACACGTTCAAGTAAATTTATATCCATTCTATAGTACGGCGACCAAAACTGAACTGTATAATCTAAATGGGGCCTAACCAGAACAAGATATAGCTGAAGAACAACTATCATCATTACCTAGCCTCAGAACTTTACATTTATCAGAATTTTGAATGTAATGCTAATAAATGAACTAAAACTAGAATTTGTTGTTGTTTACGTGTTGGCTATTGTTGTTTCCTCAAAAAATTCAGCTTGACAAAATCGTATGGTCAAATAAAGGGGAAAGGGGGGGGGGCGGTCCTTCGAAAGCCACCCAGACTACTAAGAACATAAGAATAAAGGTAACTGCAGGAGGCCTATTGGCCCATACGAGGCAGCTCCTATCTATAACCACCCTACTAGTGAGATGGCGGGCCTCGGAAAGACAGGAAATAAGTGTACATCACCTGCGGTAAGTTGTCACGGATGACCCCAAGGTTCAACAGTGTATGGAGGCAGACGTACCTGTGTAGTCAGCCGCTGACAGCAAAGTGTCTTGTCGATAACTTCACAAGCTGCAGTGTTGTGATCTCCATGTTGTTGCTCACTGGGTTATTATTTGCCAAATTAGATCATAACATCTTTAAATGCCTGCACGTGCGGCTAGTTTACACAATATGGAGATGCTTGTCTCGTCGGGCGGTTGTGTAGCGATTCACTGGTTCAGTTTTCCGTGATGATCAGCCAGCCGAAGCTCATTCGTTTAGTAAAAATAAAAAAGAAAGAATTACACAATAATAATTTGTATTTATGCAAACGTACATATATGGTATTTTGTGGTTCTAATAGTATGCCATCTGTACTGTTCCAATGCCTTTGAGTGTAGCAAGAGTCTTTGAACATCCCACAGTGAGGTGTCCTAAGAACATAAGAACAAAGGCAACTGCAGAAGGCCTATTGGCCCATACGAGGCAGCTCCTATTTATAACCACCCAATCCCACTCATATACTTGTCCAACCCGCGCTTGAAACAATCGAGGGACCCCACCTCCAGCACGTTACGCAGTAATTGGTTCCACAAATCAACAACCCTGTTACTGAACCAGTATTTACCCAAGTCTTTCCTAAATCTAAACTTATCCAATTTATACCCATTGTTTCGTGTTCTGTCTTGTGTTGATACTTTTAATACTTTATCTTTGTATATCCAGCCATATCTTTGTTATTATTAATGGATTCGTTTTAGATTCACCATCGGGAATCCCTGGTTTGAATTCCGAACGGGACAGAAATGGTTGGGCACGTTTTCTACTTCCTAATGTCAGTGTTCACCTAAAAGTAAATAGGTACTGGACCCTGGGAAGGGGACCTCGATATAAGCCTAACGTATTAATACACAGGCTGCCTGCCTGTATATACCTGATTCACCTGAGAACCACTATCTCTCTAGTGACATCGACGAAAACAGGAATCCGGCCGCTTGTTGAATGTCCTGATGACTGTGTCCAGCTGGATTTTAAAATTTAGCAGCGTTTTGGCATTTACGGCTTCAGTGGATAAGATTGATAAAGATTAAGAGATGTAGTCTCCGTGGTGTAGTGGTAAGACACTCGCCTGGCGTTCCGCGAGCGCTATGTCATGGGTTCGTATCCTGGCCGGGGAGGATTTACTGGGCGCAATTCCTTAACTGTAGCCTCTGTTTAACGCAACAGTAAAATGGGTACTTGGATGAAAAAACGATTCTTCGCGGCAGGGGATCGTATTCCAGGGACCTGCCCGAAACGCTACGCGTACTAGTGGCTGTACAAGAATGTAACAACTCTTGTATATATCTCAAAAAAAAAAAAAAAAAAAAAAAAAATTAAGCCACCCAAGAGGTAGCACGGGCATAAATAGTCCGTAAAGAGAGCGGATAAGTGGTTCATGGGTTTATATAACCTTAAGGGCTATATACTGCTTTCCAAGTAACTGACAACACGCTGGCACCGTTTTTGCGCCAGGTAAGTCCACTATGGGCTCATCATAGCCCGCGCTACTTGCCCCGCGCATGTGCCAGGTAAGTTACGGGCTCACCATAGCCCGTGCTACTTGGAACTTGTTCCGAGTAGCTGAATCTATAGCAACAACAACAACTGACAACATTGGTTCAGAAGGCTTACAGAATGCGACAAACGAGTTATATTTGTAGGAGTACTACAAATGGTACTCGCCATACCAAGCGACGCAGTTTGACGGAATAGATACTTGGTCACTGGTTATGATAAACACGGTCAAAATGGCAAATTGGTCTTCATTTGAAAAGTCTACTAATATTATTAATATGCAAACACGTATGCATCTGTGTAAAGGGAAAATATGAAATCTTTCAGGATAAATAAAGGATGTCTAAATGATTTCCGACGTCTTTGTACAATGAATTTGCAATGATTTGCTTACACTGTACAAATACATTGTATTTCTTTATTATCTGTCAATTACAATGTCGAATATTTATTACAGATAAAATATTATAAAAACAGAGCAGTAAAGGGGTCAGTGGTGCTGTTCATTCACTTGGTGGATGGGAGTGTCGTCGAGAAGGGTGAGGATATCGGCCACAGAATTGAGATAGAAGAGTGGCACTTGCTTCTGCTTCTGTGGGTCCTGGGTGGTGGAGAGCTGCCGGGCCTCCTGCAGGCTGGTGACGCCGCTCAGCACCAACACCGTCCACATCCCGCACTCGTTCCCCAGCAGGATGTCTGTATGTAGCCTGGCCGGACGAGTCAGAAGGTCAGGGGTCAGATACAGGGAGGTAGGTTAGGGTCAGGTACAGAAAGGTACGTGGGGTCAGATACAGGAAGGACGAGTGGGGGGGAGATCAGATACAGGAAGGAAGGGGAGTCAGATAGAGGAAGGCATAGATCAAATGCAAGAAGGAGGGAGGGTCAGGTACAGAAGGGAGGAAAAGGCGAGATACAGGAAGGTGGGAGATTAGATCATAATACCGACAAAATACATCCAATTTATTAATGTTATTACAGTGATGAATGGAACAACGCACACACATATTCGTGGATACCGAGACTGCCATGATAAAGGGACGTGTAAGAGTGGCTGTGATCTACGACCTTCCAGGGGAAAAAAACAGGAAACCCCACAGGAATACGAGAACACTCAAAGAGCTTCCACAGATATTCTTCAACAAGAAAGCTAAAAAATTAAAGCGAAAAGCTTCTAGTTATGGAAAAATTAAGCCATAAGAGGTATGAACTGAGAAACAATGGATCCTCTGGAAGAAAAATGACGTGAGATTACTGGAACAGGCATTTTAAAGGAAACTGGTAACACATCAAGGAGAGACCCCAAAGGTGGGGGAGATCTACCAGCAAGACTTGATCTAGTGTTCCAGTCAGACAAGTTGGACATCAGAAGCATATCAACCCATCCTCCTGTTTTAATAGTACTCTTTGGAACTATGTAGTCGATCGTACCAGTGTGTAAGTAATGGAGACCCATTAAGTCACTTTTGTATATTTTTTAATCGAGTCCGGAAAAAAATCAAGCTAAACCAAACTTAAATATAATACATATGTGTACTAAATTAGGCCTCAGATAGAGTGTATTAGGCCTAGGATGGAATTAGGTTTTATTAGCAACAAATATGGTGGTGATGGTTATGTTGTGGGTGAGTGATGTTGCAGAAGGTGATGTGATACTGATAGACTTGATGACAGCTGGGACAATGAAAATTTAAATAATAAGAGTAATAATAAACCCCATCACAGCAACAATAAGAATAAACCCATCAAACAATAATAACAAAGAGAGTGTAATAGCTCACGTGTCGCCGATAATAAGGGTCTTCTCCGGCTGAACGCCGTAGCGCGCCTGCAGCATGTAGAACATGTTGAGGGAGGGCTTGCCCATGACGCGAGGCGGCCGGTTGCTGGCCTTCTCAATGGCACTCACCAGGATGCCAGCAGCTGAAATAATGATCTTTGTGCAGGGTTAATGAATGCGGTGTTAGACATCTGAGCTCAGAATACAGCGGAATTGTATTGTGGTGTCGGGTAATGGGGCTGGGGCCTGCTACAACAGCATCTGTATCACTATATATATCTTCCATCCCTAATGATCGAGGTGGAGTGTGTTCATGCCACGCCATACTGACCCTCACACCCCTACACAAGTCAACACTATCTTAATTGTTCCTTCCTGTGATTAGTATTACGGGTTCACCATAGCCCGTGCTACATGGACACTTCGTTCTGAGTAGCTAAATCTAAAACAACAACAACATGTGATTAGTAGCATTATAAAATATCAATACCTACTCATCGTTTATACAGTAATAATGTTTTGTTGCACAAATGAGGTATAGATATTCTGAAAGCACTATTGTCACTTCAAGCCTGCTGCAAGAACTCAAAAAAATCCTTACAATACTAGTAGTGGTTTAAGGAAGCCAGCAACCGGTTGCCTCACCTGGGAGATGGTATCTGGTGCCCGTGACCACGTACTTCTCGTCCATGTTGGTGGCCAAGAACATGCACTCAGGGTTAGCCAGGTAGCTAGTGGCCCGGACCAGTTTGTCGTAGGTGAAGTCCTGGTCAAAGCCGACGACGACAGCGCCTACGCGAGGGTCAAGGCCAATGGTTCCCCGAGCCAAGGCGTTGTATATGGATCCTTCAATTTTTTCAGGCTAGGATAAAACAACTGAGTTAAAATGTTGACCAGACCAAACACTAGAAGGTGAAGGGACGACGGCGTTTCGGTCCATCCTGGACCATTCTCAAGTCGATTCACAATCGACTTGAGAATGGTCCAGGACGGACCGAAACGTCGTCGTCCCTTCACCTTCTAGTGTGTGGTCTGGTCAACTTACTTTAGCCACGTTATTGTGACTCATCGCCTGAGTTAAAATGACTGCCTTCATTGTGCTGAAGCAACACACACATAAGGATGATAAACAAATGCAATACAGCCTAAATTAATTTCAAAGAAGACCAGAGAAATGAAGTCGTAACTAGTAAGTTTAGTTTCCTAGAGATTTCCCCTGATTCGCAGAGGTACTTATAGCCGAGTCTAAGCCGAGCAGTAGTAACATTTAGGAGTCTAATGATTTTATTAGACGATTCATAGATGTGTGGCTCTTCTAGCATGAAGAGTATGATGATAGATGAAATTACTGGTGTCGATTTCACGTTGCCTCAGATCTACAAGGTTTTGTTGAAGTTCTTGGTGTATTATTGCTCTTAGACTGTTTATAGGCAATCTAAGGTTATGATCAACTCCTCATTTGAAGGCAAATTCTTTGGATAACTCATCAGCTAGCAAGGAACTCATCAAGAAGAGCTACACATCTATGGATCATCCAATAAAATCAGCAAACTTCTAGGTGTTACTTCTACTCAGCTTAGACTCTGCCATAAATATGTGGGAACTTTCATTACCTACTGAAGTAGACTTGACAAAATGTAAACTGTCAATTAAATTGTTCACACACCCTCCGCCACTATGTATAACAAATGTTCAAGAAATGTGTATATATTTAATTCAAAATTATCTGCTACCAGGAAATTTTAGCCAAATATCCCTTGTTTGCTAACTGCAGGTAGTAACTGATTTATTGTAACTTATCCACCGCTGCCCGCTGGATGGGGGGGGGGGGGCGTTGTGAAGGATAAACAAATCAATTATGACAGTAGCTCTCCACATGTCAGTTGCTTAATATAGAGATTGTACTTGTGGTCGGTCTCGAGCCCATTGTTGATGTGACGATGTGCATTAAATTTTGTAATTTGTTCATCAAGACTATAACTTAGCTAAATTAATTTTAGGGTCAGACCCTGAACCCATTATGTGCCTCTATAACCCTTTCCCCTCGCCCACAGGATGGGTATGGGTTGCATAATAAATGAACTAAACTAACACTTCTATCTACCATCGTTCATCATAAGCTCCTCAAGTCTATAACACCTTTTTTACATTCCTCGAATTTGTCATGGAAATAAAATAACAACTATCAATTATCAGGAGAAAGCCCCAAGCTTTTATGACTATATAACATATAATTAAGATGTCTTACCCCTAATCCAATACACTGGATCCCCACAGACTGTATCTCCTGGGCCAGGCCCGGAGCGCCCACCACGTACACCTTCTTGTTGAAGCCGATCTCCTTCAAGTACTGCGCCACGATATAGGGGGCGCTCAGTATGTGGTCCTGTCGGTGTGCTCTACTCAGTAATGATCAGCTTCACAACACATTTGATTATTAATATATTCACAATGAAACACTTTTATAACCAGGCAATATGTACATTGCTCGGACACCCAACCCATAACTATAAAAGTAAAGGAATGGATGACGTTACGGGCCGTAATGAACCAGATGGGTATAGGGTGCATAATAAATGAATTAAACTAAAACTAACATGGACCATTATCAAGACCTTATCGTCACCAACTGATAACGGTCCAGGACGGACCGAAACGTCAGTTCCTTTACACATAGACCGGTGGCTTGGGTGTCTAATTTTCAGCCCCGTTATTCAGACTGTCTGCCATACATTGTTCCAACTAAACGAATACAGCAAGAACATCACTATGGGCACTGAATGAGTCTTCCAGTTAGTATATTGAATAGAGATAATAGCTTATTTTGTCGCGTGAGAATATATTTTCCCGTGCAGCTCACCCGATCAACGTTAATCCCCAGAGAGCGACATTTGTCGTAGTAGCTGTCTTGTGTCTTAGTGGAGTTGTTGGTGATGAGGAAGACGTTCTTGCCCATCGCCTGCAGCCTGCTCACCACCTCGCTAGCTCGGGGTATCAGGTCCATACCTTGAGCGCCCTGCCACAGAACACCTGAGAGGTACGTCGAAATCTCGAATAAATATTCGAAATCTTCAATATTTACATGCATTTTTTTCCTTAGTTCAATTAGCCAAGTCATTATTCTGTGACATTAATATGAATAAAGCTGAATTAAATACTTTTGAAAACCTCGTTTGGCGAAAACTAGCTTAGCCACCATATTATTATTATATTGATCATATTTTAACTGAGAGCGTTTTAGCTGGACGAAGTTACCTTACCTTGAGGTCATTATATATTTTGTTTTTATTTATTGGATTTAAAAATAACGTAGCCAAATTTATCTAGATGGCGTACATGCAGCTTACTAAGCTAGATGGAATTACACATCATGCTAAATATTTGCCAAAACTTGTCGAGAGCCAATGACATCACCAGGCAGACAGGTGGGATTTTAGACAATATAAATGACAGGTAAAAGTGTCAATGAAAGAGGCGTGAATATTAACTTGTCTGACGTCATCAATCTAAATATAACACAATTCCTATGGGGGGGGGGGGGGTAGAAATAGCCTAAGCTACTCTATCCCTTTCAGATTTCTTTCTTTCTTTTCTCAAAAAACATACTTGAACTTGAACTTGATTCCTATGGGGTAACCAATTAACATATTAATTTTGTTGGTGACTAAAAATTAAAAATAATTTTGTTGGTGACTAAAAATTAAAAATTAAGACTAAATTAAATTATAATAAAGATGTACTGAAGGTTCAGATCGACCAGATTGATATTATAATTGTTGTCATGCAATTTATCTTTGATTAAATAGAGACCAGTCTAATAAAGTTGCTAGAAAACACACGCACACACACACAAACTTGTATAAGGAATCATTCAGAACCTTGTATACTACTTATGTCAGACCAATCCTGGAGTATGCAGCTCCAGCCTGGAGTATGCAGCTCCAGCCTTGACCTAGTTAAACACAAGACAAAGTTAGAGACGATTCAGAGGAATGCCACCAGACTAGTCCCAGAATTGAGTGGTATGAGTTACGAGTAAAGACTACGGGAGCTAAACCTCACCTCCCTGGAAGACAGAAGAGTAAGGGGAGACATGATCATCACCTACAAAATTCTCAGAGGAATTGCCATGGTGGCTAAAGACAAACTATTTAGCATGGGTGGAACACGAACAAGGGGATACAGTTGGAGACTGAGTACTCAGATGAGTCACAGAGACATTAGAAATATTTTTTTCAGGGTAGTTAACAAATAGAGTGCATTGGGCAGTGATGTGGAGGAGACAGACTATACCGTTTCAAATGTAGATATGATAGAGCCCAATAGGCTCAGGAATCTGTACACCAGTTGATTGACAGTTGAGAGGTGGGGCCAAAGAGCAAAAGCTCACCCCCCCCCCACCCACGCACAACTAGGTGAGTACACACACACTCACTAGCATGATATGACGCCTGTAGTGCAATAGTCTATATCCTCGGCTCACAATCGAGGACGTTTCCTTTTACGTCCTCGCACAAACCAGAGTTTTACACAACTCCCCCCATGCACTCCAGCTATGTCAATAGGCCGTTCTCCCTCTTCGCCCTTACTTCATTACACACAGAAATCACAATTGCGTGATGCATCAAATGAACAAATCCACAAGGGTCCTGCAGCCTCCCCGAGGCTGCATGGGATCGGACGGGGAAAAGTAATGGTGCCCAACCGCTTGGACGGTCGGCGTCATTTATATAGTGGTTGGGATGTATATAGGTCACGGAACTCTCCAGATTTCATACTTGTTGGGATAAGAGGAATATTTAAGTGTGTTTCCGGCGAGTTTTGGCAGCTCTCCACTACATACATAATGGGTGCATACTCACACACTAAAAAAAGCAAAAGTTACTGTACATTTTACCATATTTCATGTAACGATTGCAAGATGACTTGGTGCAGATATTTGGGAACAAAATATAAGTGCATAGGCCAACAGTATAACAAATGCGACTCGACATTTCTTATGGAATTATGTTTTTTCATAGATCTTTACAGGACAATTATTAGGTCGATTAGACTACACACAAAAGCAGGCTAAACAGAACTTACCTAGAATTTTACATAAAGGTGTCTGAAATCACGGTGACTAAAGCTAAACCATTCAAGGAATAACAACATGCTAGACTGAAGGCACATAGCTGTCAATAATGAAATACTCACCATCACAATCAAGTAACACTGTGTCTATTTCGCCCAAGAGCTGCTGAAGGGAGTCTTTATCCATAGACATGGGTAGGGAGTCCATTATTGCGGTAGTTGGTTAGTTGAGGGAGGCGAAGGTGTGAGGAGAGCACGTGTAGCTCCAGCCAAGTCTGCTCTCTAAATAACTTGTGAATAAGCGGCCCTCCGGCGGCGAGCCACCGCTGGCTTTTATCATCTCATTCACTCAACACTTGAAAACTTTTCCCAAGTTATTCGTGTTTGTATAAACGTACAATATTTACACAAAAAATTGTCATCAATATTATAGGCTATTTTAAAAATGAAAATTTTTCATACCAAATTAGTTTGTCAGTGATTTGAAAAGATTATTAGCAAATTATCTCAAACGCGATTTTATTAAGGTTTATTCCCTTTAAGCTAAGCTGGGTAACCCTGCCCTTCTCTTCACCTGGTAACTACCTTTACGAGGAATGTGTATCAACGTCACCCAACTCTATGCTATTTATAGTTGGCTGTATATAATCAAATATGAATCAGGCGCGAGACGTGCAGGGGGTGGCGTGTTTAAGATGCGAGACTCAAGCATATGTTAAAATTTGATCACATGGTTTAATTGGAAATATTCATGGGGAAAATTGAAGCTGTGTACGAGGCTAGTCAATTTGGAAACTACCAATACCTTCAAGTTACTGTCTAGCCGTTTATGTAATAACTTTTATATTCATTTCATAAACATGATGCTTTTTGTGTAAAATTATATGAGCAAGAAATGCCGAAACCATTGATTGTTCAGCCCGTCCTCTCGAGCGCTCCCAACGTCACTAAACTGATGTATTAAGTTACTGAACCTAACCTATCCAACCCTCCCCCTACACACACACACACACAAAACGGCATATCACGTCAATTTTGCGAGCCGCTATGAATTTTAGTACATTGGTTTTTGGTCTTGGGGTGATTTAAGTCAAAATGCAATGTTCTATTCGAGAGGGCAGGTTGATCTGCCGCCAGAAAGGGAGAGCGTTACTACATAGATTAGTTGTGCTTACTATGGTGGTTTCGATAAAATATTTGTCCATTTCAGAACATTTAGATGCAAGGGAGTGTGATATACATGTATTAAGACAAAGACAAATATAGACAATATCAGAGTATTAGGCAAAATAGAGGGAGTGAAGGAATTAATAAAAGGAGAGCGGAAGAAGTATTGGAGATGATAGAGAAAGGAAAAAGTTGAAAGTGAAGGAACAGAGGCTGAAGGAAAGGAGACGAAGTTTAAAACCATTATCTTAAGTCATTTCTCTCCAGACAACCTACCCATTTGGTTTTATTTTTTCCCAATGTTTTGACTGCTATGCTTGTCAACGACACAGGTCTAATTTAAGAGGGTCTGCCCTGTTACCATCTTTGTAGATTGGAACTACATTAGCCTTTTTTTTTTTTTTTTTTTTAACATATCTGCCAGGACTTGCACACAAGATGACTGAAAACTCAGTTTAAGTAGAGCTGAGCTCAGATGCACATTCTCTCAGAACCCAAGGTGAAACTATCTGGGCCAAATGCTTTGTTTGTACTTAATCCTTGAACATTTTATCCACTGTCACGTGTACCCTTGTGCTGTGCTGCCCATGTATGGTTAAAGAGTGTTCAATGGCATCTCCCAAGTCATAGACCACAAAATTTAGTTCGTTGTTTTCCCATCATATGACTATCACTTACATATTCCATCGAAGATCTCCATTGATGATTTCGGAATGCTATTTATGTACACAAGATTCTTTACTTAATATATATTTCATATAAAAATGAAGACTATTTTGTTTGGTTCTGGCTCCTATTCACAATGGAATGCTGACCCTGGCAAGAATTACTGTAGATAAATGATTGTTTTCCAAACCTTTTTGTTTTTGTTCCGTCAGGGTGGCAACTGATAACTGCACTTAAAGGTTCAATTTCAAAATCTCTACACTGCAAAAATAATCTGTATACATTAAACTTAAGATATTTATTCATGTTATGCTAATAATTAGGGTTTTCACTTTTCTGTAATATTCAAATTTAATACAAAATAAAACTATCTTTATAAAAGGTTGATCCAAAAGAGACATATACGAAGAATCTTTACTTAAGAGCCACTTAACAAAAGTTACAGACCTTTTTCAGTAACAGCATAGATTGAACATCTCCTTGATAAAATCTTTTGAGATAAATATAAAACTCTTTCAAGGTATTAAAAGGGCCTGAAAGATTTCGAGGACTTGTGGAACCTTAAATAAGTTGCCACCTATTTTTTTTATTATTTTTTTTTTTAAGAGTTTCAAGCTTTTTCTACAAAACTATCCCTCTGGGTATATTAAAAAAAATTATTAACTTTCATCAAACAAAAAATAAAATTTCATGTGAAATTAAGAATGAAAGTTACAAAAAATATACCAATAAAAAAATAATGGAAGGGGTGGGGAGGGGGGCTCAAGAAGAGGATCATTGAGCCATTGTGCAAGGGGAATGGTCTAATCCCCTACTAAAAACCGTAGAAAAATAATTTAACATACACGTGGCAAAGCCAGAAGTGATGGGCATTATGCATTACATATATTACACGAAGCGTACTTCCCAATGCAAGTGTTAAAAAGAAAACCACCGTCATCCTAAAGCCCATGCTGCCAGATTCCAATGCGAACTGTTTTGAAGACTTTAAATATGTTTCGGGTTAACCGCAAACCAGAAATAACTTGCAGTATAGTATCTATAAGAGAAATGTTATTGGAAATGGAGAAATCATTCCTCTTTTCATCAGCAGGTGAACTGAAGAAAGTATTCGACATCCAATTCTTGTTTATAAAAGATAGTTTGTTAATGTCAGTATATCCTTAAAAGCATGCTATTACAATGCTCGAAGCCAACAGTTTCATATGTATACAATAACAAAAATTATAACTTAAAACACATACCCTCTGATAAAGGAGGAATCAATTCCCAATTTTACATGATTTTCAATTTACTGAGAACAAAAGGCAGTAAGTAACAGCCATTTTAACAATATTAACAAACAATATCACTAATTTATTAAAAACCTTTAATCTGACCATCCCATGGGGGAAAATAAAATTGAAGCACATTTAAATTGCTTAAAATAGATAAATATGGATAATTTTGAACAAAAAGGCCTCTTACAATATTTACATAAATAATGATCCAAGTATTTAAAGTAAAACATTTATACAAACAAATGATCGCTAAATTTCACATATAATCTAAAAAAAAAAAAAGAAAAAAAGAAAAACAAGAATTTGTGGCTTCAGTACTAAATAAAACAATAAAAATATGAGAGATTTAGGTAAGCTGGTTACCACTTTTTCTTGTGTTCATCCATACTAACTCCTCCAGGACCAAGGGAAATGAGCATCAACAGGCCTCCAATTACTGACAATGTCTGAAAAAATTAAAAAAAGTTATTGCACTTCAGCAATTGTACCTCTTCTACAGATTACAATCAATCCTCCAAAATTATAGTACACATTACAACGGAGAGGCATCTGTGCAAAATATTTTCACATGGTACAAAATGTAGACTTATCTATGTTCAACAATCCATATGGACCAACCTGTTCCAAGAGCTTTGGCATTTTTCACTTTTTCCAATCCTAAATGACAGACCATGTTTGGGCATATCCAATATACTGTACTATAGCCAAAATTATAAACCAAACATTTTGAATAAACATGAAGGAAAGGTAAGAAAAACTATAAGGATTTTGTTTTTTTACTTAGGAAAAGTCTAATAATTCAGTTAATCTCTGCAGGCAGAATGTGGCTATTCAGTACAGAAATAATGTATGCAATAAACACAAATTTGCTATACTATGTTGTTGCAAAACCAATTATATGCAATGATCACACTTCATATGCTTATATTTCTTAAGCAGTTCTTACTTTGAACCATAGCTACCAGTTCTATCACCTGCCACTCATCAGGCTTGCTCACTTTTCTCAATCTAAACTAGCGATTCCCAACCTTATTAGAACCTTACTTTCCAGTAATCAAGTAATTATAAATTAGCAGTCCCTGTGGTGCAGTGGTAAAGCGCTTGCTCGGGGCTCTGCGAGTGGTTTGGCCTGGGTTCGTATCCTGGCCGGGGAAGACTGACTGGGTGCCAATCCTTAACTGTAGCCTCTGTTCAACTAGCAGTAAATGGGTAGCTGGTGGTTAAACGATTTGGTGGGTCATATTCAGGGGAAAATTTGGATCAAGGGCCTACCCGAAACGCTATGCATACTAGTGGCATTACAAGAATTGACCTCTTGTATACATAAAAATAATATACATACACATCAAAAGAATGAATCAAGCCAGGGAGACTGTAGCACCAACAAAGTCACAGGATAATCAAAAGGCAATAAATATCACTAAGGATGCCAATACGAGAACAAAAAGCGCATAAGGTGAACAATAAAGGTATCTGACTCGCCAAGGATTCTATCAAGGGACAAGTGATCGCAAGGGATAGGCAGAAACCAAGACACATTCAACAAAGATATGCACGACTAAGTGGGACAATGCAGTTTGGACAATAAGGAGCAAGGCGGTGCTTCATTAAGTGCCCGTGAGTTAAACGTGTATGACCAATATGAAAACCTCACCAGAGTCGTTTCCCACCGCTGGTTACGGTAGTAGAAAGGGGAGGGGCCCCAAAGAGAACAGGCTACCTTTAAGAGCACACAGTTTGTTACCAGTAACAGAAGACCAATGACCCTGCCAACAGGCACAGATCGAGAAATGCTCGAATAATAAAGAGACCTGCAAACTCGCCATGCCACACATTGAACATGTTCAACTGCTTCTATCTCAAAGTTCTTTGTATAGCTGAAACTTGACTGACCTAGTCCTAACCAGTGCACCATGACACCTAATAGCAGGCAGGGGGGAGGGGGGTTTCAACCCACCAATTGGGAACCACCAATAGAGACTTCCATGTCAAGATGCCTGGTTTAGCTTTACTACTGCTGGTAGAATTTTTTTTAACTACTTAAAGGACGAGATTTTTCAAATAAGATGAGATTATATACAAGGCGAGGAGGAAAAGGAGATGGTAAGCCACACCCCCACGTCAAATATATACAAAGTCCTTTAGTATGAATGTATTCAGTCTTACTTTTTTTAATTTTAAAATATTCAAATCTGAGGGTGATCAAGACAGCATTAAATACCAGGCTAAACTTTATTTTTACACTATGAACATGCTGCCATAAGAATCCTGTACTGTAACTCTTATTAATCCTGTATATGGAAATATGAATTTAAATGATAAGAATCAAAAAACTAAAATAATGGAAAAAAAAGGGGAGGGGAAGTCAACCCATATAATTCAAATTAGTGAGCCATTACCGTCACTTTTTAATTTATTAAATTCTTTTCCCCCAAAGCCACCTAAATATTTAAAAATTACCTCAAATACTCTTCAATTAGTCTCTGCATTTCATCAAAATTCAACAATCATCCCACTCATCTAGTGGAGATTTCTTCTGCCTCTTTCCCAGGCCCATGCCCCCTCAACCCATAGTTTTCAGAAGGTAGCACTGACAAAAATATACAGTGGTACCTCGGAATGCGATTGTCCCTGTATGCGAGGTTTTCGGAAGGCGAGGTGTATTTACTCCAAAAATTTGTCTCGGAAGGCGATGGTTACTTCGGGAGGTGAGTTTGGACGCGAGTTTGTTGATACGCGTACAGCCGACCTAGCGCGTTCGTCGCCCCTCCGCCCCTCAGTTTATTATTGTCTCGCGCTCAGTGACTACCCCCACATCAATTCTTCTCGTGGATTTTCAGTGTTTTGTTAGATTTTTGGTGATATGTCTATACAATGTTATTATATATCTCACCATGGGTCCCAAGAAAGCCAGTGGTAAGGATAAAGGCCAGAAAGCTCATGTGAGGATGACAATAGAGGAGAAACGAGATCATTCGGAAGCATGAGAACGGTACACGTGTTGTTGAACTTTGTAGGCAGTACAACAAAGCCACATCAACAATATGCACTATACTTAAGAAGAAAAATAAGATTATGGGTGCTAAAGTGGCAAAAGGAGTAAGAACATTAACGGCACAAAGACCACAAATACTTGAAGTGGAAAAGTTGTTATTAATTTGGATACACGACAAGGAGTTGAGGGGTGATAGTGTTTCGGAGGCCATTATTTGTGAGAAAGCCAGGGTGTTGCACGAAGACCTTCTAAAGAATACCCCTGCAACGAGTGATGCAGATAAGAAAGAGTTCAAGGCAAGCAGGGGCTGGTTTGAACAATTTAGAAAGAGAAGTGGTATCCATAGTGTTACAAGGCATGGGGTTATGTGATGTGATTATGGAAGGGGACTCCCCTTCCAAACAGTAACTCCTCTCCTCCTCCCCCCTCCTCACCATCTTCCATACGCTTACAGCACTCGACAGCAAGGTAAGTAATAACTGGAACACAGTTTTGTAGGTTTATTTAGATGAATTAGGTAAATTAGGTATAAAAATTTAGTTTGATGTGGGGTTTTTGGGGTAGTCAGGAACGGATTAATTCATTTCCCTTTATTTCTTATGGGGGAAATTAACTTCGGAATGCGAGTTTTCGGAAGGCGAGGCATCTCCAGGAACGGATTAAACTCTTATTCTGAGGTATGCCTGTATTCTATTCATAAAATATTGGAGGGTCTGATTACAATTATATTACTGATTTTTTTTATAAAGCCACTATTACACCAGATTTCACCTGTTCACCTAGCAGTAACTAGGTACCTGGGAGATGGACAACTGTTGTGGGTTGTGTGACAACCTTCCTGAGGAAGGTCAGTCATTTGCCTAGAAGAACCTCAATCAACATAATGGAATTCCAGGTGGGGATCGTCAGGATATGACCAACATTTTCACTGGCACCATAACAATGAAGTCATTAGTGGGAACTAATAAAGAACAAATGTAACTTTTTAAATGCTAGTGATTAAAAAACAATCTTTGGGAAGCAGCCAGCATCCTTAATAAAAGGAACAATGCTACACTAGGAAAACAGTAACTTCATAGCAGGAATATAAATTGTAGCCTTTTTATCTCTACAAGTGTTGAAGTGTATCCTCTGAACCGTTTTAGCTATTGTCATGAGAAACGCAATTCACTGTGACAAATCTGTGTACTAAATAGCATTAAAATTGGAGAGGGTGCTGGAAACCACCTGGGTGAACCAAAATGGAATGACCCACATTCAGAATCTACCTTTATTTCCCTGCTGCCCCACCCACCAGAGCCAAACAGGACAGGACAGGTACACAGGTAACCATTTAAAATCCTCAATGAAATCCCACAAATCAATAGAAATACCAACATCCCATGTCCGATTTTAGCTAGAAATGGCTCACCGATTGATTCTGCTTGGCCTCATAAAACCCTTCAGAGAGATTTCTTCTATACCCCCCCTTCCACAAGACTGATGAACAGGCAGCTTACATGCATTCTAATATGCAAGAAGTTGGAGGATATTGATCCATAACACTTCAAAATGTCATTAAATTAACAAACAAGGGAGAATGGTTGCAAACTTAACAAATCACATTGTATGTCAGAAAACAGGATATGTTTTTTCCCCCATAGGGTTATAAACCCATGGAGCCACCTACCCACTGAAGCCATAAATGCCAAAACACTGCTGTAATTGAAGATCTAGCTCAATAAAAATCATCAGAACAAATGAAGGAAACTGACAAGCCGCCAGAGTTCTGTCCTTGTCGAGGACACGAGATGGTGGCCCTCGGGTAAATACATTTATGTTACCCACTTTTTATATGATACTATACCCCATCTACCAAAATCTGATTAAAATTTGTTTAATCCTTAAAATAAGGTCAATGTTTTATTTTGCAATTGATGGCCTAAGAATTATTGTAATCATTTTCTATACACACTGTACAGTATATTTACCAAATAATATTATGCAAAGACCAATTACTATATTAAATTGGAGATTTTTCTCCTACTTTCCATTATATCTTATCTCAAACCAAAAATATTAGAAGTCAGAATATTAAGACATACCTGGAAGAAGTCATATTTAAGGAAATCTCTCATAGGTTTATAAGCTGGAATAGACCACCAAGCATTAACGTAAATATTGAAGACGTTCAGCCACAACACCAGCATAAAGGCGCTCAATTTTGTCTTGTATCCCACAGCAACAAGACCCATCAGGAGACCTCCAATTACTATTTGGAATATCTGGAAAGGAAACCAGTTAATATTATTACAAATTTTGTACAAATATAGCATTTCAGTGATGCAGGAAACGTTGTAAGGTGTACAGTGCCTTTATGAACCTGGAATGTACACAAGACCAGTGAGGCATGGGATTATAGAGGACACCAAGACTGGATGGTTTGGGAAAAATATATTTACACTTATTGAAGTGATTTAATATTTATAAACTATCCATTTACCATTTTACGATGATCTCTGTACAATACTGTATTCAGCAATATTTGGGTGAGAGTACATACCAAAATTTTGCAGTCCTAGAAAGCTGACCATTTCCTTAGTCTTTCCCCATGTCCCCAATTTCAAGTTCTTAATCCACAGCAATAAGGAATGCAAATAATCTTATGATAATCACAAAACTTTTGATGGTCTTACCTGCATGATTGAGAACTCTAGTCTAACTAAGGTCAGGAACATAAACACTAGAAGGATTCGCCCGCCCAACATAAGGTATGTCTTGGGCTTGTTTTCCCCCAGGGATGGAACGCCAGCGAAGATTGTGCGTGCTTCCTTTTTGCTCTCTGCCAGGACAAGAGCAAGACCACCTACTAATGCCAAATTCCGAAACAGGAACTGCAAATCCCATAGAATCTGATAGGCTATTGTCTGTAAAGGAATAAAATAAATTAATATGTTGATTCATTGTACTAAAGCAGAACTGCTTCTCATACAAAAATACCATCTTGTATTCAAAGAAGAGTTATCAACCTTTTTATCATCAATACTATGCCAACTACCTAACTGCCCATGAGAAGCAAGTGCACTGTCATATATATATCTAAATGTTTAAGTAATCTACTGTACTTGCCCATTGAGATGGATTTCACTACCTATACTTTCAGCCTGTTTCAGTTTCTTATTGCCAAAATTGCATATGAACACAGTAATCAACATTTCTATTTGGTGCATTTATGTCTCTAGCTTTCACTAATCTTCTCGTTTTACCTCTAGAAAAACTCTGTCCACTATATTCCTGTTATTATCTTGCAATGTCTCATCTGCCCTTCTCCCCTTGTGTCATTAGACTAAATTCCTTTATTATAAAAGGTACCAAATGATGTTCCATGAGCTTTACAGATATACCTACGTGTACAAGGTCTGCAACTGTACTTTCACTTTGTTCCAAATTTATTCTCATACTAGCCACATGTTGCCGAGCCACAGCAACCCTCCCCACCATTTCCCAGTCCCCCCCCCATCCTCCCCACCATTCCCCCGCCCCCCCTCCTCTATTCCCTCATCCTCCCCACCATTCTCCACTCCCCCGTCCCCCCACCATTGCCCTCTCACCCGTCTTCTCATCCTCCCCACCATTACCCCCTCCCTCATCCCCTCGTCCTCCCTACCATTCCCCACTCCCTCGTTCAATGTGTTCCCAAATGATCTAATGCTACCATCATTGAAAAATAAGTTAAAAAAAATGAAAATGAAAAAATAAAAAACTATACTCACGAAATGAATGGTACAGTAAACAACACAGCTCATTTGCAATGTTATGTCACAAAATAATTGAATCAAAGAAAATAAATCAAAATCTATGAAAATTCAATTTATCAATGCAATCCAAAACATTGAAATGGAATCTTAACATTTAGAATAGCTTGTGTTACTTTTACGGCCAACAGATGGCGGTTTTTCAAGAAAAGTATGTTTTTACCTGTCACAGCTGTGGTATGTATATAGTTGGTCTATAAAAACCACGCGCGTATTCAAATACAACGTTGTGTCAAAATTTCAAAGTAATCAGTAAGGAGTTTTTGGAGATTTCCCTCGCATGAAAACTTGCATGAAAAACAAAGTTAAAAAAAAAAAAATCATGTTTTTACCCGTTACAGACGTGACACTGATTTAGTAGGTATATGAAGACGCTCATATGTGAATGGAACGTTGTGTCAAAATTTCAAAGCTATTGGTGAATAACTTTCGGAGATTAGCGATTTTGAACAAACGAACATTTACATTTTTATTTATGTAGACACATGGCAACTAAAAGTTGGATTAAGAAAAAAATATGCAGGAGTACAGTACATTAATTATTTTATGCACAAAATGAATCACGAGTAGTAAATGATTTTTTTAGTATGGGATGCAATAACCTTTTATCCCATACTGTATATTAACACTTTCGCGTTCTCCGCGAAGGTCAGGGAAACAACCGTAAGTGCTCACGGCGTTTTGCCACGTAAGCGTAAAAACAAAAATGTGTATACTCTTTTTACTCTCATGACCTTAGTTCTCGAGCTACGTATTTCATTTTGGTACCAACGTGTTCGCAATAAAATTCTCTAGAAGAACATCAGTAAAAAAAGTCACGAAACGTATAGGGATACCAGCACCAAATAAATAACTACGAAGATATTTTGGTATCAATGGACTCGCAATGAAATTCCCAACACGGTGATATGAATATAAGCGTAGAATAATGATTGCGACCCGCCCGCAAGAGTGTGGGAAGTGGTGAAATTGTTACCCGGTGTCGGTGACGGGACGACGCACGGCGCTTTGAAAGTTTATACTTATTTCATTCTCATGACATTATTATTCTATGTACGTCATTCATTTTTGTGTCAATGTGTTCGCCATAGAATGTTCTATGAGCCCGTAGGTAAAAAAAGATCAACAAAGCATAAGATAGAATAGCGCCAAATATAAAACAACGTTGGAACATATCAGTGAGAATCAAACACACACGAAATGTTTTTACTTTTGTTATGTTTGTGAACCTTTCATGAACTTATTGTACCATGCAGCCTATTGGTGAGAGAGAGCCTCATGGCGCGCAGTTTGAAACAAACCCAAAGTAAATCGGATAAAAATTGAACTTTAAACAAATATTTTAAAAGAGGACATAAGTTTATGTCCACTATGCGGTAGCGTTAGGTGAAACAGGACTCCTCGATGAGTCCGGTTAGCGCGAAAGTGCTAAGTGCATTTAAATATACTACAAACTTTCACTTTCACAAAAAATGGTGAAATTTTCTCCAATTCTTCAGATCAAAATTGTGAACAGATCTTTCAATGCGAGATCTGTGAGCAAGATCTCAATCATCTCCCAAATGATCTTCTCAATCACGGTTTAAATTTTCATGGCCAATCAAAAATTATTATTTTAATGCCCCAAATCATCTTTTATTACTGTACTGGTATACTAGAGTTCTCACTTCAGGCTACTATCTTGCTTCATATTAACTACAGTAATAGTAGTTAACATTATCCTAGTACCATACCTCAATTACCCCCCCCCCCAAAGCATTACCCTGTTACCGCAATTCTAAAAATGAGCATGAGAACCACCTATACTAGAATATCTGTGTTCGAGGTTAGAAGCCAGACACTACAGGAGCATTTCTCAAGCTTTGTACCATGAAATAATTCAGTTGTACTTAATAAAATCTGTGTTTAGATAGTTAACCGAAAGGAGAATTTGGCCGATCTTGATACTGTTTATATAAAAAAAAATTACATTTACACATGTTTATAATTAGCCTATTTATTCCTATCTCTTGCAGAACCCCTAGTTACCTTAGGGTTCTGTAGAACCCAGGTTAAGAAACACTGGTCTACAGTGTTATGAGAAATGCTCAGTCCCTCCTACAGTAAATTTCTGAAGAATTAGTAGTACATTTGAATGTGAATATCAAAACTTGCAACCGAAAGCACAGTTCAATATTACTTTTAAGTAAAAATCTTTTTTTCCTTGGGATGATTTATGTAAAGTTTGCTTTATACTTCAAAATTAACAAAGCCATACTGAAAATATTTATATTAAATAAAATTTATATCAAACTACTATTTTCACCTTTCAAGAATAGATTCAATGCTTTAAATTACACAAATTTATACTTCTCATTTTTGACTTACTTGGAGAACAACAATGAAGAGAAGTAATCCACATGCAACTTCAACTTTCTTGCGGAACAGAACCATGAACACACCTCCAAGCTGTCCTACCAGGTTAATGAGCACAAAGACTGTTGCCAAGAAATACCCACAGCCCCACGAGATATCCATGTACTCCCGCTGCTCATGCCATTGCCACCACATGCGAAGTCCATCTTCAAGAAATGTACTCACTAAGCACAGGCGTGCAATGTGAGGCAAGTAATTTTTAGTGTAACGTAGGAGCTGAAACAAAAACAAAAACACAAAATTAATTGATTGTTGCATAAAAAATTTACCATACGTCTATCCTAGTAAGGTACACGTGTCTCATTACACACCATACACTACTTTGTTAGAAACTGGGCAGAGAATTTTATCACTGCCACAAAGAACAAATTACAAAACGGGTTAACTTAAAATTTTAACTTGACTACTGTATTATAGGTCTATGGTGGTCTTTGTGCCAACTGATAACATTATAAACACTATGAAACACCACTGTCTCGTGTGGTATGTGTGTGCACATCTGGAACCAGTTCTAATATTTTTTAAGAGTAAATTATTATGCATCTCTTACCTGCATTCTAGGGGATACAGATTTAACATGTTTAGGGAGTCCCAATTATTTTGAAGTACAGTATTATTGAGTGGATTCTAGCTCTATCAGATTTTTGCATGCTCTCCAGGTTAGCATTTTTTCCAGCTTTGAATGGGGCTGATAGTGTGCAACAATATTCCACTAGAGGCCACTAATGTCTTACAAAGTAACATTGGCATGGCATCTCGTTTAGAAGGTTACTCATTAAAAACATCCTTAAATGTAGGGGCTAAATTCTAACTTGCCCTCTATCCTTTCAGGTAGATGTGTAGTATTTAACTGAAGGGTAACATTGGGACATCTAGAAAGGCGCGCACAAAAAAAAAATAGCCGAATATTTGCCACGAAAATCAAGAAGTACAGTTTCTCAAAATAAATTTTAGCCAAAGCATGCTAAGAGCATACTGTACTACATTATTCATTATTATAAGATATGTACCCTGGCTCCCAAGAAACAAGAATCCAGAAACAAGAATTGGCAGGTCTCAGTCCTTTTTGGGCAGTGCACATAGACTCCAACCCTTTCAACTAACATACCAATTGAGCATATTTTTTAAGTTAAACATACTGCTCGTCTATGTTGGCTGGAAATCTGCTTCACTCTTCTACCACCATGTTGCCAATCAATATTTCCCCACATCCTTCCCGAATCTCATGTACTCCAGCTTATAGTCATTGTTATGGAATCTGAACAGCCCTGATAAGATTATTTCTAGACTGTCATCACAGCTTTCTTATTGATACCTATCATTGAAGACAGTGATCATCTCTCTTCTTACCTACATCTGTTTCAGAAATGCAGGGAGAGTGCCTATAACCTCTCCTTGTATGGGAGATAAATACACTAGATCAGTCTTGTCACCCTACTTTGTATTTTCAAAGGAATTTATGTCCACATTAATATGGTGACCATAACTAGAGGGGTATTTTAAACAGGACTTCACCTGGGCCCGGTAGTCCCAGTAATACAGTAGGGTTAGTTCTCGACTTGGAATTGGAAATTCATAGTCCAGATCCCAGACAGGACAGAAATGGTTAGGTGCATGTCGTAACACTTAATGCCCTTATTCACCTAGCAGAAAGTACCCAAGAGGTGGTCAACTTCTTGTGGGGTTGCATCCAGGGAATTATTATACAAGTGTAATTGAGGGAATATGAATGTGTATTTATTGCCGACACATCTTGTTATAAATCAAAACATTCAATACACTTACATGCAGACACTGCTACAAAGGCCTTGTGTCAATGCCAAGACCAAACCTAGGAATTATTCAACCAAATCTGGAAGCCATTCAAGTTTAGGACCGTATGCTTGAAGTTTGACTGCATTTCCAACGTTCCTACCTAATTGTGCTATGTGGCGAAGCTTTTCTGTAGTTCCACAGAGTCCCCACAAGGTTGCAGGTAACCCCACTTTAGTGTCATATACAAACCTGACAATACAGTACTGTATTGCTGTTTACCCTAACGTCCAAGTCGTTAACATATTTTGAACATCACAAGGCCCCCATAACAGACCTCTGGGGCACACCACTATGGTGACATTACACCGATTTCCCTCCGTTTATGCCAAATCTTACTTCCTAACCTTCAAGCAATCTGATCAAATTGACACTATACCCTCTAGTACCACAAGGCTCACCCTTCCAGATCAGCCTCCCATGGGGGTACAATGTTGAAGGTCCTACGAAAGTCACAAGACGTTTGTTATTGCCATTAACTGCCTTTATTACACTTCCTTAATACATAAAGACAGCAAGGTGCCTTTATTATACTGTATATAGTAAATAGTATAAAAATTAACTTTTACTATCACTCCAGTAACCCTTCACATATGTTGTGGTCATTATTAACACTGGTTGCAATAACTCCTTTGGCGTCACACATTTTTAAACCCCTTTGCTCGTCTTTGGCCCATGCTGCATGGAGTCAGCATATCACACTACAACCAATTATTACAACTGCAAAACACTAATTATAAACACTAAACCAGTTATTTGCCTACAATTAATGATACTGATCTACAATAAGTTTTTCAATTTATAATATATCAATTCGTCATTTCAGGTACCTTTCCAAGCAGTTTGTCGAAAGTAAATACTTAACTGCTGTTGCTGAAACCTGCGGGAAACGTGTTCCCAAAATTCGAATAAAAGGGTTCAACATCTGGTTTATATAAACCCACCGACACCTGCACTACGATAACGCATCTTCCGGTCAATTAGCCTCATAATGACCCACATTTTGAGAGTTGACCCAGTAGTTAGTGGCGGCCAGGTCAGCAAATCAGGTCAGTCAGCTGGAGACATCTGTCAAACTACCTTACCGGTGTGTTCTCACTGGCTTCCACCATCGCCACGTTCTGCCCTACTGCCAGTGAGCTGCCAGGACAACTGACACACACGAGAGCTCACCTGGTCGGCAAAGTCTTCCGCTCTACCCAAAAATTCATTTTGGCTCTGCATTTCTAAAGGTGTGAAGCGCCCCGTCCACTTTATCCCGAGAGTGTTGTGCTACTGCCCAGTCGTTGAGCTCCCGACTAATGCACGGATCCTTCTCCTCAAACAACCATCCTCAAAAATTTTATAAGTTGATTTTGTTATCTATGTATGCTTAAAAAAGTGTTATCTATTATTCTTTCTCCCTATGATTGTCCCCAAATTAAAATGACAAATAGCCAATAGTGCTTGCCTTTCAACTGGACTACGTCACTGTAGACCCACTTGTTGGTATTTGTTCCACAGGACGAAGGGATAGGTAAGCGGGAAGGGTAAATATAGTGTTTATTAACTCATGCTACAGCGATTAGCTTAGTAGACTGTAGGATAAATAAAATAATATTGCAACAAGTGGTTAAGAAATGGTAGTTGGTCGTAAGCCACCGCGGTACTCTCGTCTGCCACGTTATCCACCCCAAGGCCACGCGCCAATTTCAAAATTATTACTCTTCTTTTGAAGTTGAGGTGTTCAGGAGTTCAGGGGTTCAAGTTCATGGGGTTCAGTCCCTGAGCTCATTATCTGCCTCTGTAACCCTTTCCACTGCCGCCCACAAAATGGGTATGGGGTGCATAATAAATGAACTAAACTAACTAACTTTTGAAGAGAAAACGTGGCGTGCGCTTTCCATTTCTTATTTTATGGGGACATTTACAATGGGAACATGTAACCCATATGCTCTATAATCATGAAACTAATGAGGATTATGAATAGTTATAAAGTTCATTGATGACCTTCAGAGTCCTTCAATAGACTGAACTTTAATTTTTAAACAATCTTATACGGGAACAAACTGACGAATCATTGCATGTGTTCATCTAATAATTAGCTACTATGGTATTTTTCTCTCGCATTTCAATAACAATTAAAGTAAAGGAAAGAGCTTTCTTAGCCTGGAATAAAATTTAATGGTTGAGGAGTGTATATAAGGTGGGGGGTGGGGGAGGGATTTCCGTCCATGTGTTGGGGATCCATCCTCAACCCAGCCTCATCACCTGCCCACCCTTATCCCCTGCCCACCCTCATCACCTGCCCACCCTCATCACATGCCCACCCTCATCACCTGCCCACCCTCATCCCCAGCCCACCCTCATCACCTGCCCACCCTCATCACCAGCCCACCCTCATCACCAGCCTACCCTCATCACCTGCCCACCCTCATCACCTGCCCACCCTCATCACCAGCCCACCCTCATCACCAGCCCACCTTCATCACCAGCCCACCCTCATCACCAGCCCACCTTCATCACCTGCCCACCCTCATCACCTGCCCACCCTCACCACCGTCCCACCCATGTCACAGGTCCAACCTCATCACCAGCCCACCCTCACCACCGCCCCACCCATGTCACAGGTCCACCCTTATCACCAGCCCACCCTCACCACCCTCCCACCCATGTCACAGGTCCACCCTCATCACCAACTTTGGGTTGAATTGTTCCCATCTGGGGCTTTTAATAAATTTCTCACTTTGCCAATGCCTTTCCTGATTATGTTGCATATTATGGGAATCTCTCTTAATTCGTGACTATGAATGGTGTAACAGTGTGGCAACCAAGTCTAGCATTACGATGTATGCAGATGGATGTCTATGGCATTGGAGATGGTCTGAGGTATATCCAGAGTGTTGGTCACTGAATCATTGGAGTTTGACTTTAGATGCCGAGTGATTGATGAAGATTAAGCCACCACAAGAGGTGGCACGGGCAGGAGTAGCCCGTAGGTAGTAGATGTTTGGGAGTGAATGTGATCTTTGGTTGTGTAACTTCTTTAAGTGTCTCTTGAGGTTTGGGCTGCGATGTCCGGCCACTTCATATCTGCGTTTCCGACCGTATTAAACCCAGATTTGTTCCTTGCTCCAACAAGAAGCTTGCTTAACCGGTTCAGGATTTGTGGTTGGTGACTAGATTTGTGCATGTTGTGTGGGATTAATGGACACCTTCAATTTCTTGCACTAGAAGTCTTGAGCAGCTATATTACTTTTAATGCAATTGCTACATGTATTTCAATATATCTTCATCTGTTAACAGACAGTTGGAGGAAAGCTGGTTCCAGTAATACAATCCAAACTCTAAGTAAGTGCTTCTTCATAGTATACTTTATTATATATAACAGTAAGGTTCTTTTGGATTTGTGTTTTTAATAGCTTATCAAAACCAGATTGATGACTTCATAAATTCTATACATTTTACTAAATTTATGTCCTCTAATATGAAACTTTTCTTATAGACGTACTCTCATAGCCAGCCTGGAAAGCATGTTGCTCCAAGTGACTGTAAGAGTTCACTTTTAAAATTTGAAAACTAACCTGAAACATCGTCTTCAGTGGCTTTCATCTCAGGATAACATCTACTCATGTTTATTGAGCAAATATGGCTGTAGAATATCTTAAAGTAAACACTAACATGGTCCCAATATCTTTGCAACCTGCAAACACTACATGACCTAGTTGCTGCTAGTAAAAAATAAAGTTCCCTCACTTAATATTTTTTTATTTACCTTTGCCCTAATTTTTTTATATCTGAAATGCTCTATGTATTAACGGCTTTAGGCACTGTACTTGTTACCCGAATTCTCCACTGTTCATATACTGTTTGTGTGTGTGTGTTTACTCTTGCGAAAATAGACATTATCATCATCTTTATATGGACAGGGGACTTCACTTCAAGACTCACATGCAGAATATAGCCAGAAAGCCTCAAAGTGTGTGTATACTCTCAACTTGGATATTATGTCCCCCACTTTGCTCTTTTTATTCTACTATTCAGTAATCTATCTATATCTAACTCACATAATCATATCCGTGCATGCGGTTCGACCACTGCAAACTACCTCAAGTCCACTACCCAGCAAAATTTCAGCTGCTCTGTAACATTCAGTTTCTCACTACTCATCCTTCAATACTAAGCTTTCTCAGAACATATCTTAATTCAATTTCTTAAAAGAAAAAAAATAACTGATACAGCCCATAGATCAATAAGCACGATTAATTAAGGCCTTGTCTAACAACACTGCAGACAAAACTGATTAGGAAATGCAAATAATATGTGCTGGCAGTCATATAACACCATGATTGCCATTGACAATGCTGCCTGTAATGAAGTTTACCTTGAATTTACCTTCTTAGTATTATCTGTTAGATTAAGGACCTGTCCAAAAATGCTGTGCATACTAGTGGCTTTACAAGAATGTAAACACATCATGCTATGTACTCTCACAAACCCAATGTACCTTCTTGTATATAAATAAATAAATAAGTAAAACAGAAAACAGTAAATACATACTGGGAACATTGTGGATAGAATAAAAGTGACCACTAGTGTTCAAAAACTGATTTTTTTTATGGATATTAGGCATCAAACTTGCCAGGAATACTGTATTTCATGAAGTGGATAAGACTGATGTTTTGGAAGTATTATTCTCATTGTAAACACCTAACAGTAAGAAATTTGTTCAGTTAATTTACACACTAATTTCAGTGGAAAAGAATGACTATTGTTCTGAAGGTCCCGAGATGCCCAAAACAACTTGCCCTAGAAGACTTGGCCAAAGCTAGCAAAAATATTAAAGTGGAAATAGCCCACATATGCTCAGAAAAATACTAACAGAAAATGTTGCTTTAATGCTGGTCATCTTCACAAACTAGTTTTTCATGTGTGGTAAATGCAGTATTTTAAAATACTGTACTGCTAATTTGACAGTATCAGAAATATTACTTGAAATATAAGATTTGCTGGCATGTGACCATTATTCTCAGACTGGGCTGGGAAGATGCAGAGATAGGAGGGAAAACAGAGTTGTGAGAGAACTGCAATTAATTTTATTCCTGCAAAGAACCCTATCTACAGTGTTTTACAAGAAGCTTGTTTTGGTGAGGGGGCTCATGTAAGAGTCCCTGGGCTTTTCAAAAATGTCCAATTAAATACCAACATTGGCATGATCATTCTGTACCGTGTTACGACTGGAGATGGGGGATTTAGAGTGCAGGCATGTGTGGGAGAGGGTAGGATGGGCCTCAATGCAGTTGATGGAGCAAACTTGGGGAAAAGATCACTCTCTTAGAATGTCCAGGGTCACCACATATGAGGGACATCTCACTACTGCACTTGAGAAATCATGCACCAATTTCCAGTAACTACTGAGGGAAGTAAAAGATGCAGTTCTCAAAGAAAGATGAAACCATTCCAAGTGACAAGGCAGTCACCATTGGAGGTTAGGGGCTCAACTCTGCCAAGGAAGTGGGAAGGGACTAGAAATGGTCAATTGGGGTTAATCAAAGAAGCCTGGTCTGGCCCAATGTAGCTGGGGCTATGGAGCCTGATCTTCCATCACTGTCTCCAGGGATTGGTCGCCCACCCCATGAGCATGTGTTGGAGAAGTTGTATCGTTTACCATATACAGTATCATCTTTTCAAAAGTTTAGGTTACGAAGTCAAGGAATACCACCACCTAGATCAGCAAGGGAGGCCAAGTACTGTTTGTAGTACAGTACAAGTACTGGCCAGTGCAGTTAAGAATGCACTGTCCAAAGTGGTGCCTCCTTTTTAACAGGGAAGTTCTACTGCATTGTACATTCTACATTAGCGCAAAGACCTCTTTCTCTCTCTTGCCTCAGTCTAGACACCCCACCAACCTCCAAGGGCAGCCCCTTACAGGTGACACCCTCCAATGGATAGTCCAATGACCCAAACAGAAATCCTACATTTGTGCTATTTTGCACGTACAATGCCCAGAATGGTAGGAGAGGTGGCAAAGGCAACCTCCATCAGTTCCATGGATTCGTATCTGAACATCCTGATCAAGACAAGGCGAAACTCTTGAGGGAGTTGCACACATAGAGCCCAGGCAGCCCCCACCAAACCCAGGAAGTTGTTCATGAGCCCCCTTCACCATGACAAAGCAAAATTTTTTTAAGTATGTAGAAATAAAAGTATATATCTTGCATTGGTGAACCAGTTTGCTTGACACTTAAAACTCTGTAACTTGATTAGTTAAGTTAGCCTCAATTATAAATCTTGCAATCTGTAAGAAGAGTCTAAGGTTGCTGTGCTTTGAAGTCAATTGAACTGGACTGCTGAACAAGATGGGTCATATGTCTGATCCTCAAATAGTTTGAGGTTTTCTTGATCCTTGTTTCTAGACAGAGCCCACACATTATTTTTACATGTATTGAACTATACAGTATTCATGTAAATGATTTAAGAGTAGTAACCAGTGAAATATATAACCTGTAGTCACATTTTAGCAGTAGTAACCATTATAAATTTACCTGGTATGATAAATATTATTTTCCATTGATAAGGTTTGTACCCGTGTCCAGTTTTAACCTTAAGCCGTGCCTTGAGTATTTGAGGATGGTATTGGTGCAAGCAGGATGTGTGTGATTTTAAAATGTTTAACCATTGTGTAGAAAGGATAACTAAGCTCCATGCTTTTGGTTTTGTGTTAATATAATTTTATTATATCTTAAAAGAAAATGCCTTGATAAAACTTTTAGCTAACCTGTTAAATTTAGGCCATGCATGTCCCTAGACCACCATACTCATATAATGTTAAGCGATCTTCCATATATTTAATGTCATGGGGACCAGGCTAAATTTAAGGTAAAATTTGTAACAAGTTCTTCCTTCAGTCAAATTATACAACTCATCCTCCTGTTAAGATAGTAGTTTTAGTAACTGTGGACCATCATATATATATATATATTAACGTAGTGGACAATTAGAATTTGATACTATTCGTGTTATAGTCCAAACAAAATAAAACTAAAAACCAAACAAATATTCCTAGGCCTAGTACAGTAGAGTATATATATGTTCTGTTTTAGGCCTCAGATAGTGTGTATTAGGCCTAGGAAGGTTAGGTAAGGTTAGGTTTTATTAGCAATATAAATACTTAGCCTTTCCAGTTTATCCAAATTCAATAGTACCAAATTCTACTATCTAAATGTCCATTATGTCAATACTGTATATGTACGATGGTCCACACTGTTACTATAAGTACGGTACTATCTAAACAAGAGGATGGGCTGAATTACAAGTAGCATTCTTCAGGAAATGCTAAATGAAGCTACTACAAATCTTTTACACACTGTATTTGTTGAAGCATCAAGTTCTCAAACAACTTGAAAGGAATTAATCTTATAATAAAATACAGAGTTTCCAATACAAAGTATATACACAATATACAAAATAAAAAAAAAAGACTATGCATAATCTTCATAACCATAGTGTAGTCTTCATATATTGATAGTCCTTATCCCTCCTTCCATTTTGACAGTGAAAAATATATCAAGAAAAGAATGTTAAATTGCCAACATAAGATACCTTTCCTTCTCGTTATATACTGACACTAGCAATAAATTCCAACAAGTGAATTGCATTAATTACCAGGTTGCTAATCAATTTGTTTAAGCTACAGATGCATGGTAGAGTTCCTGTCTATAAAAATCTAGGAAATAATGTCCACAGTTAATAATCAAGAAATTGATTTTATGATTAGCAGGTTATCAGCTAACAAATGTAAGGAGCATCTTAAGACCATACTAGAAATTAAGCAGCCTAACATACCTGTACTTAGAAATATCACAAACTTAGAAGATATTTACAGATTTGAAGAATGCTTAGCAGCAATTAAAGATTTTGAAGAGAATGTAAATTTTCTTGAGGATTAAAAACTAAATACAGTAATTACCATTTCATCAACAGCCAAGATAAATCTGCTTTTCATATTACTATATATAAAAGATGGTCTCAATCTCAAAAGCTTAAAATATACTGTACAAGTACTGTACAATGCAGGTTCGGGCCAGGGTGAGCACCCAACACGAAATTGTGCCACATACAGTATAATGTAATATCAAAAGGGCCGCAGGCAGCATCACAGTTACAACCCTTCCGTCACTTCAGCAAATGCACGATTTATCTGCAGTAATGAAGCCAGCACAGATTTTGTTGGCTGGGTTTTCAAGTATCCAAAGCTCTTCTCTTCTGCAAAAATAGATTAAAAACAAACATCAATCACAACTGGATATGGCTTGCTTGCATAAGGGAGCTATTCTTGTTTGATACACTGTACTGGGTACTCCAAATATTAATATGAATTATTCCTATTCTTACAGTATTCTTTCTTTCTTCAATACACCTTCCGCTTTCCATCCCACCAGCTTTTTACTGTCTCTCTCTTGCAAAAACAGCTTACAAACTTTAAAACTACAAAATCAACACACCTACATAGTCAATAAATGTCTATAATGATTATTAAGACCATAAATTATTACCTTTAATCATATGACAGCCACTATAATAATTATCTATGATAACTACCATTATGTATAATTGCTAATATCAACAAATATGTACTGTACTGTATATTCAAATAATTTTAGCAATGATTATCGATCATTCAGAGATTGTAGAGAAATCCTATATTGCTTTCTTTCTACCGAACTGACACACCTGAAAGGAAGGGGGAGGGGGAAGGAAGAGGCCAACCAGGGAGTTACCAAGCTCCCTGGACCAGACTAGGGAGACCAGGGACCAGATTCACGAAAGCACTTACGCAAGCACTTACAAACCTGTACATCTTTTCTCAATCTTTGGCTGCTTTGTTTCCAATTATTAAACAGTTAATGAGCTCCAAAGCACCAGGAGGCTATTTATAACAATAACAACAGTTGAATGGGAAGTTTTCATGCTTGTAAACTGTTTAATAAATATAACCAAAGCCGTCAAAGGTTGAGGAAAGATGTATACGTTCGTAAGTGCTTGCGTAAGTGCTTTTGTGAATCTGGCCCCAGGATCTGGACAAGGATCCTGGGTCAAGGACCAGGGGTCTGGACAAGAATCTGGACAAGAACCAGGGAGCAATGGAGTACAAACAAACTTTTAAACATAAAAGCAGTCTGGGTTTAAAAAACAGCAACCCAGGAGGAGGCATTTCATTACATTTAACACTAGCCTGCTGGAGGGGCCAAACAGTAGCTTATTGTAGCTAACTAACCGAAGAGCAGAGTAAATCAGACTTACCAGGGAGGAGAGTCAAGATTAAATCCACAAAGGGGGAAGACCAGAATAAGAAATCCCACCTCAAACAACACAAGTCCGACCAGAGATACTGACTAGGTAATGAACCGCCAGGACCTTGGTAAACCTCAAAAACCCTCGAGACCTGATATTAGCCTAAGACACTATAAAATACCATGATCAAAGCTGCAAGCTTTAAAATATCATGGGCTTGAAGCAAGATAAAAAATCTGGTCCCAATGGAGGCCACAGGTGAGGGTTCAAACTACGAAAACTGCCTCGGAGCAGCAGGCAGGAACCCTCCCTCTGAAAAAAGAGAAAATGAGGGGAAGAAAAGGGAAGTGGACAGAAGAGAAAGTCTGGGTAATCAAATCATGTTAAAACATATGAGCCAAGAAAACACCTGCCACTGCATCTTAAAGGAGAGGAGCATTTTAACAGTTTTAAGCAACTTTGGCAATGCCCCCAAGGCTGGAACTGCAGGAAACAAGGCTGCACACCCAGCACCAAAGTCAATATCGAAGCCACTGCAGATCAGGTCGGCACACAGCCCAGAAGTGCAAAACAGACATCAGATGAATATGCATCCCATGACCCGAATCCAGACAATGACAGTTGCACATGAAATATTCTCATCCTGGGGGTGAACCTGAGCAAACAGGAGACTCCCGTGGCACAAAAGAGCCAATGCCCCCCCCAAAAAAAAGAAAGACGTAGCCCACCACTCGCTAGTGTTTGGGTACAGGACAGCCATGATAAAGCCCCAAGAACAGAGGATTGTTTACAAGCCAGAAAGAAAGAACAATATAATGAAACCACAAGGCCAAAGCTGACCTGAAATGAAAAGAGATCAAACCTATGAGGAAAATGAAATCTGGAACCCACAGAAGGAACTGAAAAAGTCTGACCGAGCCAAAAAAGGCAGACAACAGGATGACGGAATCCTCCTGAAACATGATGCACACAAAGACTCTAACAATAAAGGAAAGTGAACCTAAGGAGGAACAAGCTAAAAAATTGATGGAGGGTAGGGACTATCCCTCAGCGGAGGAAAGGGGTCCCCCAAATACACCAGATGACTAGTGGAAGGAGAAAGTACAGTGAACCTGGCACCAGTAGAAACAACAGCTGCTCCAATTCAAAACCCCAAAACCAAAAGGGCCAATTCCTGGGCAACCATTCAAACAAAAACAGGCACACACTCCCAAAGTGGTAACCACATCACTACAAAATAAATAAACCAAAACCAAAAGATGGAGCCTTAAGATAAAATAAGAGGCCTAGCAACACCAAAATTCATAGGCTAAAGGTGTAACACCCACCCAACAGGTGGCAGAGGGAGACAGTACAGATGACCATTGATTTGTAGCAAATCCAAGGGACATCCCTTAAACTTGCATGTAGTGAATGCAGGCTTGGCAAGTCAATTTAAAAAGAGCCACACCAAACACCTAAAAACACTTGCCAGGACCTGAAGGTAAGGACCAAGCAGGACACATAGGCACTAGGGATGCTTGCTGGATGAATTGACACTGAATGCAGCCCTTTAAGATAAACATGGCTATAAAAAAGTGTTGGCAGCATGCAAAATGCTTGCATAAGAGCATACAAAAGCTAGTGCACCCCATACTCAAAATCCAGAATGCCCCCAATTTGGGAGTCTCACAGAGGAATCAAGAATTTATGCACTACTCTTAGAATGGCTCCCGACACAGTATGCTGGACTGCCTACTTGGGATAAGGGCCTTGCCCCCCCTCTATGACAGGGGAACATATGGGAATCAAATATTGAAGTGTAACACTGTAAAAGTGTTTGGTTTAGGTTAATACATACATAGAGTACATGAGTCACAGACAAGGATCGGAGAGGCGCCAGTTGTCTGCCTGAGATCTCACACCTCTAACCGTTAACGACCCCAAGTGACCTGAGGTCAGATCATGAGAATTTCACCTTGCTTCCGCTAAGCGTATAATTGGAGCCGGGTAGCCTTCAAACATGCCGACGTTTAAGGAGTGGCTTGGTAGTGCCGGAGGCTATCTACTTGTGGGCGGAGTTAGCTACTAGGTTCCCCAATATAAACTCGGAGAGCTATCGAGCATTAAGCAATAGGAGACCGGCCAGCGGAGCAGAGCAGAGGCCAGCCGTCGAGATAGGCCGTCACCAGACGGGGGGTGACGCTGCCTGAAAATTGCAGACCCCCCCCCCCTCTCTATTCAACTTAGACTCAGTCCTCGGTGAGTGAACATTTAGGTGACTTGGTCGTGTTTACATATGTTGTGTGATGATCAGGGGCAGTCAAGTTGTAGGGTTCTCGAATTCTTGGATGATGACTCACTTTGCATATTAAACTGGAACATTTTAATTGAATTGCTAAATTATGATACTTCATGTGAAATATAATTATGAATTTATTATTTAAATTGTGTTTAACTTTGTTCCCTAGAGCTTTGAGTTGAGGATTTGAGAAAGCCTCTGTGGTTACTGGGTTCATGATATTAACGAGTCCATGTTTGGAGTTGATACATGGTACAGAGGGAACATACTAATAATGAACTCATGGTAATAACATCTTTTGAGAATATTTTGATACAGGCAAGTTCCATTCCTTGTCTTGTATGTAATGATCATGAATGGATGGTGGCAGCATTTCGTCTTCTACTATCTACTTATCTACGTCTACTTTCTACTCTTCTACTTCTACCTATCTACACCTCTCCCTCCACCCCTCTCTGAACTCTCACTTTCAACTAATGACCCTCCTCGCTCCTCCCACCTCTCTACCTCTCACCCCAAACCCTCACTAATTACTTCACTATTCATTTCTTTCCTTTCGTTTTCTCTTATACGTTTGGGGCAATGATTCTGTATTCTAGAGTTCTATCTAGAGTTTCGGGTAGCTGATCCAGTCACGACGCCTTGTAGTCTTAGTACCTAGGTAGTCAAATACCTAGGTTACAAGGTGTTGAACGAGAGGGGTTGTCTTAGGAACTCTGGGAGTGCTCTAGAATAGTTAGCTAACTGGGGACGGGATAACGGACTAGAGAGAGCTGTTTCCCCCGGCCTCGTTAGTTAACTGGGGGGTGGAATAATGGACAAGATAGAGCTATTTCCCCCCCACCCCCCGTTACAATGTTGGCAGCGGTGTTGAACAATGTTGTAGGTAGTTGGTGTTCTTTTAACATTGTTCAGTCCCACGTGTCTTTTTGCCGCTCAGGCGCTATCAGGGAGATCTTGACAGGTGTTTATTATTCGCGAGTTAGCGAACTTTTTTTCAGGTTAGGAGATAGTGATTCTCTGGTGTTGTGTTTAGTGATTTTGTGAGTTTTGTGTAGTTCAGGGAATGTTCTCCAGAACTTGCGTGTGTAGTGTTTTATGTTAGTAATAAGATTTGGCGATTTGGGAACTTAGCGGTGTTGGTAGTGCAGGTCAGCTGAGTGTGACAGGTGACCTCGCATGTCCCAGGAGGACACCCAGCCACCGCTGGTCTCCAGGTCAGTGGGGAGTGGCAGGTGTAGTTCTTAAGTAGAATTTAGTAGTGGTTCTGCTCAGATTATTGCGATCGACTGTTTTACTCCATTTGAACGCAATAACCCGAGGTGTACTGGTCTTGTACAGCATGCTAGGGGGAGCCTTAGTATGTCAGTAGACTTCACGTTGGGGACGCTCGACGTTAGATAGTCTGGTCACAGGGGTGGCAACAGTTTGGGGTTGTTGACCGGCGGAGATGCTAGGGAGACACTCTGGGTCACGTAGGTGGCTGTAGGTTAAGGGTGGGAGTAACGTTTAATTATGTACTTAAGATTAGGAACGGTACAGTTAAGTTAGGCTAGTGTTTTGTCTATTAGTGTTGATTTTTTTTTTGTATGACAAGTTAAAAGTAGTGATGACCTTATTCTCTCTTCTCTAAACTTTCCTCTGTTACTGTTTTATGTTCCACCAAGTCAATATCATTCAGAGTTAATTGGATTATTAAAAAAAAAAATTGAAGTGTAGTTGTTGCCAGGAGGAGAGCGTTATGATATAACTGTGTAACCCTATACAAACTACAGGGTCACACAACAGCATGGAACACGGGTATTGTCGCCTTTCTGTTCATCCACAGGTGGGAGCCAGAGGAGAGGCGCGACGCATATACAAAAGAGGGAGACGGCTGCTGTGTACCACACTCACGGGCGTTTATCACCACCTCGACGACCAGCCCCCTACCTGGAGGTCATGGCTCCACCACCACCACCACCCCAGGGGACCCCAAGATCCAGCCCTCTCGGTCGGTCAACATTGGTCTACCCTGTGGACCCCAGGACGGACGGACCCCAGTGGACCCCAAGACGGACGGACCCCAGGTCGTTCTGCAGACGAACCCAGACGACCCAGTAAAGATGGAAGAGGAACAACGACTCCAGTCTGTCCCACCAACATCGGTCTACCCAGGACGGACCCCAATGGACCCCAGGTCGCTTGTCAAAGACCCATGGGAGGAGGAAGAGAGAAGAAAGAAGAGAGAAGAAAGAAGAGAGAAGAAGGAAGAGAGAAGAAAGAAGAGAGAAGAAAGAAGATAAGACAAGCTGAGTGAGACACGATGCCTCGTGTCCCTTGCTGGTATCAGCATCATTGCATGGAGCGTAATTGCAAGACAGGATCGTTTGCCTTAACTGGCCGCCCCTCCTACAAGCATGTTGCTCTGTTGAGTGATTCTTCCTGTGTCATGCGGACTTGATGTGGCTGTCAGAAGTAGCTCTCTGAAGGAGGCGTGCTGGAGCAACAGGGAGGAAGAAGAGTAGGATGGGATTTCTACTGTTGGCAACTATATGAAGGTCTCGAAACTTGTAGTCCCTATAGCTGTGAAGAACCCCAATATACGTCTCTCATGGTGACTGACGTAGGGCCAATTACAGATCAGCTGGGACAACCGAATTCCACGGTCCTGTGCGCAGTTCAAGTAGTAACGGCTTTCGGGTTGACCAAGGGTTGTTGTGCGTTAACGACGGAGAAGCGACGGAGGCAGTTGTGTTGAAGAAATGTGGTACAGGATTATCTACAAGACCAAGCAGTGACGTCGCCCAGCCAGAGACAATGGACGTCTGTCTATATATTTCATTTTTTTAGAGTAGGATGATGTATATTTGTTTAGCTAGGATGTATTCTTTTCGTTAATAAAGTTGTCGCACACAGCTAGCTTGCTTTAGCAGTGTTGCAAAAACTTTATTTTCGGGGAGAAGGGGAGATGTAACACTGTAAAAGTGTTTGGTTTAGGTTAATACATACATAGAGTACATGAGTCACAGACAAGGATCGGAGAGGCGCCAGTTGTCTGCCTGAGATCTCACACCTCTAACCGTTAACGACCCCAAGTGACCTGAGGTCAGATCATGAGAATTTCACCTTGCTTCCGCTAAGCGTATAATTGGAGCCGGGTAGCCTTCAAACATGCCGACGTTTAAGGAGTGGCTTGGTAGTGCCGGAGGCTATCTACTTGTGGGCGGAGTTAGCTACTAGGTTCCCCAATATAAACTCGGAGAGCTATCGAGCATTAAGCAATAGGAGACCGGCCAGCGGAGCAGAGCAGAGGCCAGCCGTCGAGATAGGCCGTCACCAGACGGGGGGTGACGCTGCCTGAAAATTGCAGACCCCCCCCCCTCTCTATTCAACTTAGACTCAGTCCTCGGTGAGTGAACATTTAGGTGACTTGGTCGTGTTTACATATGTTGTGTGATGATCAGGGGCAGTCAAGTTGTAGGGTTCTCGAATTCTTGGATGATGACTCACTTTGCATATTAAACTGGAACATTTTAATTGAATTGCTAAATTATGATACTTCATGTGAAATATAATTATGAATTTATTATTTAAATTGTGTTTAACTTTGTTCCCTAGAGCTTTGAGTTGAGGATTTGAGAAAGCCTCTGTGGTTACTGGGTTCATGATATTAACGAGTACATGTTTGGAGTTGATACATGGTACAGAGGGAACATACTAATAATGAACTCATGGTAATAACATCTTTTGAGAATATTTTGATACAGGCAAGTTCCATTCCTTGTCTTGTATGTAATGATCATGAATGGATGGTGGCAGCATTTCGTCTTCTACTATCTACTTATCTACGTCTACTTTCTACTCTTCTACTTCTACCTATCTACACCTCTCCCTCCACCCCTCTCTGAACTCTCACTTTCAACTAATGACCCTCCTCGCTCCTCCCACCTCTCTACCTCTCACCCCAAACCCTCACTAATTACTTCACTATTCATTTCTTTCCTTTCGTTTTCTCTTATACGTTTGGGGCAATGATTCTGTATTCTAGAGTTCTCTCTGGAGTTTCGGGTAACTGATCAAGTGACGGCGCCTTGTAGTCTTAGCACCTAGGTAGTCAAATACCTAGGTTACAAGGTGTTGAACGAGAGAGGTTGCCTTAGGAACTCTATAGGTGCTCTAGAATAGTTAGCTAACTGGGGACGGGATAACGGACTAGAGAGAGCTGTTTCCCCCGGCCTCGTTAGTTAACTGGGGGGTGGAATAATGGACAAGATAGAGCTATTTCCCCCACCCCCCCGTTACAGAAGCACGATGACCAAAATTAATAACAGGCTAAGACAACCAGTCACACTGCATCACACATTGACACAAATGGTTGTGATAAATTCTGAGCTAACCCAAACAAAACTCATGACACATTTAAACAAGAATTCATATCTTTACATTTGGGCTTAGTGCAGTCACCAAACAAAAGAATGCAAGTGATGTGCAGAGTTATTTTTAAGAGGCTTGGGATTGTTGTCAAACATCACAGTATATTGATGGACTTTTCTACGAAGACAGACTAAAGTCATATGTAACAGCCAAAGAGTGTTAATGGGCTCGAAGAACTTACCAATAGCAGCACAACAGTATTCAGCTTGAAGCCTAGTTGCTGTGATCATGTTGGAAATAATATTTGCCGAATGCTGTACTCCTAGAAGCATCTGGGTGGCACTTTCACGTGCCATTTGTACATCCTGAAAAGATAAAATATAAAAAATATTTCCACATTCTTTAGCGAGAAAATAATGCTTATAATAAAAGCAACCAAGTACATATACTGTAAATTGTTTTTCCTTCCATTCACCTGGGGTCTAGGAAACTCGAACCGTGGACCCCAGTTGTGTGACATGCATAGGGTTACACTTTCGTGTTTCTCCTTGTCATTTAGTCTGGATTTGGGGACAGAAGGAATGTACAAACCAATTAAATGGTATTTTAATCCATTATATTGTAAACTTTAAGTAACTAAGATTGAGATAAATCAACAGTTCAAAGTAACAGTTTTCTAAACTTTTGCATGCAGACAATAGTGATACAGTATTTAATCCTAAGTGTAGGATTTTACTGTACCTGTAAGTACTGATGATAATTGGGTTTGCTTGCTAGAAAAGAGGCTTGAGCAGGTGTTAGCTGGCTGGCTTGATCATCATCAATTTTTGCTTCTCCTGATTTAGCTTCACGGAATTCCCTATTAACAAAATTAAGTAAAAGAAATGAGAACAGTACTTTAAATCTGCAAATATGATTAACAGATAGATACAAATTGATTATTGTTTTCCCATGCAGTGATGGTTGAAAGTACGGTGGCTGAAAGTACGCCAAGTGCATTATTACACTCCAAAAAATCTTATCCATGAAAAGTGTCATTAATATAATTGTGGAAATCAACAAATTAAGGATTACAGTTATATTAAAGCACAGTATAATGACCAAATTTTGTTACAAACTGTTATGAACTTTATCCTACAAAACATTGTTGATAATTAGCTTATTGAAAAAAAAAACTAAATATTTTTGTTGTTGTAAAAGCAACAAAGTAGTAAATAATGCATTGTGGTAATGAAAATTATTTGCTAAAAAAAGAACTCCTCACCCCTCTCTCCCTACCTCTCTTTCACCTTCCCTCACCCTCAGGCAAGGTAGATGGAACTTTCACAGATGACAACAAAGAAATTAGTGAAATAATGAGGATGTAGTACAATTACATTTTCAATTAGCCCTTAAACCCACTGAAGATTGATAACCCATACAAATTCTTCATGTATGCCACCCTAACCTCATTGGATTTTGAAGCAGCCATAGATAATATACCTATGCATTCTGCATCAGGCCTCGATTCCTGGAATTCCTTATTCATCAACAATTATAAAAGCAATTTTATAACTAGATAATGAAGGACTCATGTCTAGAAGTTCTAGCAACAAAATATCCAAATATTATTTTTCAGCTTTATCATATAATCTTAGACCCCCTGAAGATAAGGCAATTCAGTTTTTGACACTGTACTCTAACACATTGAATTAAACCTGTACAAAGAAAAATTACTAAGTCCCAGGAATAAGAAACCTTTCCTAACAGATTAGCAAAGCTTAATTAATATAAATTCTATAGAAAGGAAAAAGAATAAAGAGGGCACTTTATACAGTAAATTTGTGGTTTGCAAGTACTGTACAATACTTTGGAATATTGCAAATTTGCTACTGTAGTTATTTATATGGGAGTGTCGGACTGTAACTGGAAGGCTTCTGGAATGAAACCTTATTTTTACACACTTTACAACCATATACTGTAAGAGTATTAAATCTGTACGAATTTGGGTTACATAAAGTTCTCCAGGAATGAATCTCATGCATATTAAAAGTTTACTGTACCTACATATGGTAGAGTACTCACCTCTCAGCAGCCAAACAGGCTGCCTTTCTCTCACTCATTATCGTTTTCCAGGTTTTAAATTCTTGCTCCAACTCCTTCGTCCTCTTTTTATATGCTTCAATTTTACTGGTACTAGAAAAGAAAAAAATGTAAAATATAATAAAAACTAGATTTTTTCTTTTTGTAAAAGCTCATCAAGATCCACAGGCTATAATATTTCAGGATACAAAGCAAACTAGTGAAAACAGAATAGAGGCTGAAGTGATTGTAGGGTGGAGTTGGTTGTGTTGGTGACCAGCCTGCCATCTGCTCTCATACTGCTAAGTACACTGCTCTGTTGGCCATGTTTACTAATATGTCCTGGATTGATATTCGGGTGGGGTGGGGGTGGGGGGTTAGGCAGCCTGGTACTTAATGTTTCTGGGCCTCGGCTTCCTTGTGTGGCCTTGGGTCGTCTCTCTCGGCATGGGTTCTCATCATTGTCTAAACTGCATGTAGTTCTCCCTCCTTCATGGCAAGTCCCTATGTTTTTTTTTCTGTGGGTAGTTAGTATCAAAGAGCCACAAGGAACTCTCACCAGAAAACCATTGTTGAATGAAATGATACGCCAATTTATGAGCGAGCTTCAGTGTCTCCTCAATTCCCCTCCCTTCCAGGGGCCAGATTCATGAAGCAGTTCTGCAATTACATACCTGCTTGATGGGGTTCTGGGAGTTCTTCTACTTCCCAAGCCCGGCCTGAGGCCAGGCTTGACTTGTGAGAGAGTGGTCCACCAGGCTGTTGCTTGGAGCGGCCCGCAGGCCCACATACCCACCACAGCCCGGTTAGTCCGGCACTCCTTGAAGGAAACAATTTAGTTTCCTCTTGAAGATGTCCACAGTTGTTCCTGTAATATTTCTGATGCTCGCTGGTAGGACGTTGAACAACCGTGGACCTCTGATGTTCATACAGTGTTCTCTGTGCCCATGGCACCTCTGCTCTTCACTGGTTCTATTCTGCATTTTCTTTCATGTCGTTCACTCCAGTACGTTCTGTGCAGATTTGGGACCTGTCCCTCCAGTATTTTCCATGTGTATATTATTTGGTATCTCTCTCGTCTCCTTTCTAGTTATTATAATTATATATAGCTATCCATTATATAATGGATAGATAGTATGGTGTTTTAACATGCAAGTCCTGCATAATTATTTTTTGCTTTTACAATATAACCACAGAGATCTTGCAAGAAAGAGATGGTTGGACTGACTGCAACTAACTGGGCCTAAAAAAAGGCCTTTGGCAGTCCCACACAGGAGGCTGGCTGTTCTTTGAGGTAGAACACAAAGGAGGCTGCAATAGACAGGCACAACTGACGAGATGAATAATTTTCCAACTGACAAAAATAAGAGCAGTGATCAGACTGAAGAAATGTCACTAGTAGAATACCCAAAGGTTCAGTTCTATCACCAGTAATGTTTGTTGTCTATATAAACAATCTGCCAGAGGGATATTAGTTACATGAATATGTTTGCAGATGATGCTAACTAGGGAGAATAAAAATGTCATGTAATGAAATGTGGAATAGGGGAAAACTAGCCACAAACAACCTACAAATACAGTATGTGAAAAAGATGCCGAAGAACTCTGACAAATAGTGCACTAGAATGGTTCTGAATAGTAAACTGTTACCAGAGGGCCACATCAAAGCACAGCAAGAGGAGCTTTATAGTTCAAAATTTATTATAAATTCATGGATGGGGGAAGGACTTCTGGCATTTAACAAATATTTTAAAATTTTGACCAAAAACGTATTTATAATCTTTCAAGTGTTCTGACATCAAGTTTCGTGTTACGTCTTTCATTTTGGTATCAAATTGTGCATACTCTAAAGGCGCCTATTTTGAAACTATCCCGAAGTTGATCAGATACAAAATGAATTTTATACAAATATTTTTGTAATGGACGCAAGTGCTGTCCTCGGCTAGGACTCAAGAAAAAAGTGGACATGATCAGTGTCCAAAGCGAGCGATAATGTTAAAAATGCAAAAGCTTGTCAATAGAAAGAAAAAGGAGAGATGTACTAATCACAAAATTGCAACAGGATTCACAGAAATTGACAACAAGGAACTTTTAAAACCTGCAATGTCTATTACAATGGGCTATAGACTCATCCTGTAACTACACTTAATTACACTCACATGCTCCTTTGTCCTAATAAAATGACAAAACTTTATTATGATTTTGGCAGTTACTAGATTTGGGTCAGCAAGCGCTGAATTAGTGAGTGGTCAGTGTAACTTGTGGAAATCATCATTTTCCAAGAAGTGTGGGAGGGATTCCCCATCCCATCCCTCAGAAAGCTCAGGACACCACCTAGTAGCAGTAGAGGTAATCAAATTAAGTTGATCAGAGTTGTTTTTATATCTTAGCGAGTAGTAAATCTCTGTTGGAAAATTACCTTTTGTAATGTTTGTAGGGAAAAATGCTTTTTGCAATTTTCCCTTATTCAGACAGCTCATCTCTGTATTAGTTTCATTTATACTCCCAACATTACATGGAGGAAATAAGTTAAGGATGATAATGTCATCAAAAGCATGATGTGGCCAGGGCCCTACACAAGCCTGTGAAGTATGCTGAGGGTGAGCTATCAAGGTATGTAAACCAGAAAATTTCATGAATTTTCTGTACTAGCAATCTGCAGGCTATACTATAGTTCTCAAATATTTTCCATAATGGATTAAAACATACAGTACATGCAAAGAATGAAAAACTATCATACCTCTCTTTCACGTCCTCTCCATATGATAAGTTAGGCATGGGTGCTGATGCATCAAAAGAAAGCCCAGCAATTTTATATGCTATTTCTCCTGCTATACTTTCAGATTTCCTCATTAACTCCATCCTTAAATCTGACACGCATTCATCTCCAGGTAAACGATCCTGAAGTCTTCGCAGTGCTTCTCTAATGCTAATGTCAATAACACCACTCACTCTTGAGGCCCACGGGAGTTTCTGATCAATCAGGCATATCTGATCTGCAAAGAAAGATACAATCAAACATTTCACCACCAGTGTGTAGTTGCATTATATTTTCATATGGTACTTCTGATCTTCACTATTCCTGGCTATAATTATTGCCTTTATTAGTGCAAACACAATTATGAATTTCAACAAAACAGTATTTTAATAAAAGACTTTTTAGACAGTAAATGTTTTTCATAATTTTTATTGTTTTGACACTGCATTGCAATCCAGCAAGAATATGATTTGCACAACCAAATTCCTCTTTTTAAAATGGCAATTGATTTTCTGATAAACGGAATTTTTGTCTTGATCTTAATGATGGTAGGATGTACGTAAAGTGTAAATAAGTTGGGCATGCTTCCTTTCACCTAATGCCTCTGTTTACCTAGCAGTAAATATGTACTCCAAGAGTTAGGTGAATTTGCATTGAGGAGGGTCAGTAGTGCGACCTGGGGGGGGGGGGGGGGGGCATCGATACAAGCCTAAAGTATTTACATACACAGGCTCACGTTTTGATGAGCAGTTTCTGAGATATGAAAACAGGACAGTTTCACCTTCCCAACATTTACACCAAGAAATTAAACCTACTTCAAAACTCACCTTTCAGATCAAGTACAGGAAAAGCAACAGAGAGCGATTGTCTTCCACCTATACTCTGACCGGACTTCCTTCCACGACCAATAGTTGACCTCCTCCTCTTAACTTTCTCGACTTCTGCCTGGATGTCTTTATTAATGACTACTGCTACTGCATCTTCAGGAGTGTTTAATTCACTTTCATCACACATTTCAACTGAACCTTCTTCTATTGAGGAGGATGCATTGTCAGTTGAATGATTCTCCTGTTCCACAACTTTAACTTGGCATGTTTGTCTTGTTTTTATATTTTCAACATTATCAACTCTTTTCTTTTCTTTCTGTTTCCCGTCTAACTTGTCTCCCTTCCTGTTAAGCTCATTTCCTTTGTCATTACAATGGGGGTTATTTGCCTCAGTTGAACACTTAGATCTCTCTCTGGAATTTTTTCTATGTTCTGGGGTTAATGACTTACTAGTAATTTTTTCTGGTGCCTGAGTTTTGCTAGGTGACACTGTCGTACTCTTGCATGACTGTGTTTTAACTAAAGCCCTGCTTGAAGACTTTACGTCCCTAGTACTAAACTGCTTTTGCTCAGGAGATTTGCTGGATGATCTAGTCTTACTCAGTTTGCATTCTTGTACAGGAGTTCTTTTAAACAATCTTGTCTTGGTTGCACTCTTGTCCAGTACTGGAGTTCTGTAAGATATTGTTCTAATAGCACTTCCCTCGCCTGGTGTTATTTTGGAAGGTGTTAGTTTATTGGCACTGGTCCCCAATATTGGGGTTCTATTGGATCTTCTTGTACTAGCACTTTCATTCACTACTGGGATTTTACTGGATAGCTTTGATTTGCTAACACTGCCCCCAACTACTGGAGTGCTATTGAATGATTTTATCTTTTTGGTACTTCTAACTACTGGGGATTTGTTGAATGATCCTGTCTTGCTGTCATTTCTCTTCACTTCTGGAGTTCTACTGGATGACCTTGTCTTACTAGTGTTCTTTTCTCCAGCAAATATTCTGTGTGAAGACCGTGTGTTACTGTTATTACTATTCGTCAGTGGAGTTCTAACTCTTGACCTTCTTGGTGTGGCAATAATTTTTGGTGGAGAGATTTCACTTGGGTCACATTCACTCTGAATATGACGCTTCTCAGGTCGATTATCTTCAATTGTTAAATATTCCATAATCATATATTCAAAGAATATAATTCCAGATCCTTTCTTTTCAGTAGATAATCAATGAGCCTGGCCTGAAAATAGAAAAAGTTCAGTACATGCCTTTTGTAAAACATTAAAATGTGGCCCTGATATAAATTAATTTTAAGTTATGCAGATCTCAAGCCAGAAACTGAGACATCTTAAGACTTGGTTTGAGCCATACATAAATCAAACATTTTATCTGAAGGAAGACTGGGAGTGCCATGAATGCCAAAAAGAATGTAGCTTGGATAAAATATTGTACCTCCAGGTGGTGTAAAAAAGAATTGCTCCAATGGAGATATTCATAGCAAAGGTAGTACAAATGTAAACCTCCAAGTCCACTAGGATGTCAGTCGTACTGTGACACTTGCAAAAAAAACAAATCGAGATGTGAAGAGACATTAATAATGTTCCAAACACCACGTAAGATATACGTTAACCATACGTTCAAAAATTTACTGATGCAACTCAGAGCAATGGGGATAAAATCTTTCTGGGACATGTCTTATGTACCAGATTTCTAAATGTGAAGAACTGCCTCGAGCCAGTCTTCGGGAACTGATGTTTCCCATTTGTACTGTTATAGTGATGTAATTCTGTATAAATATCAGTAAATACTGAAAGGCATCTAAAGGGAGATGGAGCATCTATAGTGTCATAATGGCTTGACACTTTCCCCTTATAATGCCCTTCACAGGGAGCAATGAGCAGCTATTATGCATTAGTTGATCATATTTGAACTAGTAACAATAATGCCAAATAGTTCATCTATTTTGTTACTAGGAAATGCACTGACTGAATTTTACTATCTAACAGTTTGCATCATAGAGCTGGGAAAAAATTAACTGAATGAAGTGTTACAATGACTTACTAGTTTGTGTAAACACAGACCTGATTAGGAATGTGTGAACCATTTTGTCTACTGTGTATAAAATATTTACAAAACATGGCCTACAAAAAGAGAATTTTGGTCAAAGGGGTGAAACAAGCAGAGGGCAAAATAATGGTCTATCAATTGATCAAACTAAAGAGTACCCTTTGTCGGCAAAGGAAATAATTTTACGCGTCATTTACCTGATGTGCCTGATAAAAATAGATAGGTTTGTTAGCCATTCTTTTGGCATTTGCTTTCAGTTTAGTTGCCGCACTATCTAAGGTCACAAGCAATAGGAGTTACATTAAATACATTACAGTCAAGCCAATATAAATAAGTTTAACTGAAAATGGAACATAAAAACAGCAAAGCATTACTTTTAATTAAATTTAGATTTTTTCTAAAAATCGAATTATGGTGTTGCTGTACTTCTGAGAGACATAAGCAGCAGCAACCCATCTCAAGATCTGAAACACTGAGTCTTAATTGCTTTGTGAGAATGTACCGATTAATTAATCACTAAAACCTGCAATAATACCCACTTGTACTTGTGGACATAAACTATCGATGAGCCTAGTCTCTGCAACAACTAGACGTCTCTAAACAGCCTCTACACTCATTTGCACTGTTTCATCACGTTATGCAAGAAAATGTCAAATCTTTGAACAAATCATTCTTGGTTACACTATCGTACATGGAGTGGAGAAAGGCGGGCATGGGGTGGGCAGCGACACACTCCACCAGACTCTCCCACTGTTTGAAACTTGTCAACAAATGGCGAGACTGGCGCGCTGGTTCTTTGCGGCAATCACACCTCAATAAAACCCGAAAACAGTACATATAGTAGTTGATACTAATTTTAGCTAAGTAATAAATTATTATTATTCTGTGATTTGTTGTGTGTACGTATAAAATACGTATCATTATTATTATTATTATTATTATTATTATTATTATTATTATTATTATTATTATACTCCAATATGTAAAGCTTTTGACACTGTCAACCACCAAAACCTTCTTCTTAAATTACATCATTATGGAGTCAGAGGACACTCCCTACAATACCTCAAATCCTACCTTACTGACAGGCTCCAATATGTTTCTGTGAATAATACAATTTCTCCCACCCTACCCATCAACATTGGTGTTCCCCAGGGCAGCATACTTGGCCCTCTCCTCTTTCTCATCTACATTAATGACCTTCCAAATGCCTCCCAACACCTCAAACCAATTCTATTTGCTGACGACACAACCTTCATTTACTCCAGTCCTGATCCCCTTGCTCTAAATGCCACAGTAAATACTGAGCTAAATAAAGTCCATCTGTGGCTAACTGCCAACAAACTCACCCTTAACATTGACAAAACCTTTTATATTCTGTTTGGCAATAAATCCTCTAATCAAATAAATCTCAAAATAAACAATACCCAAATTTGTAACAAATTAGATGGCAAATTCCTTGGCATTCTCATTGACCACAAGCTTAATTTCCAGGGACACATTCTAAACATATCAAAAAAAGTTTCAAAAACTGTGGGCATTCTTTCTAAGATCAGATATTATGTACCTCGCCCTGCCCTGGTGACTCTCTATTACTCCCTTATCTATCCATATCTCAACTATGGTATTTGTGCTTGGGGCTCTACTACCCAAAATCACTTACGTCCTCTAATTACTCAACACAAAGCTGCTATTAGGACAATATCCAATTCTGGCCCCAGACATCACTCGGTACCCCTACTTAAATCTCTGAATATGTTAGACATTAAGTCACTGCACATTCTCTCATGTGTATTATACATATATAAAACGCTAAACTATAATGCCAATCCTGATCTCAAAAGCTTCATAGAAGGTTGTATCAGAACCCATGAGCATCACACCAGAAATAAATACAGTTTTGATATTCCTAGAGTACGACTTAATCAAACTAGAAATGCTCTACAAATCAAGGGGCCCAGAATGTGGAATGACCTTCCCAACCATGTTAAAGACTGTACCTCTCTCAACCAGTTTAAGTTAAAAGCGAAGCTATACCTAATAAATTCCCTGTAACCTACCTTACCCTTCTTTTGTCAACCAATGTCTGTTTTTTTCTTTAAAGAGCGCTGTTTGTCGACATAATTGTATTTGTGCTGCTTTTTCATCTATGTTTTCATTTCTTGTTTTCATTCTACTCATTATGTTCAATTAGTATTAAGCTTGTCATTTAAGTTTATCATGCCCGAAACGCTTTGCGTAATAGAGGCTTTAGGCATTGTATGTACTAGCTATACCTATAAGTTAAACAATCCTTGTAAATATTTATTGTATGTATGTACCTTACCTAAATAAAATTGTATTGTATTGTATTGTATTGTATTGTATTGTATTATTATTATTATTATTATTATTATAATAATAATAATAATAATAATAAAAATAATAATAATAATTAATAATAATAATAATAATGTTTATTCAATTAAAAGTACATATATACAAAATGAGTTACAAAGAGAGTGTTGGATTTCTAGATAGAGCTAGAACTATATATACTATAGTACTATATATATTCTGCCCGGAACTTTTTGCGTAATAGTTGCTTTAGGTATTGAATGTACGAATGTGCTAGCTCTATCTATAAATCTATAATTTTTTGTAAAATCTCTTTTATGTATGTACCTTACCTGAATAAACATTTATTTATTTATTTACTATACCTTTGGTGAAGTGTCATACGTTCGTAGCCCCTGTATCGGGGGGGGGGGGCGAAGCTTTAGTTTCGTCCAGCCGAAACCGGCTGGACGCTCGCTCGACCATCATCAGGCGACTACCACATCTCAAGGCATGACACTGTTGATATGCTTGCAAAGACAGCCTGTTGAAAACCAATAGTAGAAATTAATATGGGTGTTTCATTAGTAGTGACAGAGAATACTTAAACAAATATCTAATGAAACCAACCAAACTCAATTCCAAGCTCGACCAAACAAAAATCTCTTTAGCCCTACTTAAAACCCTCAACTTGCCCTAGAAACCAACTATGGAACCATAGCAAACAACAATTGAGCTATGTACGAAAAAAGAAACCCGGATTTCTAGCAAACAACCATAGAGCTCTAGCAAACATAACCATAGAGCCCTAGCAAACAAACCTGGAGCACTAGTACACAAACAACCCTTGGAGCACAACCATGCATGAACCAGAGCCCGACCATGCACAACCCAAAGGCCTAGTGACACCCCCGGAGCCCGACCAGTTACACAACTGGTCGGGCTCCGGTTAAATAACTGGTCGGGCTCCGGTTAAATAACTGGTCGGGCTCCGGTTAAATAACCGGAGCCCGACCAGTTGTGTAACTGAACCACCAGTTGTGTAACCGGACCCAGATCAGTTGTGTAACCGCAAGCCTAGCTAGTATACATCTCATCCAACCCCCACTAAGCTAAAAAGCCCCAGAACCCAACCAAACTCCATTCCTAGCTCGACCAAACAAAAATCTCCTTAGCCCTACCTAAAACCCTCAACTTGCCCTAGAAACCAACTATGGAGCCATAGCAAACAACAATTGAGCTATGTACGAAAAAAGAAACCCGGATTTCTAGCAAACATATAACCATAGAGCCCTAGCAAACAACCCTTGGAGCACAACCATGCATGAACCGGAGCCCGACCATGCACAACCCAAAGGCCCAGTGACACCCCCGGAGCCCGACCAGTTAAGTAACCGGAGCCCGACCAGTTATTTAACCGGAGCCCGACCAGTTATTTAACCGGAGCCCGACCAGTTGTGTAACTGAACCACCAGTTGTGTAACCGGACCCAGATCAGTTGTGTAACCGCAAGCTTAGCAAATATATATCTCATCCAACCCCCACTAAGCTAAAAAGCCCCAGAACCCAACCAAACTCCATTCCTAGCTCGACCAAACAAAAATCTCCTTAGCCCTACCTAAAACCCTCAACTTGCCCTAGAAACCAACTATGGAGCCATAGCAAACAAAAATTGAGCTATGTACGAAAAAAGAAACCCGGATTTCTAGCAAACATATAACCATAGAGCCCTAGCAAACAAACCTGGAGCACTAGTACACAAACAACCCTTGGAGCACAACCATGCATGAACCGGAGCCCGACCATGCACAACCCAAAGGCCCAGTGACACCCCCGGAGCCCGACCAGTTAAGTAACCGGAGCCCGACCAGTTATTTAACCGGAGCCCGACCAGTTATTTAACCGGAGCCCGACCAGTTGTGTAACTGAACCACCAGTTGTGTAACCGGACCCAGATCAGTTGTGTAACCGCAAGCCTAGCAAATATACATCTCATCCAACCCCCACTAAGCTAAAAAGCCCCAGAACCCAACCAAACTCCATTCCTAGCTCGACCAAACAAAAATCTCCTTAGCCCTACCTAAAACCCTCAACTTGCCCTAGAAACCAACTATGGAGCCATAGCTAACAACAATTGAGCTATGTACGAAAAAAGAAACCCGGATTTCTAGCAAACATATAACCATAGAGCCCTAGCAAACAACCCTTGGAGCACAACCATGCATGAACCGGAGCCCGACCATGCACAACCCAAAGGCCCAGTGACACCCCCGGAGCCCGACCAGTTAAGTAACCGGAGCCCGACCAGTTATTTAACCGGAGCCCGACCAGTTATTTAACCGGAGCCCGACCAGTTGTGTAACTGAACCACCAGTTGTGTAACCGGACCCAGATCAGTTGTGTAACCGCAAGCCTAGCAAATATACATCTCATCCAACCCCCACTAAGCTAAAAAGCCCCAGAACCCAACCAAACTCCATTCCTAGCTCGACCAAACAAAAATCTCCTTAGCCCTACCTAAAACCATCAACTTGCCCTAGAAACCAACTATGGAGCCATAGCTAACAACAATTGAGCTATGTACGAAAAAAGAAACCCGGATTTCTAGCAAACATATAACCATAGAGCCCTAGCAAACAACCCTTGGAGCACAACCATGCATGAACCGGAGCCCGACCATGCACAACCCAAAGGCCCAGTGACACCCCCGGAGCCCGACCAGTTAAGTAACCGGAGCCCGACCAGTTATTTAACCGGAGCCCGACCAGTTATTTAACCGGAGCCCGACCAGTTGTGTAACTGAACCACCAGTTGTGTAACCGGACCCAGATCAGTTGTGTAACCGCAATCCTAGCAAGTATACATCTCATCCAACCCCCACTAAGCTAAAAAGCCCCAGAACCCAACCAAACTCCATTCCTAGCTCGACCAAACAAAAATCTCCTTAGCCCTACCTAAAACCCTCAACTTGCCCTAGAAACCAACTATGGAGCCATAGCAAACAACAATTGAGCTATGTACGAAAAAAGAAACCCGGATTTCTAGCAAACATAACCATAGAGCCCTAGCAAACAACCCTTGGAGCACAACCATGCATGAACCGGAGCCCGACCATGCACAACCCAAAGGCCCAGTGACACCCCCGGAGCCCGACCAGTTAAGTAACCGGAGCCCGACCAGTTATTTAACCGGAGCCCGACCAGTTATTTAACCGGAGCCCGACCAGTTGTGTAACTGAACCACCAGTTGTGTAACCGAACCCAGATCAGTTGTGTAACCGCAAGCCTAGCAAATATACATCTCATCCAACCCCCACTAAGCTAAAAAGCCCCAGAACCCAACCAAACTCCATTCCTAGCTCGACCAAACAAAAATCTCCTTAGCCCTACCTAAAACCCTCAACTTGCCCTAGAAACCAACTATGGAGCCATAGCAAACAACAATTGAGCTATGTACGAAAAAAGAAACCCGGATTTCTAGCAAACATATAACCATAGAGCCCTAGCAAACAACCCTTGGAGCGCAACCATGCATGAACCGGAGCCCGACCATGCACAACCCAAAGGCCCAGTGACACCCCCGGAGCCCGACCAGTTAAGTAACCGGAGCCCGACCAGTTATTTAACCGGAGCCCGACCAGTTATTTAACCGGAGCCCGACCAGTTGTGTAACTGAACCACCAGTTGTGTAACCGGACCCAGATCAGTTGTGTAACCGCAAGCCTAGCAAATATACATCTCATCCAACCCCCACTAAGCTAAAAAGCCCCAGAACCCAACCAAACTCCATTCCTAGCTCGACCAAACAAAAATCTCCTTAGCCCTACCTAAAACCCTCAACTTGCCCTAGAAACCAACTATGGAGCCATAGCAAACAACAATTGAGCTATGTACGAAAAAAGAAACCCGGATTTCTAGCAAACATATAACCATAGAGCCCTAGCAAACAACCCTTGGAGCACAACCATGCATGAACCGGAGCCCGACCATGCACAACCCAAAGGCCCAGTGACACCCCCGGAGCCCGACCAGTTAAGTAACCGGAGCCCGACCAGTTATTTAACCGGAGCCCGACCAGTTATTTAACCGGAGCCCGACCAGTTATTTAACCGGAGCCCGACCAGTTGTGTAACTGAACCACCAGTTGTGTAACCGGACCCAGATCAGTTGTGTAACCGCAAGCCTAGCAAATATGCATCTCATCCAACCCCCACTAAGCTAAAAAGCCCCAGAACCCAACCAAACTCCCTTCCTAGCTCGACCAAACAAAAATCTCCTTAGCCCTACCTAAAACCCTCAACTTGCCCTAGAAACCAACTATGGAGCCATAGCAAACAACAATTGAGCTATGTACGAAAAAAGAAACCCGGATTTCTAGCAAAAATATATAACCATAGAGCCCTAGCAAACAACCCTTGGAGCACAACCATGCATGAACCGGAGCCCGACAATGCACAACCCAAAGGCCCAGTGACACCCCCGGAGCCCGACCAGTTATTTAACCGGAGCCCGACCAGTTATTTAACCGGAGCCCGACCAGTTATTTAACCGGAGCCCGACCAGTTGTGTAACTGAACCACCAGTTGTGTAACCGGACCCAGATCAGTTGTGTAACCGCAAGCCTAGCAAATATACATCTCATCCAACCCCCACTAAGCTAAAAAGCCCCAGAACCCAACCAAACTCCATTCCTAGCTCGACCAAACAAAAATCTCCTTAGCCCTACCTAAAACCCTCAACTTGCCCTAGAAACCAACTATGGAGCCATAGCTAACAACAATTGAGCTATGTACGAAAAAAGAAACCCGGATTTCTAGCAAACATATAACCATAGAGCCCTAGCAAACAACCCTTGGAGCACAACCATGCATGAACCGGAGCCCGACCATGCACAACCCAAAGGCCCAGTGACACCCCCGGAGCCCGACCAGTTAAGTAACCGGAGCCCGACCAGTTATTTAACCGGAGCCCGACCAGTTATTTAACCGGAGCCCGACCAGTTGTGTAACTGAACCACCAGTTGTGTAACCGGACCCAGATCAGTTGTGTAACCGCAAGCCTAGCAAATATACATCTCATCCAACCCCCACTAAGCTAAAAAGCCCCAGAACCCAACCAAACTCCATTCCTAGCTCGACCAAACAAAAATCTCCTTAGCCCTACCTAAAACCCTCAACTTGCCCTAGAAACCAACTATGGAGCCATAGCAAACAACAATTGAGCTATGTACGAAAAAAGAAACCCGGATTTCTAGCAAACTTATAACCATAGAGCCCTAGCAAACAAATCTGGAGCACTAGTACACAAACAACCCTTGGAGCACAACCATGCATGTACCGGAGCCCGACCATGCACAACCCAAAGGCCCAGTGACACCCCCGGAGCCCGACCAGTTAAGTAACCGGAGCCCGACCAGTTATTTAACCGGAGCCCGACCAGTTATTTAACCGGAGCCCGACCAGTTGTGTAACTGAACCACCAGTTGTGTAACCGGACCCAGATCAGTTGTGTAACCGCAAGCCTAGCAAATATACATCTCATCCAACCCCCACTAAGCTAAAAAGCCCCAGAACCCAACCAAACTCCATTCCTAGCTCGACCAAACAAAAATCTCCTTAGCCCTACCTAAAACCCTCAACTTGCCCTAGAAACCAACTATGGAGCCATAGCAAACAACAATTGAGCTATATACGAAAAAAGAAACCCGGATTTCTAGCAAACTTATAACCATAGAGCCCTAGCAAACAAATCTGGAGCACTAGTACACAAACAACCCTTGGAGCACAACCATGCATGTACCGGAGCCCGACCATGCACAACCCAAAGGCCCAGTGACACCCCCGGAGCCCGACCAGTTAAGTAACCGGAGCCCGACCAGTTATTTAACCGGAGCCCGACCAGTTATTTAACCGGAGCCCGACCAGTTGTGTAACTGAACCACCAGTTGTGTAACCGGACCCAGATCAGTTGTGTAACCGCAAGCCTAGCAAATATACATCTCATCCAACCCCCACTAAGCTAAAAAGCCCCAGAACCCAACCAAACTCCATTCCTAGCTCGACCAAACAAAAATCTCCTTAGCCCTACCTAAAACCCTCAACTTGCCCTAGAAACCAACTATGGAGCCATAGCAAACAACAATTGAGCTATGTACGAAAAAAGAAACCCGGATTTCTAGCAAACATATAACCATAGAGCCCTAGCAAACAACCCTTGGAGCACAACCATGCATGAACCGGAGCCCGACCATGCACAACCCAAAGGCCCAGTGACACCCCCGGAGCCCGACCAGTTAAGTAACCGGAGCCCGACCAGTTATTTAACCGGAGCCCGACCAGTTATTTAACCGGAGCCCGACCAGTTGTGTAACTGAACCACCAATTGTGTAACCGGACCCAGATCAGTTGTGTAACCGCAAGCCTAGCAAATATACATCTCATCCAACCCCCACTAAGCTAAAAAGCCCCAGAACCCAACCAAACTCCATTCCTAGCTCGACCAAACAAAAATCTCCTTAGCCCTACCTAAAACCCTCAACTTGCCCTAGAAACCAACTATGGAGCCATAGCAAACAATTGAGCTATGTACGAAAAAAGAAACCCGGATTTCTAGCAAACATATAACCATAGAGCCCTAGCAAACAACCCTTGGAGCACAACCATGCATGAACCGGAGCCCGACCATTCACAACCCAAAGGCCTAGTGACACCCCCGGAGCCCGACCAGTTAAGTAACCGGAGCCCGACCAGTTATTTAACCGGAGCCCGACCAGTTATTTAACCGGAGCCCGACCAGTTGTGTAACTGAACCACCAGTTGTGTAACCGGACCCAGATCAGTTGTGTAACCGCAAGCCTAGCAAATATACATCTCATCCAACCCCCACTAAGCTAAAAAGCCCCAGAACCCAACCAAACTCCATTCCTAGCTCGACCAAACAAAAATCTCCTTAGGCCTACCTAAAACCCTCAACTTGCCCTAGAAACCAACTATGGAGCCATAGCAAACAACAATTGAGCTATGTACGAAAAAAGAAACCCGGATTTCTAGCAAACTTATAACCATTGAGCCCTAGCAAACAACCCTTGGAGCACAACCATGCATGAACCGGAGCCCGACCATGCACAACCCAAAGGCCTAGTGACACCCCCGGAGCCCGACCAGTTAAGTAACCGGAGCCCGACCAGTTATTTAACCGGAGCCCGACCAGTTATTTAACCGGAGCCCGACCAGTTGTGTAACTGAACCACCAGTTGTGTAACCGGACCCAGATCAGTTGTGTAACCGCAAGCTTAGCAAATATACATCTCATCCAACCCCCACTAAGCTAAACAGCCCCAGAACCCAACCAAACTCCATTCCTAGCTCGACCAAACAAAAATCTCCTTAGCCCTACCTAAAACCCTCAACTTGCCCTAGAAACCAACTATGGAGCCATAGCAAACAAAAATTGAGCTATGTACGAAAAAAGAAACCCGGATTTCTAGCAAACATATAACCATAGAGCCCTAGCAAACAAACCTGGAGCACTAGTACACAAACAACCCTTGGAGCACAACCATGCATGAACCGGAGCCCGACCATGCACAACCCAAAGGCCCAGTGACACCCCCGGAGCCCGACCAGTTAAGTAACCGGAGCCCGACCAGTTATTTAACCGGAGCCCGACCAGTTATTTAACCGGAGCCCGACCAGTTGTGTAACTGAACCACCAGTTGTGTAACCGGACCCAGATCAGTTGTGTAACCGCAAGCCTAGCAAATATACATCTCATCCAACCCCCACTAAGCTAAAAAGCCCCAGAACCCAACCAAACTCCATTCCTAGCTCGACCAAACAAAAATCTCCTTAGCCCTACCTAAAACCCTCAACTTGCCCTAGAAACCAACTATGGAGCCATAGCAAACAACAATTGAGCTATGTACGAAAAAAGAAACCCGGATTTCTAGCAAACATATAACCATAGAGCCCTAGCAAACAACCCTTGGAGCACAACCATGCATGAACCGGAGCCCGACCATGCACAACCCAAAGGCCCAGTGACACCCCCGGAGCCCGACCAGTTAAGTAACCGGAGCCCGACCAGTTATTTAACCGGAGCCCGACCAGTTATTTAACCGGAGCCCGACCAGTTGTGTAACTGAACCACCAGTTGTGTAACCGGACCCAGATCAGTTGTGTAACCGCAAGCCTAGCAAATATACATCTCATCCAACCCCCACTAAGCTAAAAAGCCCCAGAACCCAACCAAACTCCATTCCTAGCTCGACCAAACAAAAATCTCCTTAGCCCTACCTAAAACCCTCAACTTGCCCTAGAAACCAACTATGGAGCCATAGCAAACAAAAATTGAGCTATGTACGAAAAAAGAAACCCGGATTTCTAGCAAACATATAACCATAGAGCCCTAGCAAACAAACCTGGAGCACTAGTACACAAACAACCCTTGGAGCACAACCATGCATGAACCGGAGCCCGACCATGCACAACCCAAAGCCCAAGTGGCACCCCCAAGCGAAGAAAATGTATATATGCTGATTAGCATTGTAAGTTTGTGGCCACGTCTGTGGTAGAAAATAATAATAAAAAAAAGTTAACGATGGTCTCCATGCATCCAGGCATGGAGACCATCTTCAGAAAGACATAGCTGCTCTGGAGTAATGTCTTACCAGAGCTATGGAGCTATGTCTTGCGACAAAATATCATACCAGAGCTTAGTCATCTCTCGTATCAGGAACGGTTGAGGGCCACAGGGCTAACACCACAAACCAGGCATGACAGGCCGGACTTCATAGAAACCTTTAAAATATTAAACAAGTTTGAGGACGTCGACCAGGACAATGTCTTCAGAAGGTCAGATATTACACGAGCAAGGAATAGCGGCTTCAAACTCAACAAGCCAAAATGTTGGACAGGAAATAGACGATGCTTTTCACCCATAGGGTTGCAAACCCGTGGAACCGCCTACCTGCCGAAGCCGTAAACGCCAAACTCTGCTGGGTTTTAAAATACAGCTGGAAAAGATCATCAGGGCAAATGGCGGGACCTTTGACAAGCCGCCGGCTTACTGTCGTCATCGAGGCTACTAGTGTTAGTGGCCCTCAGGTAAATTCAGTTCCTGGAGGGGTGTCCCCGCTTCTTTTTGTTGGGAAGTTGTTCATATATGGCAGTATTTGTACACTGGACTGTCGCTTGTCTCTAAACTTAGTTTTTAAACTATTAACTTAATGAAATAATATTACCTTATACGGGAGAATAATTCTAAATGATAAAATTGACGAATGGGGCTTTGGGTTGGGCGGCCGCGTTGGCGAGCCTGGCTTGAGGACAGCAAAAAAAAAAAAAAAAAAAAAAAAAAAATGCTTCACCCTCCACATACTTCAAAGTGCAAATAATTGCCAACAGAACCTAAATACCGAACCTACTATACGCCTAATTAAACATGGAATATAAAATTAATTTATACACGATAAAAACTATTTTTAATACATAGTACATAAAAGTCGATAATAAACGCGTCTTGGGAGGTGTGTGGGGGGGGGGGGGTGGACGACCGCCGCGTTAACGAGGCTAGCCTGACGACCGGGTGGTTTAACACTCTGGGGAAGTGTATTCTACATAATATCCTACCCATATAATGTAGGCAAATCATGATCCTCAAAATCCTCCACAATATCCGAGAGAGGACAGACTATTTAGCATTAGTGGAATACAAACATTTGAATACTACGGAAACAACGACCCATGTTGACATTACAAAAACTCAATGTTATAATAGCGAATAAATGTATAATGCAGTAAGCATTTGTAGGTGGAGGTAGACTATATATTCATGCGTACCTCCCAACTGTTTAGATATATTTGTAAAAAAAAAAAAAAAAAAGATCAGCCTTACCTACACAGGAACGACACACCTCACCCCACCGCTGCTTCCTGACGACTGTCGGTGCTGTAGTCCATACTAACTTGGGATGCCAGATTTGAGTTGCCGTAAGTCGCGAGCTGAAGAATTAATCGTCACAAACTTTATTATAAAAGTAGCCAAATATTTTTTTTCCAGATTGATTCATTTTTCAAAATACACAACCCAGCTTATATTAACAGTAGCCGAAAAAGTAGTAAGTAGCGACATCGCCAGAAAACCAAATAAGCCAGAAAAAAGAGAGATCTGGCATATTTGATTGTCAGATTGGGCTACTTGTAGCCCAATCGGGCTACTTGTAGCCCAATCAGGCTACTTGTAGCCCAATTGGGCTACAACCGACCCAGAGACTCTCTGCCTAAAATTATTTGAACGCCATATTGAAGTTCCTAGCGTATAGCGCCAGGCGTGTGTAAATGAATATTTATATGCATTATAGGCCTTTCTAAATTAATTTATAGATCTGAATATCATATGTTGTCTAACAAACGAATTATTTAAGTTGATATTTTAATTATGCCAGATACACGTCTCAACGCACACTAGAAGATTCGTCAGCGTATTTTTTATTATTATTTTTATTATCTATATATAAATAGAGTTCTTAAATTCTTATAAAGCCGCTAGCATGCATAGCGTTTTGGGCAGGTCCTTCATCCTATTTTTTTTCCCGGAATACGACCCGCCAAATCGTTAAACAACCTATTCACTGCTGGGTGAGCAGTTAAGGATTGTCGCCCTGTCAATCCTTCCCGGCCAGAATACGAACCCAGGTCAAAGGGCTGGCGACGAGCCGGGCGTGTGTTTTACTACTACGCCACAGAGTCTGCTCCGTGGCGTAGTGAAATTTTGAATTTTGAAACCTGACTAACCTAGCTCAACCCAACCTAACGTAACCCAAATCCAACCGAGCCTAATGCAGCCTAACCTTAATAACATAACCTAATACAGCCTAGCATAACACTACATCGCGTATTGAGAACTATGCCTCTTCAACGCAAGCAGCATATGCATATAAACAACATATGCATATAAATATAGAATCAATGTCGCAACCCACCCAAAAGAGTGTGGGAAGTGGCCGAAGTGTTACCCGCGGCGGCATATCGGCGAAACCCACATTGAAAAGTGTATATTCAATTCACTGTCCTGACATTATTTTTCGATGTACGTATTTCATTTTTGTACCAATGTATTCGCAATAGAATGTTCTAGAAGAACATAAGTATAAAACGTCACATAAGAATGTGTTCGATCGGCAACAAATATAAAAACTACGTCGATCACACTCGTCGTGTCAATAATACAATTGTTTTACCACGATGATTCACTGCCATGCCGTTCTCCCAAATAAGCTCTTCGGCTTTTAGAGAAAACGTAAATTTCATGGTAAACATTTCTAAACTATCCTCAAGTAGATCGGATCGAAATTGGAATTTATACAAATATTTATTCTCGTGACGCCCGCCAGTGTCACCCTTGCGGAACCCGAACAAAATTTAGTGACGCGCTCGTGCGCCACCGCGGGGCGAAAGTGATAATTATTATAATTATTAATTAATACTTATAAGAGTAATAAGAGAAAAACGATTCACCCTAAATATACATAGTAACGACTTTGATACCTTGCCTACGCTCAGATCCAGAGCTCGCAAACAGCACTGGATAACGACATCTCTACCAAGTTCTTTCTGCCCACCCATTGTTTGATTGACATCCATTCCCCATTATTCCTCTATTAACCTTATGTTTTCATTATCCCTATATTCCTTCGACCCTTCGCCTCACCCCACACAACTTCACCTCTTCCACATGAGTATTTAAGACAAAATTGCACCTTGTGTGTCGCAGAGGCACCACTACTGCGCCAGGTAAGTCCACTACGGGCTCACCATAGCCCGTGCTACTTGTCCTGCTCCTGTGCCAGGTAAGTTACGGGCTCATCATAGCCCGTGCTACTTGGAACTTGTTCCGAGTAGCTGAATATATAACAACAACCTTGTGTGTGTGGTAAGACACCGTGGAAATAATTACCACCATTTTTTATCTTGGAGCAGTAGCCAAAGGCAAAAATACTCAACATATCCCTAAACTGGATCCCATTAAATGAGAGTCGATGAAATTGCTAAATTGGCAACTCGTCATCCAGTGATACATAAAAATCCAACCCAGCCTAGAGTACATTAAAAACACCATCACCAAAAAACTCTCAAACACCTCAACAAAGCCTACCTACACCAGAGAGTAGCTGAAGGTTCGCCCTCTGCAATATTGTATCTTCAGGCCACTAATTTAGACAGGTTAAATATCCCCAAAAGAATCCACATGGAAATAGCAGTTAGGTTATATAGACTACGTCTAGGTTACAGATTCAACTGGGAGATTGGCGAACCCCGACAGACGGAATGCATCTTCTGCCAAACAATCAGAGAAAAGTCACTACTTCACTATCTCCAGGAATGTGAAGCAACCAACAACCTTAGAAGAGCTTTAAGAGTCCCTGAATCTTGCAGTAACCATCCTGAAGCAAGTCATCAACTCTGTCACTTTTCTGGTCAAGATAGATGGGTGGTGTGCAAGGGTGTCCAGCAGCTGGACACTCTCATAAATACTGTCAAGCAGTATCCTCCCCAGCGATAGCAGCCTGACGATTAAATGTGACCTCAGCACACAGTATATTTACTAAAAAAAAAAAAAATACCACTTACGGGCTATTCATGCCCGTGACACCTCTTTGGTGGCTTAATCTTCATCAATCATTCCTTACTTGAAGACGGTCGAGTGGAATGAAATGTAGGAATCGGATTTACCCCTTCAATAATCACTAGTTTCTTTACCATGAATTTCGTTAACGTGATTGCTCATCTTAATCCAGAGTAAGAAAATTGCCGACGATGAGAGAAAACATGGCTGAAGTTATGACGACCAAACCACACATCAGAAGATGGAGAAACGTCGTCTCGGTCCGTCCTGGACCATTATCAAGTAGTACGTCTTGATTGTGTAAGAAAATTGTTAGAAGCAAAGAAAGCTTATACTATAAGATCAACAACGCCAGCAATGCGGTTACATTGAACCAAATTGCACACACACACAAAGATGGGTACTGGGCCCCACTCACCTCTTTAACTCTAACCTTTTACAAAATTTATTAGGGAGCACTGAAACTACTGTACGGGCATTGGATATTTCTTTCTGATTACGAAAAGAAATCTGGCCATTTCAGGCACTATTTCACACTTTACCAAAGTTGAATACGTGAGAATCGGATGGGTGTCAATAATTGCAAATATTTCTTAAACCACTTAGGCCTACCCCACCAGCATGTGTTTATCTCGAACCCCAGACAATTTCCTTTTCAAATTTGGGTATGGCTAGTCCAGAGTGTCTGGCCTTCAACTTCGGAGAGACATGCAGACATTCTCAGTCCTCAATGAACAGTCCACACGTTCATTACCCTCACACTGAACAGTTCACACGGTCACTACCCTCACACTGAACAGTTCACACGGTCACTACCTCTCACACTGAACAGTCCACGCGTTCACTACCCTCACTCTAGAACTAGTCTTCAATATGTGTGTTTCCACGTGACTGTGTAGGCCACGTCCACATGCAAACATTAAGCAGGTGACATTAAACGGGAACTCAGGGAGGATAACAATAAACATCATTTTGGGTTAGTCTCCCTTCAGAAAGAGAGAAATTTATATTTTAATACAAATAAACAAGAGTTTGCTTCCGAGACGCGACACAGGTAAAGATTTTTTTTGCTCAAATATTTATATATATATATATATAAATATAAACAATGGGTAAATAGGTCATAAGGTAATGATATACTGTACTTCTGAATCAACTGTCGGCACATTAATGTTATTAAGCTGATAACTATTACAGATATTAGCTGGTTAACGAATATATATATTCACATGTATGCAGTTATTGCTGTGGCCTGATGATGAACGTAAGGCATATAAGTAATTCATTGAGTTTTATGCTGTGGGCATCATGTACATTGGAGTTAAATTATTCTTGAAGTTAAACAATAATTTACACTTGGCTATAAATAAATGTATATTTAGGTCTATGTACAAAAGCTTAAGGTAAAGGTAAATATTTCATTATATATATTTTTTTAAAGCTGATAGTGTACATTCTCTCTACAAACAAAAACTATTTGATCTGCATTACATAAACCTACATTAGCAAATCTGAATTTTATATATACAAATTTTAAAGCTTTAAATTTGGTATAATGATACAAATTACATTTGAAAATCTTGAGTCTTGCTAGCAGTATTATTACAATAAATTAAATTGTAATAATTGGAAAACGAGGAGATTGTGAAAAAATTAAACAAATCAAATAATTCTCAATATACTTCAACTCTCCCAAAGAATAACACATTGTACAAGTTGATGGTGACACAGATGTAGACGTTCATGGATGGTGACTCGAGCTTCAGGGACGTTGATATGTTGAGGACTATCAGGAATCCACCACAGTCTTGGCATGTGAGGGTGAGAGAGCAGGGTGTGAGGGTGGGAGAGCAGGGTGTGAGGGTGGGAGAGCAGGGTGTGAGGGTGGGAGAGCAGGGTGTGAGGGTGGGAGAGCAGGGTGTGAGGGTGGGAGAGCAGGGTGTGAGGGTGGGAGATCAGGGTGTGAGGGTGGGAGAGCAGGGTGTGAGGGTGGGAGAGCAGGGTGTGAGGGTGGGAGAGCAGGGTGTGAGGGTGGGAGAGCAGGGTGTGAGGGTGGGAGAGCAGGGTGTGAGGGTGAGAGAGCAGGGTGTGAGGGTGGGAGAGCAGGGTGTGAGGGTGGGAGAGCAGGGTGTGAGGGTGGGAGAGCAGGGTGTGAGGGTGGGAGAGCAGGGTGTGAGGATCCAATTCGTCTATGAAGGTGTGAGGGCGTTCCAGGGCTCACAGTTCAGGCTCGTGGAAGGTCTGTTGGTCGTACCTGCTTGTGTCCTTCCTCTGAGCTCTGGGGATGAGGGGGGGAGGAAACACATTATAATATTGACTACATTTGCTGACCTCCAAACATATATTAATTCAAATTCTAGAATAACTTCCTTGACTCTTTCTATTTATATACAGTGTTAAATTTTTTGTTAAATATAGAAGGGAGTACCACCTCTGGCTGGAAGAAAGGGAACCCCTTACCCTTGAAAAGAAGCACACATAACCCACTAGAGTTTTTTTTAGGTCTCCACAGTTTTTGTGTGCTTTTGTCCTATCACCCCCTTCCTTTTGTGTTTTGTTGTGCTTTATTAGATATCTAAAGGTTACAAGATGTACATTGGTTAATACAATGAGAGTTTAAAGGTTATGGATTGTTCTATTTATATACAGTATTTGAAGAACTTATGGAAGGGCTGACCTCGAACTGAATGTCTCGGGCGTTACCACTGTCTCTTAGTCTTGTAATGCATCAGATACTGTGTCCCTCTACTGCTCTCCTCGCACTGTATCACTAACTTACACCTACGTTCTAGCCAAACCCGCTTGTTCAAATTAAAAATTGTTTCGGGAACGTCATGATGTGTATTAGTTTAGTTCATTTATTATGCACCTCATACCCATCTTGTGGGCGGTAGTGGAAAAGGTTACAGAGGCACAGACTGGGCTCGGGGATATGGATTGTGGTGTTCAGTCCTTGAGCCCATTATGTGCCTCTGTAACCCTTTCCACTACCGCCCACAAGATGGGTATGGGGTGCATAATATATAAACTAAACTAACCAATACACATCATGAAGTTCCCGATTTTTTTTTTAATTCTAACAAGCGGTTTTAACTACAACATAGGTGTAAGTTAGTAATATAGGGCGTGAAGAGCAGTGGAGGGACACTATCTGATCTTTGAAAGTATGCCGTTTTGAATACTTTTTTGGCTATGCGTTGTAAGTACGAATATACAGTACAACCCAGCACCGAACTTAAGAGTTTAAGAAAAGAATAAATATAAATATAATTAAGTTATTGTGAGTTCAAGGTAAAACAAAATACCATTCGCAAACAAGGAGAAAATATTCCAAGATACTTACAAAACAATTTCGACGTTGTCGAGGGCCCAGTGGTCGGTGGCCGGGCCGTCGTGATCAGGCTGCCACCATCGCAGCTGCACCCCGTACCGGCGAGCCTCCCCTGGCAGCGTGTACGCCACACGACGGGCCTAGTGATTGATTGATTGATGAAGATTAAGCCACCCAAAAGGTGGCACGGGCATGAATAGCCCGTAAGTGGTGGCCCTTGTGAGCCATTACCAGTATCAATAGATGATACTGAAGATCTGTGGAGGTGCGATTGCACCCTGCATGACGGGAGATGTCTTCCGTGACGAGCCTACTCCAAGTGCGGTATTATTATATGCTTAGTGGTGCCTTCTCTCCATGCCCTGTGGCTGGGGGGATTGGTGCCCTGAAGCTACATAAACACCCTAACCCCCCCGAAGTGTTAGTTCAGTTCAGTTTTGAACTGTGTTCAGTTTCGAATGGTATTTTTGTTATGCAGTTCAGTTTTGGTCGCCATATTATGGAATGGATATAAATTCACTTGAACGTGTCCAGCGTAGGATGACTAAGTTAATTCCCCAAATTAGAAATCTTTCATATGAAGAAAGATTAACAAAGCTTAAGTTGCATTCACTGGAAAGGCGAAGAGTTAGGGGTGACATGATAGAGGTTTACAAGTGGATGAATGGACATAACCGGGGGGATATTAATAGGGTATTAAAAGAGTATCAACACAGGACAGAACACGAAACAATGGATATAAATTGGATAAGTTTAGATTTAGGAAAGACTTGGGTAAATACTGGTTCAGTAACAGGGTTGTTGATTTGTGGAACCAATTGCCGCGTAACATTGTGGAGGTGGGGTCCCTCGATTGTTTCAAGCACGGGTTGGACAAGTATATGAGTGGGATTGGGTGGTTATAGAATAGGAGCTGCCTCGTATGGGCCAATAGGCCTTCTGCAGTTACCTTTGTTCTTATGTTCTTATGTTCTTAAGTGGCAAGGGAAGTTAAGGGACAACAATACTACCAACATTTCTCAATACTGAAAAGCATTTGCCCTGTCTTCTGACCTTTTGTGTAGTTGGTGTACCTGATTTACCTGAGGGCCACTAGCCCTAGTGGCCTCGACGAGGACAGGAAGTCGACGGCTTGTCGAAGGTCCCCCCCCCCCCATTTGCCTTGATCTCTTCCAGGTATATTTTGAAATTCAGAACAATTTTGGCAGTTACGGCTTCGGCGGGTACGCCATTCCATGGGTTAATAATCTTGTGAGTGAAAAAGCATCTCCTATTCTCAGTCCTACATTGTGGCTTGTTGAACTTCAAACCGTTAATCCTTGTTTGTGTTACATCTGATCTGAAAAAATATCCGGATTAACATTCTTTGATGTACTCTTTGTAGGGCCTCGGTATCTTTTTCGCTTCAACTTTACCACAAATCTGTGTCATCTGCCAATCTGATGATGTAGTTTGTAATATTCTCATCCGTGTTACTGATGCACCTGACAAAAAGGGCTGGCCCCAAGATGGCACCTAATACTCCTCACCACATTTTAAGAATTAAGATTCACTTCCATTTCCATTTAAATCTATTTTACAGTTTGTTCCACGTGCTTGCAATTTCTTCGCCAGCCTCATTTGGTACTATATGAAACTTCTATTGGAAGTCCTTAATAGCTGGTTACCATTTCCAAAAATTGTGAGGAGGTTCGTAAGGCAAGATTTATTTTTAATAAACCCCATGTTGTGTTGACTTTACAACTTTGTGCACCGAACTGGTGAATGATTTTCTCCCTTTGGATTCTCTCCATGAGCTGGTAGATCAGGGAGGTTAGGCCGATTGGTCGCTAGTTTTCTGTCGAGCTCATTTTGCTTCTTTTGTTAAGGATGGAAGTGACAGTTGCACATTTCCATTCTCGTGGAGACTTTACTAGGAGTTCCAGTGGTAGACACAGTTCCTCGACCAGTTCCTTTACGATTTTGGATTGAATTCCATCCACACCTTTAATTTGTCGAGGCTCTTCTAGATTGTTTATTTCATTGTTTCATCTTCCGGGTATCATTCAGCTCATTTTCATCCCTTGCTTCAAACATTTGTGTGGGTATTTGGATGCTATCTAATCTTCCTAGTATGAACACTGAGGTACAGTATTCATTCAAAGATTTGGCTGTCATTTTATCCTCAATTACCACCTGGTTGTTGTCTCGTCATTCAAAGGTCCGTGTATTTTGTTTGGGGTTTACTTCTTATGAGGATATCCTTAAGTACAATGATTTAACGATTATAACTATTATACACAGGCAATCACTTATCAGTTGATCAAGATGATGCTTTGATTTTTTATTGCCCTGATCATTAGAGGGTCAAAATTTGTCTCCTCACAGGGCAGGGCACTAAGTATTTAAGAGTCAGTCTGTTCATGGGCCTGGAGCCACACCCCTACCGACTGAGACAGTGGGTACATATTTCCCAGGTTTGGTTTGCAAGAATGTAACTTGCTTAGCTAAATGAATTGTGGGGTTCAGTCCCTGAGCCCATTATGTGCCTCTGTAACCCTTTCCACTACCGCCCACAAGATGGGTATGGGGTACATAATAAATGAACTAAACTAACATGGTTTACGAACCAATTTGGTTTTACAAGCCGGTGCGCGGGGACACGGTAAATCTTGGGAAACTGTCTTTTGCCAACACTTCTCAGCAGCGCGGACCCCTTGCTAAAAGAATGACCGAGAAAATGGGATGACTGTGATTGCAATCAGATTTTTTTTTATTCGTGACTAATGCCCCTATACACTGGAAACATTAATTGGGTTGGGTTAGATCAGGTTGTGCATCACTTCTTATACAAGGCACACGTAAACCCCAAAATCTACCGTGTTGTAGATTTTAGTTAGCATTTCAATAACTGAACAAAAAGCAGACATAACTAAAATAACATCTCTGAAAATAAAAATTAAAATGTTTATAAAATTAATAATATTTGCATTGTCAAGCAATTTGAACGAAGGACATTAGAGTTGGGTAACCTTTCTGAAGTCGAGAGGGTCGTGGACGTTGATAGTGGTCCACGTTATGCCATTGTCGTTAGTGTACTGCAGGATAACGCCCTTATCCAACGCTCTCTGTGGGTCGCTCAGGTCCACGAAACAAGAGGGCGTGTGATCGTGGCTCCCAATTCTAAGCACGAAGATCAACTTGCTGCAAGAGTGTTTTCTCAGTTAGCCTCACTATGCATCATAATAAATCCTGAAAGTGAGTCAGTATTAATGACATTCAATGAAATTAAACACTGCTGAAGAAAGTAAGGGTATTTTGGGACAATTTTTACTCTTCTATATGTTGCAGGGGAAATGTAAATGCCAATAACATATGAATTTAGATACTCCCACTTTCCCCCTGGTACAGTGAGAGTTGGAGTAAAGGTAACCCCCTGGTACAGTGAGAGTTGGCATAAAGCCAACCCCGTCCCTGGTTTTAAATTCTCGTATTCTTAAATAAAACAGTTAACTGTAATGACGGAACTTCATCACGTTCCTCAGTCACTCTCATTAACATTTTTCGTTTCAACGAACACCAGGAAAGTGTGACAAGGAAACATTTTTTCTTCCTCTGCGTGATTTTGAATCATTTTCGAGTGAAGGGCGTGCACACTAAGTGCTCACCTTGCAGAGCGGGTGTCCAACTCCTTGGTGACAGCTTGGCGAGTCCCACAGCCTGAGAAGTAGAGGTGTTTACCGTGGCTGTACGGTGCCAGGGAGCTGCAGCCGAGACCTACCCCACCTCCCGTCACCAGCGCCCAGTTGGCCAGCACTCCGCCTTCGAATCCATCCACCAAGCTGGTTGGCAGGGGCGTGATGCGGGATGGTACAGGCTCACATGATTCTCCTGTAGGTGAGGACATTGGCACTTAGCCCAAGTCATATTGCTCTATTATCACTAATTAAAATTAAAACTCTGCAAAATTCTGCTGAGGGTATGGGGGCAAGTCTTGTGAAGGTATACAGGCTCACAGGAACCTATACTGAGAGTACGACATGTATAGTTGAGAGTACTGCCCAATCTACTTCTAAGTATTTAAGAGTCAATATATTCCTGAGCATGGAGCCACACCCCTACTAGTGAGGATTCTTTCTAGCTGACACTACGCTACTAAATATTTGGTGCAAGTACAGTCAAAGCTATTATTCAAACAGAGTCTCTCGGCAGAGATAGGGATTCATAAGACTGTATTCATAAGATAGCCGAAAGTACAAGGTGGTGCCAGTAACGTGGGACAGAATACTATGGCTCTACGAAGTTAGGGAATGGTACTCAACCAACTGACATAAGGAGTGAGGGTGAAGTGGAAGACATCAATTTGATGTCAAAAATAAAATTAAATAACGAGGTGAAAAAAAGAGAGCCACGACGGGCGTGGAGCAGTACATAACATACTATGATATGATACTACATATGATACTAGATATGATACTACATATGATACTATATATCTGCCTGAATCGCTATGCGTGCTAGTGGCTTTACAAGAATGTAAAACTTCAAATCTCTGTACTCTAATAAACCCAATGTACCTTCTTGTACATAAATAAATAAATAAATAAATAAATAAATAAATAAATAAATAAATAAATAAATAAATAAATAAATAAATACGGTCCACTTGGTTAAACAGCGCTGATTTAATCAGTAACTGGTGACCTTGCGGACATGATTTTTTTTTTTTTACGAGGACCTTGAGATAAGGCCAATTACGAGGCTTGTTCCCGACAGTTGTATACCAGTTTACGACAATTACTGATGACCACATCCAGGCAATTTGATAATATTCACAAATTAACAAGAGTTAGGAAACCCATGGCCGAAGCAGCCAAGGTATTGTTATAAATGTTGATACAGTTAATAATTTACTCCTGTAAGATTACCACTATTGAATTGATTTAAAAATTAAGGAATAATATCGTAAAGGATTTTTAATATTACATGCAAATATGTTTATCTGAATGAAGTAGTCAGTATAATCTTTTAAAACCAAACAAAAACCCAAATTACCGAAGCTGGAGCACCTCAAAATCAAAATCAAAATGTTTATTTAGGTAAGGTACATACATAAAAGAGATTTTACAAAGAGTGATGGATTTATAGTTAGGGCTAGTACATACAATGCCTAAAGCCACTATTACGCAAAGCGTTTCGGGCACCTCACAAAATTCCTAACTTGTAGTAGTAGTAGTAGTAGTAGTAGCAGTAGTAGTAGTAGAAGTAGTATCTGAATGAAGTAGTCAGTATAATCTTTTAAAACCAAACAAAAACCTAAATTCCCGAAGCTGGAGCACCTCACAAAATTCCTAACTTGAAGAAGAGCAGTAGCAATAGCAGTAGTAGTAGTAGTAGTAGTAGTAGAAGGAGAAAGAGAAGGAGAAGGATGAGGAGGAGGAGTAAGCAAGAGAACTGACCAGAGTAGCCCGGGTCGCAGGTGCAGGTAGCGTGGAGACAGTCGCCACGGCCGTGACAGTGACTGGGACACGGGTAGCCCACGTACACGTCGTCCAGGGACCAGGGCGTCACCTTGCTCCCGGGGCCCCGTACCTCCTGCACCCAACGTAGCTGCGTCGTGCTGCCAACCACAAACACTTTATAATTACATCTTAAATATGTTAAAATATCAGTTTAATGTCTCTGAAATCTTCGAAACTCCCAATAGGGCTGAGGAAGGGTTTCGTAATGTGTGTTCTGAATGGTACCGTAAAGTTCTTAAACTACAGTAATTATTTATGATTTCAGAATTGAGTCAGAGTGATCCATTTTCACCCGGTGCATAATTACACACTTACAAGCCTATAAATGTAGTACCCATTAGCCTTCCACCCTGAGGATGAAGACTAATGGGTAGTGTAAACTTTCCAAATGCAAATCAAGGGGTCCCAAATTGTGGAATGACCTCCCAAATGCTGTACGTCTCCCAACCTGTTTAGGAAAGACCAACTAAGAAATATCTATTTAACTTCATATAACAAATTTCACTTGCATTTAGGGTTCCGGTAGTACAGTCGGGTTTGTTCTTGACTCACAACCGAGAATCCCGGGTTCTAATCCCGGGCGGGACAGAAATGGTTGAGGGCATTTCCTACCTGCCTGTTCACCTAGCAATAAGTGGGTACTCAGGGGTTAGTCAGCTTGTTGAGTAGTTGCATCCTAGTGGTTGTGGGGGGCAGTAATTATTTGACCTGGTGGGGGGGGGGCGCCCTCGATATAAGCCTAACGTGTCTATATAAAAAGGGTGCTTCGCCCCCTCCTACAAAATCATTATAATTTGTTTATATTTTGATTATTTACAGTAACTTGTTAACATATGCTTTGTTAACCTATGCAAAATTTTGTTTAGAAATATATATTCTGGCATATCAAGCCATATTTGGAATAATGTGTATTATCAAAATGTTTTTCATTACGAGAAGAATGTTATGAAGACCCCCTTACCTTCCCCAGGTCTTCTCTGGGAGTGGAATGGTGATCCTCTTCCAGTGTGAGTGTGTATCTGAGTGGAAGATTGACTGGGGATGGAAGGTGTACGGGAGACAGTCAGGGTCCGGGGAGGAGCCTGGGAGGCAGGAGTCGTGCACCAGCTCCCAACCAGTCACGCCGCCGTCACGGCTGTACTCTAGACGCACTCCAGGGGTCTCTCCGCACTCTCCAGGGCTGTCGCCGCACCCCACCGACACCTGCACTCACACACACACACACATGGTTACCTTCATATAGCACGCGGCAACAACCGATAGGGATCACATATGCAATCCGCCACATTACATTGATGACCTATGGAATGCAACATAGGCTTATATTGACATATGGAATGAGCTATGTAGTTATTTTTACAGCATATGGAATGCTACAACACCTAGCACTATTGTACTCCTAGCACCTGGAGTGCAACAACGAGAACCACCATAAGAATATAGGAAACTGAAGGAGGCCTCTTGGCCCATACGAACAGGTGCTATTTCTATTCACAAAGAACTTTGTCTTCCGCTGACATTGCTATTCAGACAATTCGCTAGACCAAGAGAAAGTTCCCCTAGATTGACAATATGCAAATGTCACTCCCCCACCATCTTTAAGACAGGCAGAAAAGCATCAGCAGAAATTGTTAATCAAGCTAACCTCGCATATCAGTTAGATCATGGCGAGAACCCTAAGGGAGGGAATCACTCACACTCTCACAGTGCACAATATTGTAAAATCAACACAGGAATTTATTAAAATCAGCATCAAATTCGCGCCCCTCTTCGATGCTCTACTTTCCTCACTAATCAAATATACAAAACAATGGCTCACCAAGCTTGTCTTTATATTTTTGTAAGGACCTTGACAAATACTTCGTCAATGCAATACATAAGAAAATGATACTATGCAATATGAAATGATAGAAATGCAATACAAACTGCCCGCTTACCTTAAACTGCAGTATGTGGGTATCGTGGATTATAAGTTCCTGGGTGGTGATGGCGCGGTGGCCGGGAGAGTCGGCTCCCCACACCAGGGAACCATTAGTGCCGCTCGAGCAGTAGTCCACCAGACTCCTGCTGTGGGGCGCGAAGAGCCACTCCGACACCTGCACGCATAACATGTTGGCTTCAATGTTCACGTTACATGTTGAGAGAAAAACGTTGGTCCATAGCTTTCCATTTTACTTGAGGCTCTCTCCAGGGGACACGCAAATGAAAGCTTCTGAGCTATGTTCACAAATCTACTCTTTAAGAGATTTGATGTGAATAGATAATTTAATAGTGTTATAATGAACTTATTTTAGTAATTTATGACTGAATAAGACTGCTTCTAATTGCTATTATGGCAGCACAGGTATATGGTGTGTAGAACATATAGTAGCTACTAGTTGCTCTTATGCAGATACGTAGTGTGTGTGTGTGGTTTTTTAGTAAACGTGAAGACAATGTATTTATTATTTTATCTTATGCACATACAAGGTGTACATATCTTGTGGACAACTGTGACAAGAGTTAGAACAAGCTAGTGAAATAAATAATGGGATTAATATTCTACACGAGTCAAGTGCTGCATTTACCTCCTTGGAGAGGCACACTAAACTCAGCAGTGTTGGACGCTTATCTCCACGAGAGTGTGCCCGGAATAGAGGTGATAGAGGTGCAGTGTGCCTCTGCACCTCTATGACTCAAAATATTTATCATTAAAATATACATTAATTAAATACTTTCAACAGCAAATGAAACATGTAAAGCAGGATACTGACGGTGGGTTCTCCCTCGAACTGGTCGAGGAGTTCGGCGGCGCTGATCTCGGAGCCACCAATATAGAGGTCGTCCAAAGACCAGGCTGGTGGAGGCGAGGCTAGACGAGGCTGCCAGAACCTGCAGGCAACATATTTGTACATAGATCAATGGTGACATATATGACAGGCTTAAGGTAGAGTTTGTTGTAAAATAACATTATTCGGCTTACCATGAGGCATGACTTGTCGCAGTGCAAAGCAGGAGTTTCTACACGGATATGCATAAAGTGGACAGCATGTGAAATGAAGGGCAGTAACAGAGACGCAAAATGAAGGTGACTGGTAGAACGCAGGAGAAATACCAAAGCCTGTAGATCCAAAGACTGGATAAACTTAGTGTAGTAAAGCAAAGTTAACGCCAAGCTAAGATAATAAGAGACTGGATACAGCTGCGATATTTAAAGTAATGATATGAAAAAGATAGTTAAGGCAAGACTACATGGCAATGACCTGGGTGCAACGCACACTATACGGGAGTCATTAAGACCCGCAACGACTACCTGCTGCCGAGGCGTCTCTTGAGTCTGGGGTTCGCCTTCAGCAGATACCACACTTATTGGGGATGCCGGGAACTTACCTGAAGGTAGTGGCGGGGCTCCTGGCGTGTGCCGGTATTAGGATGTATTCCTTGTTGGGCGTCGTGTACAGCTGGTGGTCTAATTCCCTCAGCAGGTGCCAACGGATACCTGCAGATACACACACACAAGAATCACTACCTATGACAGTACCTGCTGGACGTCCCCTGTTAGTGTTATGTGTGTTGAACAGTTACTGCATGAAATTTGGTGGTAGAATTTAGGCCCAAGGCTAAAAAATGGATTTACATCGTTCATGGCTTTGATCTGTCATGATCTTGGTCACTGGCTTCGACACACACACACAGATAGCATGAGAGAGAGAGAGGGGGGGAGGGGGAGGGGTACGACGATGGAGGAGGGAGGGAAGGATGATGGAGGAGAGATGAGGAAAGAGGGAGGTAAAGGGGGAGGAGAGGAGAGGAGAGGAGAGGAGAGGAGAGGAGAGGAGAGGAGAGGAGAGGAGAGGAGAGGAGAGGAGAGGAGAGGGAGGAGAAAGGAGGTGAGAGAGATGGGGAGGGGGGGAGAGGGAAAGGAAGCTAGGAAACAGGAAGAGGGATGGAGACGAGAGAGACCCGGGCACAGCCGCGGGAACCGCATCTATTATATTAATAATTAAAAACCCTAGTGCTCGCACCTCCATCAATGGAGTACTGAAGGAAGACGTTATGGTGCCTGTGAGAGGCGCTCCTGCAGATGCCGCTGCCGTGGCCGCTGCCGATTTGGGTGGTGAAGTGGACAAATTTACCGCTGCGGGTGTCGACTGGTCGGGTGAGGAGCAAGCGGGTGTTGGGGCCCTGGAAGGTGGCGGTCGGTGGCTCCTCCAGCCCTCCGCACCCCTCCGACAGCAGTCCTCCCTGCACCTGCACGAAGTGCGGCCGGAACACCCCTCCAGAGAACTGGTCCCGGATGAATGCCTGCATCACACAGTCAGGATGAGTATGGGGTGCACAGACGGAAGCAGGAATTTGATATTTATCTTTCGGCAACAATCGATCATCAACCACACAGTCACATATGTAATAATAATAATAATAATAATAATAATAATAATAATAATAATAATAATAATAATAATAATAATATTATTATTATTATTATAATACCATTAAAAATATTAACGATTCTCATCAAGATCTACAACTCTTGTAGTTCTATATTAAAAAAAAATAAAAAAAATGTAGAGAGAACTATCAGTAATATATCAACTCGTCCTCCTGTTTAGACAGTACCTATTGTACCTATTGTGACGATCGTCAATAATCACGAATTTTCACGTCATTAGTTTTTAGAAAGTAGTATAGTGACTAGTAAGGAATTCTTAAAAAAAATGAAGCTAAATAAAAACTTAAATATTCCTAGGCCTAATATAGCACACATATGTACTATATTAGGCCTCAGATATCGTATAATAGGCCTAGGAAGATTAGGTTAGTTTAGTTTAGTCTTTTGCAACAAGAAAAAAAATACTTTTCCGGTTTGTCCAACTCAATAGTGCCGATTTCTACTTTCTTAATTTCGTTGTAAGTCGGTATATATACTATGGTCCTCATCGTTACTATAAATACTACCAACACAGCAGGATGGGGCTGATATATTCAATAAATATCCAAATATTTCAACCAAAATGAGATATTACCCAAAATCTTATCCAAGCATCGCAAGTTTTTCCCATGAAGCAGTGCAGTCCCGGTCTAGCGTGACGCTAACATGGCTTGGAGAGAAGTGCATCAGGGAAGGAAGGGGCTTGGAACTCTTTATGTGGCCATTGGAGTGCCTGGAGTGTAACGGTGCCTCTGTTACACACACAGAGACAAACATACTGATACAGACCGACACTTACCACATTCTCGACAGTGACGTGTTGGCAGTATGGTCCAGCATAGCCGTAGTCACAGCGACACACACCGTCGATGCAGGAGCCGCGGCCCAGACAGTGGTGGGGGCACGCTTTTCCGATATACACGTCCCTCAGTGACCACTGGTGGCGACCCGACACATCCGAGGAGGGATCCTGCACCCACCGGAATCTTACGTATCTGTGGATGACAAGTCTCCAGTGACTAGCTATATACAGGTGATGACGGGTCGTGCACTGACTCAAAGCCACTTTGTGAGATACTGTACTCAAAGGAGCTTGACGTAACGTTACATCTATAATTCCTTTATTATATTCTATGATACAACTATTTTATTATTGTGAACCCAAGGCCGGGGAGGTGATCACATTTTTTGGTTGTCAAGGTACAGCTGAATCCATCTTGTCATCACAAGTCTACGTCTTGTTTAATATCTAAGAAAATGGCTACTCACTTGGCTGGGCCAATATGGTTGAGTGGGTAGACATATCTGTTCCACTTGAGCGGGGCGTAAAAGATGGAGGCGTCCGCGATGTCTGCACAGCTGCTGTTCCCCGGCAGACACATGTCTCGCACCAGCCGCCAGGTGTGGCCGAAGTCCAGCGAGTACTCCAGCCTGTAGCAGCCGCCCACGCAAGAGAACACACCGTTCGTGAATTAATCAATTTGAGTCCCCCCCCCTTAGTAAGACACTGAAGCCCTTAGGTCCTTTACTGTCTTTAATTGTTCAATTCAACAAAGTTATAAGGAATGTCACCACTAATAAAATGTATAAACAGTTATCACATTATCGATATACAGAACAATATGTATATTGGCAAAAAATGCCTTATTTGTGGATGAATTCATACTTGATCCACTGTAGATTACCGACTCTTGGCTTCTAAGATATACTTCATTCAAAAGACAGTTATTAATTAATGTTATATGGCTGTAGAATGTAAAGAAGTGAAGCACAATAAATATGGGATGGAAAAAGACAATTCAGAGCAAGCATGAGAGACCGCAGAATAGCTCAGTATGGTAAGCAGGAGGTTCACCTGACGGGTTGAGCAGTGTTGTCCCAGGTGGCGCCACAGCCCAGGGCCAGCAGGAAGCTGACACTGTGGTTCCTGCTCACCTGCCGAACACACACACACTTGTCTTAGTACCCATACTTATCAATACATCGTCATTATTTACACAAACATTATGTAGATAACAAGACTTGGTAGAACACACATTTGAAATAATACAAAATCCCAATTTGGTATGTTTATTAATAATATATCCCCCTATGTTGTTAAGCATTCCCAGGGACGGATATTATAATAGTGTTACTGTGGCATGTGCTTGTGCACTCGAGAGGGCGTGCATGCGTCCCTGTGAGTGTAATTATCTAAGTGTAGTTACAGGATGAGAGCTACACTCGTGGTGTCCCGTCTTCCCAGCACTCTTTGTTATATGACGCTTTGAAACTACTGACGGTGTTGACCTCCACTACTTTCTCACTTAACTTGTTCCAACTGTCTGTTTGCAAAATACAACTTCTAAAATCTGTTTGTTGTGTGTGCGTGTGCGCGCGTCCGTGTGCGCGTCCTTGTGTGTACATACTGTATTATACTGAAGTGTGAGACCCACCTGGAGGTCAGTGGTCTGAAGGATGGCAGGTTCAGAGGGTGTGGACATCATGACATGCATGGCCAGGGGGTGGTCGCAGTAGGTGTCTGAAATACGAGGCCTCAAATTAACATCCAAAGTGTATAGCGAGAGACAGCTGCCAAGCACTCAGTCTTAGGAGTAAGGAACGCTTGTAATGGAAAAACCAGCATCAGGGAAAAGAAACAATTAATATTAAGAAAAAATACTTGTGAAGAAGAAAATAAAAGTCTGTGCTACTTAAGAGATTTTTCGTGAATAGTACAAAAATATTAAACATGAAACTGAATATCATGGCTACATTTATTTTATTGCTTATATAAATGGTTCAGTATTTACATGTGCTTTTTATAATAAATTAAAGTAAATTTTATAAATAAAATAAATAAATATAATAAATTAAATAAATTAAAGTAAATTTTACATTCCCATATTTTGAGACTGCTCAGGGAATATGTCTGTAAATGGACCTGCAGGGACTGACTGACTGACCCGTGCGCGTGTTGTATCGCCGGAGCCAAAGTGGGGGCACCAGGTGGTGTGGGTGGGTGTAGGTGAGGTTATCTGGGGGCGTCACACTCCCGCCCACCACCACCCCATCCACCGCCCAGTCGTAGCGGTTCCGTTCTCCTCCGTCGGGCTGCCACCACCGCACCCGCCCGCCCATACACCTCAGGTCCTGCGGCAGTTCCACCCACACGTATCTGGAGGAGGAATACACAATGACGCAATAATACAGAGACTTCACAGATAGCAGACTATCTAATGGGTTTGTGGTGATTTCCTCTCTACCTGCACTTGTCTAACTTCGGTATGATAACTGCAAGTGAGCATTCGGTATATTCTCGAAGGTGCTGTGTACACACTCGAGAATATACTGAATGCTTCCTGCGACGGCGCTGGAACCAATCGTATTGGCGTTTGCCTTTCCATTGAAGACTCGGCGCCGTGGCGAAGGGGGGACCTGCTGCATGGGTAACAGCTTCTCCCGTTGATTTGATTGTTGCCGCCGAAGGCGGCTAGTTTATTGTGCACCCCTTACTCAGCCTGTGAGCGGTAGCGCAAAAGCATTACAGAGAGCACAAAAGGTCTTCTCCCCTTGTATCAACCTATCCTGGCTTTGCGCCCTGGAGAGGCCACTCCAGACCGACAATCAGAGTGCAACTCCATAGTCTCCTGAGACTGATGACTGCCTACTACTACTGTGTACATGTTTACTACATTAACTGATAATTTATTCCAGTACACCGTAATCTCAATAATATTTAAATATTTATCTATGCAAGGTTCAAAGCTTACAACACTTAATTACTTTCCATTACCTCTGGCTATGGTGTCAACGTGAGCTTAAAAAAAAAACGCCTGTGATCTGTAGACTATTATAAAATTTCTTAAACTTATTGAAAATTTGAATTATCTCTCCTAGGCAAAATGTTTTCTTAAAGAACACAGATTTTTTGTTAAGTCTTCTATCATAATGTTGCTCCTCGAACCTGCCTTAAGCTTATGTCTCATCGTCTTCGATTTTTCTCAAGTCTTTCTTCCTCTTTTAAAAATTAATTTGTGTTATTTTCAATAATTTAGGCAACCATAATCACAGAGCGCACTCTAGGTACGTCTAATGACGGTATTCAGTGAAGCAAGAGCTTCTGAATATGTTTTCTAACATACTACAAGTTACTAGCAATACTACCCAACGGCTTGGCTTTCGGTCTTGCAGCTACTGTTTGATATCGTCATTCATTATAATTCCGCATTGCCTGTCCTCATTTATCTGCTTAAATGTTTAATAGAGCTAAGGTTTACATACTATATAATGTTACGGTAACTTCGCTCGCTTACTGGAATCTGTAAAAAATTAAGCATTACTTTGTCTTTCCATGGCACTGCTTAATTGGGTATTCCAACCCTAAATAAAAGTTCTTCAACAATAGCACTGTTTTAATATATCTTCCGTTCATTGTTTAACTGCATCATCAGCTTCTGGCAAAGCGTCTTAAAGGATTCACAGGTAAACTATCATTACTCTTCCACAAACATACACAACCACTCACACACACTCATCCGGACACAAATACACATATGGAATGTACAAGACAATCTAAATGCAACGAACTTTTTCTGAAATAAACACACAAAAATTCACCACGACTCACTGTGGTCGATGATAAATGAGGAGGAGCTTCCTGAGGGTGGTCCAGGAGATGCCGGCATCACAGGACGCCTGCAGGAGGACGGTGTGGTCGCCACCCGCCTCCCGTCCGCTTACCGGGTCCAGACAACCTGTCCGAAGGTCGAACTGCACAAATAGGGCCTCCTGCAAGTCCAGATTCTTTGTCTCCAGGTACCTACTGCAGCCCTAAAGAGAAATTTCCAAGTTTTCACCAACGGTATTGTAGCGTTCCAACTATTTAGCTTTTACACATTTGATATTCTTCGCATGATTACATGTAATACTAGAAATATCTTCAGAAGACTAGTATGATTCAGAGGGATCTACAGGGATACCCACCAGCCCTGCTGAAATTAGAACTTACGTGCAACTTTAACCCCGAAAGGCCTATATTCTTTCCACGTCAATATTGCTATAACTGGTATGTATAACGCTGACATGCCTGACTGAAGGATAATCAACTTTCACCAAGCCATCCAATGACAAACGGAATACTTCCTCGTGCACAGCACACCACACACATTCAGGGACGGATTTTTCCGTCCCTCCTCCCCTTTGTTTCCCTCTTTCTACCCCTGTCTCTCTCTCTCTCTCTCTCTCTCTCTCTCTCTCTCTCTCTCTCTCTCTCTCTCTCTCTCTCTCTCTCTCCCTACCCCCTTCTCCCCTCCCATTCTCTCTCCGTTATCGACGTTGATTTAACGCTATCAGTGTTGATTTAATGTCGATAACGTCAAATAATTAGGTTAACAAACACTATGTGGACAACGAAACCCACATTTCCAGACTTCATGTGAGTCGCTGGTTGTCGCAAAAGGAGCCAATCTACTGACGGCATGGAGTTCGACACCCCCGTCCCTCCAGGACACTCGCCACAATCACCAAGGAAAGTTGTGCGAGGCTAACAGCAACCGTCAGGACCCCCAACCTCGAACAGATAGACAGAGACATTCTCTCTGTTAAAGATATGGGTACAATTTGGCTGTGGTCCCATGGAAAACGTCCTTTAAATCCCTTTAGTTTACCTGTGTTTTTTGTTTCCACCGGAGCCCTCTCCTTTTGTATTAGAAGGATTCTGTATTGTATTTTGTATTTGTCGAAAGTGTTTTGTGTAAGCGGGTGTGGGTGTATTTACTATTTGTGTCAGCAGAATCGAGCTATTAGCTCTTGGACTTCTAACCAATCTATTTTCCTCTATTATATCACTACATATATTTGTCTCTAACACACACACATACACACACACACACACACACACACAGAATGCAGTCCGTAGCAACTGTCTAACTCCCTGGTACCTATTTACTGCTAAGTTTCTTTCATCAGGATGAAAGAAACTCTGCCCATCTGTTTCCGCATCAACCAGGAATCGAACCCGGGCCATTAGGACTACGACCCCCAAGTGCTATCCACTCAGCCGCTAGGCGTGTGCACGTGCGTGCGTGTGTGTTTACAAACGAGGACTGACCCCGAGGAAGTGCAAGGCCTGGCCAGAAGCAATGGGTCCGCAGTGATCAGTCAGCTGGCCGCCCACCACCTTACTCCAGTCACTTGTCCAGTCCTCGCTGCTGAAGTCAGCTACGATGTACTTCGCAAGAGGAGTGGCCGGCTCCTCACAGTTATCACCTGTAAACATGTAGATAATGTCATCTTCACCAAAAGGATATAATAAACATACAAAATAATGAAATAAACAAACCAGACACTAACTGTAAAGTGTCCGAGGATTAAAATAGTGGCTAGGGAGGAAGTTTGTGTTACAGTGCGAGGAAGTTTGTGTTACAGTGCGAGGAAGTTTGTGTTACAGTGCGAGGAAGTTTGTGTTACAGTGCGAGGAAGTTTGTGTTACAGTGCGAGGGAGATTTTGTTTCATATTTCTCGAGAACGATTATATATTTCATAGTTCTTGCATAGCTGCAAGTGTTGAGTCCATGAAGCCTATGCTATCACTACTGAACTTCTGGAACCCTAATTATAGCCTTAAATACTTCGATCAAAACTCTTCAGCACTCATCCTAACATCAATACATTTTTTTCGAACGTTTAAACACTGTCCCGTAGATCGTGATCTTCACTCCTGTGGCCAGATTCACGAAGCAGTTACGCAAGTACTTACGAAACTGTACATCTCTCCTCAATCTTTGACGGCTTTGGTTACGTTCATTAAATAGTTTACAACCATGAAAGCTTTCCCAGTCAACTGTTGATATTGTTATAAACAGCCTCCTGGTGCTTCGGAGCTCACTAACTGTTTAATAATTGTAAACAAAGCCGCTAAAGATTGAGAAAAGATGTACAGGTTCGTAAGTGCTTGCGTAACTGCTTCGTGAATCTGGCCCCTGTAACATAATATATCACTTAATGTCGGTAAGTTTCTAAGGATTATTTTAACATTTATTCCATTTACTCCATCGTGACAAACTGGTCCTTGTCATTTTTTATTATGGTTTATAATTTATAGTAATAATTAATGATAGGCTATTAATATTACCATTTTCTTGAACAAATGATTACTGCATTTGACACTTTTGTAAACCGTGTGAATTATACATTCAAAGTTTAAGTTTGATTTAAACTGCCGTATACCTCTGACTAGTCTTGCCAGAATTGTAAGATTTTATGTAAGTTGTTACGAATAATGCCTTTCATTCTGGTTCCATTATACATATACTTTGACTGTTGACCAATCCACACACTAGAAAATGAAGGGACGACGACGTTTCGGTCCGTCCTGGAGCATTCACAATCGACTTGAGAATGGTCCAGGACGGACCGAAACGTCGTCGTCCCTTCATTTTCTAGTGTGTGGATTGGTCAACATACTTCAGCCACGTTATTGTGACTCATCGCCTGCATATAATTTGACACAGACACTTGACCTCTCAACTAACACTGGCTCTTTCTCGTATGGCCCTGTATGACTAACCATCCTGTGTGATGAGGACTTTTCACTATCACTGCTACCTTATTCACTCTTGTGTTCATGATATCCTCATAATGCACCCAGAGTCTGCCAGTGCAGAGTACTTATCACATGCCTCTGTCTGACTAACCATCCTGTGTGATGGGGATTTTTAGCATCACGTAGGTAGCTTTTTGACACACTGTACTCCCCCTTCATATAGTCTAAGGTAGCTGCACAAATGCAGATGTACCTAAATGTGTTAATTAAAACAAATACATCAATGACTAACTAAATGCCACACAACACCTGAGGTCAATTCTATTTCCTGATGACACAACCATAATTTTCTCACATGCTAACCCACTTGTTGTAATTGAGCGTGAATTTTGAACTGAAAAATAAAAAATCCATTTATGGCTGACTACTTAAAAACTCGTCCTTAGCACTGTAAAACAACATTACATATTGTCTTGAAACTAGTCCATCAATTAAACAAAACAGAATTACCAATACCCAAACTGATAAGCGTAAATGGAAAATTCCTTAAGTGCTCACAATGACACCAGACAGAATTTCATTTAACATAACAAAATACAATATATCCAAAAAAGTTTCAAAAACAGTAGGTAGTTTAAAAAAGAGAAAATAAGAAATGCCTTATTAAACATTATATAACCAATTTTACTCACATTTCCCCATCCTACATAACATGTGGTTTTACACAGAGAGTTATCACATTAACGTGACTGCATTTATGAGAAAATCCGTAAGGGCCGTGATGAGGGTTCGAACCTATGAGGGTGGATGTTCTGCTGCTATCACTAAAATTGTTGTATTTAAGTTGTCTATGCCTTTCAGCGTTTAATATCAGTTAACAATTTTCAGTTATTTTATAAATTTATTTTACAATTCAAATTATCATTGCATAAAGAAATCAAATTAACGTGATGTATCAATGACAAACTCAGTAGGAGCCGTGAGGAGGATTCGAACCCGTACACTTGGTACTCCCAAGACCACATCTTAGACCACTTCACCACAGCCAGAGTGCATGGGAGGCAAAAATATGAAACCCTGACTTGACTTCAGTGGAAGCCTTAGGCCCCCCTAGAGGATACAACTGAATCCTAGGTTGCAATGCTCTTACCATGTCACGGTGAAGTGGTCTAAGGCGTGAACAAATCCACAAGGGCCGTCATAAGGGTTCGAATCTACGTCCGGGATGATCCCAGTCGTGTGCAGGTTCGAATCCTCCTCATGGCTCCTACTGATTTTGTCATTATTATTATTACTACTACCTGTCCATCCCTTCTGGCAGTGACACTGGCCGGCGTCGCAGAAGCCCCGGCCGGCGCACATGTGGTAACACTCATCCCCGATGTAGACATGTGAGAGGGCCCAGGAGTGTTGCTGCTTCCAGCCCTCGCGCTGAATGAACCGCACTCGCGTCAGCGCCGACCTGTGGCACAAGTCACTGAGGTACACTGCTACAACACTACATATATATTCATAGATTCACTGTTACAGCATTACACAAATCATTGTACAGGGATACAACTTTACAGAGATACGCGAATCTAACATTGCAGGAATTCAAAGATACATTACAGGGATACAATGCATCACCATTAAATCGTGGGATATACCATTCAATACATAGGATTTTCTTTCAATGACAAGCACTAGTACGTTTCTGTGAACGATGCTACTTCTCCCACACTACCAATTAATATAGCTGTTCTCAAATACGTAAATGACTAACCAAATGCCACGCAACACCTTCAGTCAATACTTTTTGCTTTTGATATAATCTTTATTTTTTCAAATAGCGGCCCACTCTTCCTTACTGACACAGTAAGGAAGTTCTCAACCGTCACCTGTTGATTGACGGTTGAGAGGCGGGACCAAAGAGCCAGAGCTCAACCCCCGCAAGCACAATTAGGTACAATTAGGTGAGTACAGTAAATACTGGACGCTGAAAAGTTCGCATGTGGTTGACTGCTAACAAACTCACCTTCAACATTACCAAAACATATTACATAATTTATTTGGAAACGAATCTAAAAGTCAAATAGATCTAGTAATACATAATACCTAAACTGAGAGCAAAGCAAAAAAGTTTTTGGCACAAACAAACAACAATGTAAAATTTAATTTCATATACAAAATATAGCAACATAAACTGCATTATAAGGGTTCACTGGTACAATGAAAGAGAAATACACTGGTACAAGTACAAGGGTACACTGATGCAAGTGTGTGTTAACACACAAACGGTTGGGCACCTTTCTTATCACCTAATGTCTATTCACCTAGGAGTTAAGCAACAGTTGTGGGGTTGCATCTTAGAGAGGGTCAGTTGTTCGACCTCCTTGATTTAAGCCTAAAGTATATGTATATACAGGCTTCCTATTCCCGACAAAACTAGTTAAGAATTAATACAAGGGTACACTGAAGAAGCTCTGTGTGACTTTCTAGCATTAGAAAATAACGCTATGCTCTCATTTTCCATTCCAGAGCCATTTTGTGGATTAAATTGCCAGTCAATACCTTCCTTGACGCTTGATCATGGTGGATTGACAATATGATCCCAAAAAAGTGAATTAACCAATGACCCCTTCTGAAAGGTAAATATAACAAACGGCTCTTTCAAAAAGATGAATTTGCAGAGCGGTCCTTCCGAAAGATGAAGTGACCTACCTGACCCGGTGTGGGATGCTCAGGGTGACCTGGGAGGGGCCGGTATAGAGGTCAGAGATGAGGGTGGAGGCTGGCCAGTACTCTGTACAGTCTGGGTCAGAGGGCAGACACGACTCCTTTAGCCGCCACCACGACGCACCCTGGTCGGTCGAGTACTCAAGTTCCACCTCTGGTGACATAAGTACATTTAATTTATCGATTTATTGTTTACACTAAGAGTGTACTGAAGTACAAGTCTCGTGGCTATTGTTTGTAGACTACGAGCTCTCCTTCCTACAGCTTACCCGGAGCCTTACTCTGCTTGCTTTTTCTCCCCAGAACATGATTGGTTTATCGCTTTACATCTAGACCCACAATCACTGAGTGAACAGTGATGCATTTGTGCCCTATCGTCCCACATTGCCCAGGGTTGGAATAGGATCTGTCCGCTTTCGCTTACAAGGCAAGGGGAAGGGAAGGGGGTGGTGAAGGCGCTATTTCACCACAGGTCGTTTCATATCAAACTATATCCACTTGTAATAAAGCAACAACAATTGCCACTATTTGCCTCACATACAAATTAGGAATTACATACATCAATAAACATAACTAATCAGACATGAATTTATAGAAGTTATATATTTTGTAGCCATAAATAAATATGTATACTGACTGATACGTCTACAAATTTATGCAGGCGATGAGTCACAATAACGTGGCTGAAGTATGTTGACCAGACCACACACTAGAAATTGAAGGGACGACGACGTTTCGGTCCGTCCTGGACCATTCTCAAGTCGATTGTCACAATCGACTTGAGAATGGTCCAGGACGGACCGAAACGTCGTCGTCCCTTCAATTTCTAGTGTGTGGTCTGGTCTACAAATTTATCTTAATGGTTCATATTTACAGTATATACATATAAAAACTTTAAAGTAATGTTTTGATGATAGATACAAAACGTACCGAAGCAGGCACCAGAATCTTTGCAACCCAGTGACACAGTGAACTGGATGAAACTGTGGTCAGTCATGTGTATGTCTGGAGTCTCAGCGAATCTGTAGCCGTCCCGACCTGAGCAAATACAAACACAAACATCTCAGTAACTCTCTATACCTTATTAATAGCGCAACACACACACACACACACACACACACACACACACACACACACACACACACACACACACACGAAATGAAAATGAGGACGTTTTGGTCCGTCGTGGACCTTTCTCAAGTCGTGCCATGGCGTCATCACTATCATTTCACACGTGTGTTGGGTTATTTGTTTCTGCCACGTAATTGTGGCACATTCTCTGTTCATTCATGACTGCATTGTTTATATTTATTGTTGTATTTATATAGACAAGAGTTCTTACATTCTTGTAGCATTGTTTTTCTTCGCCTGCCTCAGTATGCCATGAAATGTTTTGCCTCAGGTTGAAGGTAGATATGGAGCGATGTGAAGTCAGACTTACTGGCAAAATGGAGCGAGTTGTGAGTGAGGCCACACACTTGTTCCAGGACGGAGCCGGGTCGGAGGAGCCACCCAACCCCAGTGTCAATATCAGTGAAGGCTGGCACGCCCAGCACGGCACTCCCGATGTGGATCTAAGACAACAGGTTCATCATTAGAAGCATTGTATCCGCGTCCTACGTCGCCATCTCTGCAACGTTATTGATGTTGACCAGACCACACACTAGAAGGTGAAGGGACGACGACGTTTCGGTCCGTCCTGAACCGGTCCGGTCCGGTCTGGACCGTCCGGACGATCTGTCCGTCCGATTCGCAAGGCAATCGACTTGAGAATGGTCCAGGACGGAGCGAAACGTCGTCGTCCCTTCACCTTCTAGTGTGTGGTCTGGTCAACTTACTTTAGCCACGTTATTGTGACTCATCGCCTGCAACGTTATTGATATGTGTGTATGTGTGTGTGTGTTCGCCTAACTGTGATGGGAGTGCTGATGTAGCAATTTGTATACGAATGATAAATACATATTTGAAGTAAAAAATAAAAAAATCTGAATATATTTTAACGGCATATTTTCCACTCTTCTAATTGTTTCCCACTGTCAGGGTTAGAAAGTCTGTCAAGGTTTAACGAGGCCAACGATTAATCTGTCACAGTTTACACTTAGCCTACCTGGTCGACTGCCCACTGTGAGGTGAAGGTGCCATCCTGTGAAGGCTGCCACCAGCGGAGACGCGTCGTGTTCGACTTGGCTGTGCCTGTAATCAAGCACAGTTTCCATTTGTTGCAATTGTGACTCGTAGTATGAAATATTTAGACTCTTTTTGTGTTTAGTTTTGAAGTACCGCAAAATATAACTGTACAAGGTTTTGGAAAACCCTTTCTTAAGAATAAACAAATGGTGTATTATCCAGTAGGTACCTGGGGTCAGCATACATGATGGGTGTACCTGGGGTCAGCATACATGATGGGTATACCTGGGGTCAACATACATGATGGGTATACCTGGGGTCAGCATACATGATGGGTATACCTGGGGTCAGCATACATGATGGGTGTACCTGGGGTCAGCATATATGATGGGTGTACCTGGGGTCAGCATATATGATGGGTGTACCTGGGGTCAGCATACATGATGGGTGTACCTGGGGTCAGCATACATGATGGGTGTACCTGGGGTCAGCATATATGATGGGTGTACCTGGGGTCAGCATACATGATGGGTGTACCTGGGGTCAGCATACATGATGGGTGTACCTGGGGTCAGCATACATGATGGGTGTACCTGGGGTCAGCATATATGATGGGTGTACCTGGGGTCAGCATATATGATGGGTGTACCTGGGGTCAGCATACATGATGGGTGTACCTGGGGTCAGCATACATGATGGGTGTACCTGGGGTCAGCATATATGATGGGTGTACCTGGGGTCAGCATACATGATGGGTGTACCTGGGGTCAGCATACATGATGGGTGTACCTGGGGTCAGCATACATGATGGGTGTACCTGGGGTCAGCATATATGATGGGTGTACCTGGGGTCAGCATATATGATGGGTGTACCTGGGGTCAGCATACATGATGGGTGTACCTGGGGTCAGCATACATGATGGGTGTACCTGGGGTCAGCATATATGATGGGTGTACCTGGGGTCAGCATATATGATGGGTGTACCTGGGGTCAGCATACATGATATGTGTACCTGGGGTCAGCATATATGATGGGTGTACCTGGGGTCAGCATACATGATGGGTGTACCTGGGGTCAGCATATATGATGGGTGTACCTGGGGTCAGCATATATGATGGGTGTACCTGGGGTCAGCATACATGATGGGTGTACCTGGGGTCAGCATACATGATGGGTGTACCTGGGGTCAGCATACATGATGGGTGTACCTGGGGTCAGCATACATGATGGGTGTACCTGGGGTCAGCATACATGATGGGTGTACCTGGGGTCAGCATACATGATGGGTGTACCTGGGGTCAGCATACATGATGGGTGTATCTGGGGTCAGCATATATGATGGGTGTACCTGGGGTCAGCATACATGATGGGTGTACCTGGGGTCAGCATACATGATGGGTGTACCTGGGATGGGCAGTGTGAGGTGCTGGGTGTGGGGCCTGGTACCCGCAGCAGCAGCACCAGAGTCAGGACTCAGCTCGGCCAGGAGGGCCCAGGAGATGCCACCGTCGCGAGAGTACTGCAGGAGCACAGGTCCGTCTCCCAGGGCTGCCTCCTCCACCGTGCAACCAAACCGGATGTAAAATTGCACCACGCTGCCACACATTACACGCGTTATAGAATGCAATTTGTGTCAAATTAACATTTAAATTTTGCCCTACGATAGTTTATAAGTTTTAACTCTTCAATGAACTATGCAAGCGACGAGTCACAATAACGCGGCTGAAGTGCTATTTCAAACCCCCACACACTGAACATACTTCAGTGAACGATGTTTACCAAGATGCGTCACTTCTCAATACTCTTTCTAGTCACTTTATATATAAACAAATACACAGATCACATCAGTGTATCTATCCTTCGGGGGTATACATCACTAGACTTCGTATGAATTCAGAATCTGCTGATTCTGTTTTGTACAGAATCTGATTCTGTAATGTTTTGTACACTTCCAAAACATTACAATACAACATTTAAAACATCAGTCCACATCCACTTAAACAACTAAACTATTGGGAGCATCTAAAACGCTGCGTTCTAACCTAAACTTGCAATTTACTGGTTCTAAGTCTGCCCATAAACGTAATTCCTAAGTGTGAGGCGCGAGAGAAAGTAAAAAAATAATAAGTTTAATATAAACGCGTTCAAATAAAAAAAGCCCCCAAGGTCTCTCAGTGACCTCCCTACACATATAAGTGGAACTACCAACTTTTCCCTTATTAGGAACTTTATAAATGTAAACAAGAATTCCGTGATCAGTCATACTGTGGTGATTTCATCAGACCGAGCATTGGAGATACTTGTAACCAAAACCATCACTAATTACTTAATCATT